TTTCTTGTAGAATTCAACAGTGAATTCATTACTTCCTGGGCTTTGCTTTCTTGATAAGTTTTTAGTTACATTTCAATGTCATTGGCTAATACCAGGTTATTTAGAACTTTGTTATCTTCTTGATTTAGATTTGGCAATTTGATTGCATTTAGGAATCTGTCCATCTCTTCTGTGTTTTCTATATTATTAGAATATAGGTTCTCATAATAGGTATTGATGATCTTCTGGATTTCTGTTAAATCCATTGTGATTTTCCCTTTTCATTCCTAATTGCTTGAACTTGTGTTTTTTCTTTCCTCTATTTGATGAGGTTGGCTAATGGTTTATCACTTTTATTTATTCTTTTAAGGAACCAACTTTTTGATTCATTGATCCTTTGTAGTTTCTTAGTCTCAATTGCATATAATTCTTCCCTTTATAATTTTCTCCCTCATATGAGCTTTGAGCTTAACTTGTTCTTCTTACAGAAGTTTGAGGTTCAGTATAGGTTGTTTATTTGAGCTCATTCTGTTTTGTTGCTGAAGGAGTTCATTGCTATAAATTTCCCTCATAGGTCTACTTTCATTGTGTCCCCTATGTTTTGGTATGTTGTACTGGCATTATCATTTAATTGTTTATACTGCTTAATTTCATCTTTAATTTCTTCTGAGACCCACTAGTTGTTTAGGAGGATGTTTTTTAAAATTTCCATGTGTTTATCTAATTTTTGTGCTTCCTTTTGTCACTTATTTCCTGTTTCATTGTGCTATCATCACCTAATACGCATGAATGATTTCATTTGCTCTACATTTACTTCTGCATGTTTTGTGGGTTAATATGTGGTCTGTTTTGGAGAACATTCCATGTGCAGCAGAGAAGAATGTGTATTCTGATGTTTTGGGGTGGAACATCCTGTAAACATCTACCAAGTCTAGTTAACCACAGGCGTGGCTTAATTCTGATATTTCTTTGTTGATTTTCATGTGTGGTTAATCTATTGTTAAAGAGGGGTATTAAAGTCCCCCACTAATTGTGTTAGTGCTTGTTTGGATTTCCATGTCTGTTAATATTTAATTTATGTAGTTAGATTGTATGGTGTGTTTGGTGCATATATATTTATGATTGTTCTCTCTTTTTCTGGAGTTTCTCTTAACAAGTATGTAGTGATCTTCTTGAGCTCCTGTGGCATGGAGAATTGTTTTCCATTTTGAGTTTTAGTTTATGAATTTCTTTTTGTGTTAGATGTGATTCTTGAATGCAGTATACTGTTGGATCTTCTTTCTTGATCCATTCTGCCAGTCTGTTTCTTTTGATTGGTGAGTTGAGACCATTTATATTGATGGTTATAACAGATATGTATTGGCTTATCTTTTTCATGTTATTTTTCTGTTGCTGATTCCCTGTCTTTGTCCTCTGTTGAATTGCTTGCCCTACCTGGCAGCTTCTTTTTGTTTATGTTCTTGTGTTTGTGATCTTCATTATGTCTCTGTGTTGTGTCCTGCAGAGTATTCTGTAGAGCTGGTTTGGTGGTCATAAATTTCCTCAGTTGTTCTTTGTCATGGAAGTATCTTATTTCTTCACTGGTTTTGAAAAACAGTTCTGCTGGATACATCAATCTGAGTTGAAGATTATTTTGTGTTAGAGCTTAAAATATCTCACTCCAAGCTCTACGTCATTTGAGGGTTTGTGCTGTAAAGTCTGTGTGAGCTCTGATAGGCTCTTTTATAGGTAACTTGTTTCTTTTCTCTGACTGCTTTCAATATTCTGTTATTGTGCTGAATTTCAGGAATCTTCATTATTACATGCCTTGATACAGATTTATTTTGGTCATGGCTATTTGGGGTTCGGTATGATTCATTTATTTCTAAGTTCAATTCTTTATCCATGTTTGGGAAGTTTTCTGCTATTATTTCTGTGTAGAGGTTTTTAATGGCTCTTGCTCTGTTTCTAGCTCTCTCATTGACTCCAATAAAACTCATATTGTTCTTCTTGATTCATCTTGTGTCTGGTAAATTGATATTTTGTGATTTCTTGCTAATTTTAATTTATCTTTCTTTTCCTGGTCACTAGCCACAATCCTGCTTTCTAGATCTGATATTCTAACTTCTCCTTCGTTTAATCTGTGGCATATACTTTCAATGGAGTTTTTAATCTCCTGGATTTCCGTTCAGATCTCTTTCATTTCTTTTTACATTGGAGATTCATGGTTTCCACTGGTTTTCTGAGATCCTCTAGTATTTTTTAAATGTTTATTGAAAATCAATTCTACTTCATAGTGAGAAATGAAAACGAAGCACATTGTTTACAAGAATATTAAAATATAAAGTAATGATAAATCTCATCAAAAAATTTATGAAAGCTATATTCAGAAAACTAGAAAACATTACAGAGAAATTAAAAATTTCAAGAAGCATTTTAAGGTGAAACACTTGAAGATAACAATGTTCTATGAAAATGCAAAAGATTCAACATCATTAAAACAGTTTTGAAAGGGAAGAAAAAAATTTTGGAATGCTATTTTTAAAATCTGTATCTGCTTTACTATCTTTCATTTTGATCATCATTTCTTTTTGCACCTTACAGATTATTTTTTATGGCCTCTTCTAATTGTTTTTTCACTTCTGCTGCTATCATTTCAGAGAATTCCAGTGGCTGGCTTTAGATTTCCTCTATCTCTTTGTGCTCTAGACTTGTCCTGTGTGAGCTGGGCATTTGGGGTTGTATTTTGCTTCTTTATCTTGCCATATTTTATATACTACTTTTATTTTATTTTGCTTCCCATGTTGATGCTTGTAGATTTCTTATGTTAGATAGCTTTATCCCTGTAGTTGAGGCTTTCCTAGAAAATATCTGTTTCTCAGGGTGTCTTCTAGATGTAGGTGATTCTTAGTCTTTAGATCTACCCCCAAAACCTTCCTTCCCAATATATTAAGAATGTGAAGTTGCTATCTGAAAGGGTTTTGGCCCAGGCCGGATACTATAGCCTGTAAAGCCAAGGAGCTCCTATCTCCCCCCACCCTTAGGAATTACCTCTGGCACCAAACTAAGACCAATGGGCTACCTGTGCATCCCTAATGCCCCCTTAGGTTCCACCCCAGGCCGAGGCTACTTATGTGCCTCACTCCATGTGTTCCATGGAGAGATCGCCGGCCCAGGGGTGGAGATGCCACGCCCCAGGGGGTCGGGGTGTCTCTCTCCGCAATCCCAAAATAAAGGTTATTTATATTTTATACTTCTTATCTTTTCAGCCGCCACCAGTCCTCCTCTTCCTCCTCCTCCTCTTCCTCCCCTCCACAGTTCTATCACCATCTATTTGAATCAAGATGCATTGCTGGACTATAGTGATGGTTACGAATCCTTACAATTGCAGTATTATCAAACAGGGGAGAAAAATTAATTATAACAGATATGACATCCTGCTTGAAGCAGTACAGTTAGCAATGACAGTAGACTCTAGCCCAGCCTGACTACTGACAAACTGTGGCAATTGTAGTCTGATATCTTTCATCATAGGCATAAGTTCTGCAGTTTTGTAATAAAATCCAACTTATATCAGGAACTTGTATGCAATAATTTCCCACTTAATACAGCAATTTTACCATGTTGTGTGGGGGATTTAAGAGCGATGAGGGTAGGATAGAGAGATAAATGAAGTTAAAATATAGTAGGAGTAAGATTGGGGGTGTAAGAGGATCTCCAAGTTTGGGTAATTGTAGGGCATGAAAGAGAAGAGTTGGAAGACAAAGCCTAGGAGTACTGATGTGAACCTGAAAGCGAAGAACCAATGTTTACAAACCTAAAAGTATCATTAAGCAAGCAAGATAATTGACAAAAAGGAGGTAGAAGATGAGTAAAATAAAACAAAAACAAAAGCAAGAGATCTAAATCATGAAAGAAAGAGGAAAGAAAGAAAACCAGGAAACAAAAATAATCACATACACTGAAAAAACAACACACAGAAAGACAAGCAAAATAAGACAAAACAGAACAAAGAGGAAAGAGAGAAAAATAAAATAAAAACTAATCCAGCCAGATGCAGAAAGGAAAGCCAATGGGAGAAAAATAAAACTAGTGTAGTTGCTCTGGTCTCTACAGTTTTGTGGTAGGTCCAAGTCTGATCCCAGAAATATACTCTAGCCAAGATTGCAGGTGGCTTTGTGCTGGGATTGTGGTGAATCTTGGTCTCTGGATTTGGGGATAAGGGTTAGTTTTTTATGACTGGAGTTCTCAGATGTTTCTAAAAGAAAAATAAAAAGACAACGACTCTCTCCACCAGGTTGTATTCCACATGTCTCTGTGTCCAAGCACCATGCTAGTTCACCTAACTCACTGCCTCCTGGCAAGAGTACTGTTCCTCTTGCTTTAGACATCTCCACCAGCCAGTCCCACCTGCCCAGCGTGTGCACCTCAGCTGGGGCCCTACTGCCGTCTCTGCGCCCTGCTGAGGGAACAAGGGAGGAGCTGACTGGTGGGGCTCTTCCCACAGGCACCCGGGTCCCGCAGTGGAGGAAGGGAGGAGCCCATCCCATGTTATGAATTCTAATTTCAATGATAAAAAGGGAAATATCACTGCCAAATGGAGTAGCATGTGTTATTTCTTAGACTGTCAGAGTGAAAATACCTTTATTATGCCCTGAGTATTAAATATCTCAATTATATAATTTTAATGTTCTACGTATGTTTGGGCAAGAGAATTTCTTGTGTTGTGCTGAAATAATTCTTAAGGCATTTGCAAATGTTCTCTATTAAGGTTTCTCTTTTGCCTGGACTACTGGTTTGATGAATAGGCAAATGAAGTTCAAATCCATCTATCTCTTTTACTTAGTTTAAATTTATGTAATTAGAATAGTGAACACCACTCATATCCACTGAAGTGTTTGTAATTTTGGACAGTATTTTACTTAGGTTCCTTTGTGTCAGTATTTGTAAGAATTCGGTAGATCTCAAACATTTTTTTCATTTTGCAATTTCAAATACTGAATAGTTATAATCTAATGATAAATCTTTCCTTTATATTTCAGAGTGCTGCTGGCACATTAGAATTTCAACCAGGAGAAAGATATAAGTACATTTTTGTCAACATCACTGATAATTCTATCCCTGAACTGGAGAAGTCTTTTAAAGTTGAGTTGTTAAACTTGGAGGGAGGAGGTAAGACTGGCAATTTAGAAATATCCAGTATTTGCTTGTGTGCTTACTGCGATGACAGTAGATTCTGTTCATTTATAGAAAGCTAGTCCTATCAACTAGCTTTACTTTTAGAAAAAACTATTATTCAAACATTAACTGCACAAGTTTGTGAGGTTCGCCAGGACCCTTCCTTACCTGTGTGCACAGTGCTGTGCCCTGCCCGGCCGCCCTTCTACCCTCTTTTCCCTCTCCTCTTCCTTCTCTCCCAGTCCCGCCTCCTCCCTAACAGGACCTCTTCCTCTTTGACGTCATCCATTTCATTGTCTGTTTTTTGTTTCCACATGTAAGTGATGCCTGTCTTTCTATGCGTGGCTTATTTCATTTAACACAATGTTCTCCAGTCCATCATTGCAAATGACATGTTTTTTTCTTATTTTTGCTGTATGAAATTCCATGGTGTGTATGTACCGTATCTCCTTTATCCATTCACCTGTTGGCGGGCACCTAGGCTGGTTCCATATCTTGACTATGAGCCTAGTACCAGAGTGAACATGGGTGTATGGGTGTCTGTCTTGTATGCTGACTTCCTTTCCTTCAGATAATACCCAGGTGTGGTATAGCTAGACCACATGGTAGCTCTATCATTAGTATTTTGATAAACCTTGATACCGGGGATAGAGTAGAAGCACATATGTATGGCAGTGGCTTTTCTTATTCTGCTTTTCATAATTCTCACTGCTGCTCCCCTCTTTCTTTGTAAGCATTTGGCAAAATAATGGTCAGTGTGTAAGCTGTCCTGGCTGGAAGATGTTACTACTTTGCCTTTATTATAGTCTTTACATATTTTAAATTTTTGCCATATTATTTTTTACTATTTTATTTTTTTCTTTATGACATTTCTATACAAGACAGCACTTTGCAGGTGAGAAAGATGAGAAGTGGGGGGTCTTAAAGCTTTCCCGCTGGGATGGCTCACAGCCAGGGCTGGGGAGTTGCTGATCTCAGGCCTTTTCTGCAGTATGGGTGGCTGAGTTGAGAATGACAAATGTGGGGGTCTGAATTTGTGGATGGGGGAAATGTTACATGTATTTCTCTAATCTTGAATTTTTTTGAGCCCTAATGTGACGGCCACAGACTTACAGGCCTAAGTGTATTACCAATATTATGTATCATGTGAACATTTTTTAAATGTTAGGAAAACCATGTACTCTGCTATAAATAAATGAAAGCTTAAAAATAAAGGTATCAAATAGTTGGAAATGAGAAATACCAGTGACAGTTTACATGGAGTATTCCTTGAGACGGTGAATAAAGTCATGCTTACTTCGTAGTTTGCCCGGTGTGGTAACACCGCAGTGTTATAAAATGACCTGTTTCCTGTGGAAGAGTGTGTGTCACTGGCAAATACAATTGTGTTTTCTTCTGTGCTTGCCGTGTTTTAATTTTCTCATTGTGTCCGTGTGTGTCGTGTGGGCTGTGTCTCCGTGTGTCTGCTCATGCAGTGGCTGAAGTCCTTAGGGTTGATGGCAGTGGTAGTGGTGACGGGGACATGGAGCCCTTCTTCCCAGCCATCCACAGACGTGGTAAGCAGGCCCTCTACCAGTCCATGTTTGTGTTCAGATGTCTCTTCTCAGAGGCAGCTGTGCTAACCCCTACTGACGCCTGGTCTGTGTTGGTCCTTTCCGTATCTTACCTCATTAACCATCACCGCAACTGTGAAGTATTCTTTGCTCCACATTCCAGTCCCTCATCTAGAAAGTGGCCAGGTCTGAATCACACCCCTGTCCTTCCCGATACCCAGGCTCTTATCTCTCTGGGAGCCTAACGCAGCTTCCCAAGTCTGACTGGAGGACGGGAATTATGCTTTAACAGTGTTTGTAAAAATGATTGATGAAAAACATTCTACATAGCTTTGAGTACCTAAAAGGCAATAAACAGAACATTTGTATTTTTGTGCTGAACGCATCACACTTTTTTTACTGTGCAGAGAGGACCATGAGATTTATGTGTAGCATTTACTCAAAACAAATGGGAAAAGGAAATGAGGAATCAAATAGATGGTGACTTAAATTGCCCGCTAGTGGGGGGAGTGCTGAAAAGACGATGCCTTTGGAAGTAGATTCACATAGCAGTGGGATTCTCCATTTTACCTTCCGTATCTTCCTCACACCTGAAGACAATCTGTAGCATACTTGGTTGCTGAGGAAGAGCACTTTCTGCTCCTGAGGGTCCTGTTTCCCAGTGCCCGGTTGCTGAGTGGAGTGTCCAAACTCATGTTCCTCCCCTGCATGCCTAGCTTGCATCAGTGCCTCTTAACCTCTATGTCCAACTCCTCTACTACCTGTAGTTATTGGGTATTTTTTTGTCTCAGTAATAAATACTGAGTGTTTTTCCTAGGAAAATAGAAGAAGCTTCTTTAGATCTTAGCATTGTTTTAGTCCAGGACTGGACTCTACAGAATCAAGAGAGATAAAACTGATAATAAGATGATGTGAAAGGAGACCTAGAGCTGACACATACTGGAAACCAGGGTTCATTCAGTCATATGGAGGAAAATCGAAGGGAAACTGCTATTGTTGGCTGGCTCGGTTCCTCTGAGGTCAGTGAAGGTCGTGGGAGACCTTCCTCAGACACTTTCTGAAGAATGTTCTCTTTCACAGAGAAGAGAAAGAGAAACAAGTTTTTCCCATTCATCCCCGAGCGCCTGTGCAGGGCCTGCGTGCCGCATTGGTGCCGGCGCAGAGAGAGGTCATGAAAGCATGAATACGTGTGGCCACCGTTTGTGTCCGCCTTTCTTTCTAACACAAATTAGAATGTACTCCGCGAACAGAATGGCTCTTTTCAGAAAGCTGCTCCGTGGCTTTTCCTGTGGTTTGTGAATTACTGATTGGCATTGGAACCTGTTCCCGCAGCCAGCCTAGGAGTGGCTTCCCAGATCCTGGTGACAATCGCGGCCTCTGACCACGCACACGGCCTGTTTGAATTTAGCCCTGAGTCGCTCTTCCTCAATGGAACTGAACCAGAAGATGGGCACAGCACGGTCCTGTTGAAAGTGAGTGCCTTTCTCCTCCTTTCCTGCTCTGCATTCTTTTAAAAAAATGTTTTAGTGTAACAATAGGGTGTTTTATTGTAATATTCTGGTTGTTTCGTTTTGTTCATTCCTATAGATAGGAAGGAATGAGCCCATTGGCAAAGACATTCCAAATTGATAATTGAATAGTGATTTGAAATTTGTCTGTGTTTAGTTGTGCATAAGAATTCATTTTGTTATTTTGAGGTCTAGATATCTGACTCTTTAAAGAGAAATATGATGAAGCTGTACTATGAGTATCTACCTTCCATAGAGTTTTCTGTGCACTCAGACTATGGTAACAAACATCTCCAAAATCTTAATGCCTTAAGTGCAACAAAAGTTTGTGTTTTGCTCATGGTATTCATCCAACCTACCTGGCAAAGACCCCTGATCATCAGTACAGAGCCTATGTCTCAGTAGGTATTCTTAATCTTAATTTCTTCCTTTTTGCTGTCTTCTTTTTGTGGTACTGAGGACAGAACTCACTGGACCACTCAGCTACGTCCCCAGCCTCTTTGTATCTTATTTCAGGACAAAGTCTCACTGAGTTGCCCAGTGCTGCCCAGTTTATCTTATGTTGAGACCAGGTCTTTCTAAATTGCCCAGTAGCTGGGATTACAGGCATACTCCACCACCCCTACATTCCCCAGTTCTTTCTGAAAGTGATTTTCATTAGTTCTACGTACATTCCTCTGGTCACAACAAGTGGCCTGGCCATGCCTGATGGCAGTGGGTGAAATCCTGTTCTGCAATTTCTCAGGAGAAAAAGGAAGAGACAGAGAGAAAGAGAGACAGAGAGAGAGAGAGAGACAGAGAGACAGAGACAGAGAGACAGAGAGAGAATATGAGGCTAAGTATATGTGTGTAAGTACATTCATTCTGCTTGGTTCCAGAAGAAATTAATAAGGAGTCTATTGTTCAGTGACCGGGGGAGCTAGAAGCTTTGTTAGTGGCCTCAGCTTTTATACAAATAATGAAGAAAAATTACCCAAACATATTCTTCTGTCTTACTGTGCTAGATCTTCAATAAAGCATTGTGAAATTAATTGAACAGCTATTTAGAAATGAAAAAAAACAAATTAGGAAGAAAGATCACAGTTTATTAAAATCATTACCTATAACTTTATTTTGAGCTAGCACAAGTAAAAATTTTTTTGGTAATAAGAAGTTGGGAGTTATTTTTAAATATTTTTTAAGCTCTTCATCCTTCCCAATATATTGAAAAAAACATTTCTTCCTTTTTTTTTTTTTTTTTTTTTTTTTTTTTTTTTTTTTTTTGTTTTGGTACTGGGAGTTGAACTCGGGACCTTGTGTTGCCAGGCAGGCACTTGTGCTGCTGAGCTATGTCCCTGGACCCACTGCTTCCTTTTAAAATGTGTTTTATTATACCTTGCATCAAATGTGGGGTTTTTTTTGTGTGACTGATATATGATATCAAAGATAAAAGGAGTATAATTTGTTTTAAAAATGAGTTTATAGGTAACTGCAGAAAAATGCCACTTACCTATTTCTTACAGTCAACTAAACATCACTTTTTTGCAGCAAATGTAAATTTTTTTATAAATGTGCATAAGTGTAATAAATTGTTAGTTGCGTTTGATTTATTTTTGATGGATATTAGAATTGCATATAAGATACATGTATAATTTAAAAACTAAAATTTTTCCATCACTTTGTAGTTTCATGTAATAATTACTTTTTGTTCTTCTTGAGATGCTATCTCACTATGCATTTCAGGCTGGTCTTGAACTCACTGTGTAGCCCAGGCTGACCTCAAATTCGTGTAGTCCTCCTGCCTCAGCCTCCTGAGGCTGAGATTATGGGCCTGCACCATCACGCTTAGCAGTAATCACTTTTTAACTACCCTCCATTTGTTTAATCAGGGGTGAGTGGTGTATTTTCTTTGCCTTGAATAGTCTTACGGTCTTGAGAAGTTACATAAAATTAAAATTTGCAGTGATGGCCATCATTATGTACTCATGAGCCTCTAAGTCAATGGATTCGATCTCTCTTTGAAACATTTGCTATAAATATTTTGTAGGTGATAAGGAGTCATGGAGCTCTGTCCCAGGTGACCTTGCATTGGAGCATAGACTCCGACCCAGACGGTGATCTGGCCTTCACCTCCGGCAACGTCACTTTTGAGGTCGGGCAGAAGCATGCCCATATCACAGTGGAAATCCTGCCAGATGAAGATCCCGAGCTGGATAAGGCCTTCTCGGTGTCAATCCTCAATGTCTCCAGGGGCACCTTAGGAGTTCACACTAATGCCACGCTGATAGTTTTGGCCAGTGATGATCCTTATGGGGTATTCATTTTTTCTGCAGAAAATAGACCTGTTATAGTTGAGGAAGCGCCCCAGAATGTCACATTATCAATAATCAGGTTGAAAGGCCTCCTGGGGAAAGTCAGAGTCTCTTACACAACAGTCGACGATATGGAAACACCATCTTATTTTCCACCTAATTTAGCCAGAGCAACCCAAGGACAGGACTATGCATCTGCTTCCGGATTCACTCTTTTCAGAGCTAATCAGAGTCAAGCAACCATCACTATTTCAATTTTGGATGATGATGAACCAGAAAAGTCAGAGTCTGTGTTTATTGAGCTACTCGATTCAGTTTTAATGGAAAAAGTGCAGAATCGCCCGAGTAAGTATCCATTAATGTATTGTTATTATTAGAAATATGACTTTAGCTCAGTAAAAACTTTTATAAGAATATGGAATCGTTAACTTTGAAAGCATTGCCTCATACATGTTTATCTGTGAGACAGTGGGAAATGGACATATTCCCCTTCTCACCTTGGGAATCGTGTTTTTAATGTCAGTTTTGTTCTCAGAGTAAATTTCAGAAGTTTTTATGGGATCCGTGTGTAACTGATCTCTAGCACTACTGTGCTGTATATTGCAGCTTCACACATCCTGGAATCCATCTGCAATCTGAAGATATTGCTAGATTCCCATCTGAAGATTCCCTAACCACCCATATCTCTTTGCATGATATTGGTGACAAATGTGTGAGGGGAGGGGAACAGGGCAGTGTGACAGTAAGAAACTGTAAGAGCTGTGGAGTTCTGTATCCTAAAATGTAAGATCCCAAAGGCCTTCGTATTGATTGTATTCTGCCATATGGCTAAAGGTATCTTAACTGGTTTATTCCCATTTGATACAAACTACAGGGGGAACAACATTTTAGCCACGATGAAAATGATTATAATCCAAGATTGTAGAAGAAAATTTATGATTATTAACGTTAAAGCCTCACACTGAAGTGGATGTTAAAAATTCACATACAACCTTTCCCCACTTCTCTGTTTAAAGCCAGCTTTAGATCAGTTATGTTAGAAATCAAATTTTTAAAAAACTCAATATTTATTCTTATTAAGTAATAGCTGTAAAACACAGCTTGGTTTTGAGGCAGATCACCAATTTATTAAAGTAGAAGTCAAACCGCGGGGGAGTATTGCTTTCCCAGGGGCCAGGACCTGTGGATGCTGGTATCAGATAACATATGTGCCAGCCCGTAGTAATAAGCTATTTCATATAATTTTAAAAACCTCAATTTGCTTACCCATAATATTCTATGATGGTTAAACATGATAATATATGTAGAAATTAACAGTGTCTGGTACATGGGAAACACTCAGAAAACACAGGCAATTGTCAGTAATACAGTGGTACCTGCTGGGTGTCTGCATGCTGCAGAGGCCGTTCATGTGTAGTTTATCTTCACTTGTCCCTGAGACCGTACAGCATACACAGCACAACTCAGAACTCATACAGTGTAAGCTAAATAGTAAGCAATTCAGTGCATATCTGTGCAATTGTGGCTCAGATTTTAATAGACACATTTGACCTAAAACCTGATGCTGTCTCCTGAGTATAATCATCAACTCTCACAAATGAGGAGTTTGGCCGGCACTTGGGCCTGTGTGGAGGGCAGGATGCCCAGTCCTGGATAATGGATGTTTGCATAGCTGGCTTGGTGAAGGATTGTAGTTAGAAAGCAGAAAATGAGGAAAGCTGTAGAGTTATAGTAATCCTCTTGACATTGCCTGACAGTTCCAGTGCAAGATCTTAGGAAATTTTCACAATTTCTTTGCACCTCAGATTCCTCATCTGTTTACTCCCTATCCACTATGTAATGTGTCTATCATATGTAATCATGTACTTCAGCACATGAGTAGTTAAAGAAACTGTATGTGTGCACAATGGAATATTATCCAGCTTTTAAAAAGGTGGGAATTTTGTTATTTGTGGAATAGTTGGTGGAACTATAGGGCATTATTGTAAGTGAATTACATGCATAGAAAGATAAATAGTGCATGTTATTACTCATAAGGAAGCTAAACATGTTAATCTCAGGGAAGAAAATAGGACAATGACTAATAAAGAGAGGAAAGGGGACAGAGAATCCTTGTGTGACAGAATACAAATTCCGTTAGGTAGTGTTCTCAGTAGGTTGACTATAGTTTGTAACTGGTCTTTGACCTCAAGGGGCTACATTACTTTTCTGTTACTTTTGTAAATGGAACGCTTTTATTTTTTGAATAAAATGTCATGGTGGTGAACTAACCAGAAGATCATAATTCTGTAGTTCATTATCCAGTGTAAAATTATGTAAATTGATGATTAATGATACTTGAATCATTTTCCCCTTTGATAAATTTCCAACTTAATAAATTATTCTTGTAGGGTAACTGTTTTTTACTATGATTCTATAATAAAAATATCCACAGAATGTAAGCTTCAAGGAAGCAGGGACATGTGATTTATTTTTGTATCTTCAATGCCTTAATTAATATTGGTACACAGATACATATTTAAGTTTTTAAAAATATAGAGAGTGTTATCAGATGAAGATCTCGTTTGGCTGATGGAAGCTTGCTAGGCTTCTTGATAGTCAGGAAGTTCCTAGAATCTTCATCTGTGACCTTCTCTTCTGCTTTTCAGTTCCAGACTCTCCTCGGCTTGGGCCTCAGGTAGAAACCATAGCTCACATAATCATCCTCGCCAATGATGATGCCTTTGGAATCCTTCAGCTCTCGGCCTCAGTTGTCCGAGTGGCGGAAAATCACGTCGGACCCATCATCAACGTGACTCGGATAGGAGGGGCTTTTGCAGATGTTTCCGTGAAGTTTAAAGCCGTACCAGTAACTGCGATTGCTGGTAAGAAATGACAGCTAAGAGCATCTAAGGACCGTGAACTATTTCAGAAGGATGTGTTTCCTTGATTAACAAAACTACTCAAAGACATAGTGAGAAAAATCAGCCAGAAAGCAGTATTGTTCTTGCATCTTTTGAACACAAACCTAGAACTTTAACATATCTCTGACCTGAATTTTTGAAAACTGATAGTAAATGGTGTATACGATTCAAAAGCTGTGATATCCAAAACACATACAAACCAATGAAAACTAAGCTGTGGGCATCATTGACTTTCATTGGCTTCCTCTTTGTGTAAATTTTCATGTTTTGAAAGAGAGTCATATATAAAAGCCTGCTGAGAACCACGGGAAAAAACAAGCAGGCTTTTCCCTCAGTCTTGTCTTTGACCACTGTGTCTCTTTTTATTTATTGATGAAGAATATGGGAGAGGCAGTGGTTAGCGTAAGTAGGCAAAACGATTTCATTGTCAAATACAGGCATTGAGATACAGGCTTCTCTGCAGTTGAGTTCCAGCATTTAGAGAGAGATTTGCCTAAGAGCAATTAGAATCTTCCCAGGGTCACTCAAGCAAATGAGTGTGCATGAATGATATATGGTCGTGATTTGTAGAAAGAAATCATCGGGGCACAATCCTTGTTGAGAAGATAATAGTATTGCCTGGCGGGGAGCACACTGCTTCACACCCAGACAGGTGGTGTGTGTCAGTGAGCAGTGCCCTGAGACCTTAGCCTCAAGCTTCCAGGGGGAGCGCCCATCTTCCCCTTCCCAGTGTGTGCCCAAAAACAAAGCTCATGCCAACCTGCATGATAGTTAGCAGCAGCTTTGAGTCAGTGTCATAGGAAAGTCTGTCATTTGGGGCCATACCATTAATAATGCTGATGTGCAAGAAAATAATTTGTCTCCTCATGAGAGCAGAATTCTGTTCTCTGTCCTTACAAAAAGTCTCATATATATTTCTTTTTTGGTAGATATAAGACATTTTGTGGTAAATAATAGCTCTGTCTCTGTCTTTCTAAACATACACACATACGTACACACAAATAACACCTGCACACAAACGCATACTGAACTATGCAAACATCTTTCAGAAAGTGAAGGAAGCATACATAAACACCCTTAAGATGTATTTTCTATTGTTTGGTGATATTGAAAAGGAAAAATATCCTCATTTAGAATAAAGGTAATTACTATCCTCCAAAGTCTTTCCAGGTCCATCCATCAGTTTCGGCTCTGTTTCCCCAGTATGGACTGTGTGTGCTATTTGGGAACCTGCCTTCTGTCTTTGTAGGTGAAGATTACAGCATAGCTTCGTCAGATGTGGTCTTGCTGGAAGGGGAGACCAGTAAGGCTGTGCCTGTGTACATCATCAACGACATCTACCCTGAGCTGGAGGAAACGTTCCTCATACAGCTGCTGAATGAGACAACGGGGGGAGCTAGGCTCGGGACCCTGACAGAGGCGGTCATTACCATTGAGGCTTCTGACGACCCCTATGGATTATTCGGTAATCAGATTCCTTTGTGTCTCTTGTACTTGCCTGTAAAAGTCATGGATCATGGCTGCTTCTTTATTTTTAGGGAGTCAAATTGATCTATTCAGGAATTCTGTCTTAACTTGAAATTTTGCTATATTGGATGCCCATGAAGAATAATGGGTAATAGTAATTATTTCAAAAAAAGAACCCAGGAAAGAAAATTGCTCCTTCACACAGTGATGGAAATTACAGCTTATTGGCTTTTAGGTTAGATCTGGCCCCTACATGTATCTTTTGAATTTAGCTAATTCTTTAAAAAATTAATGTAAAGGATTTCCCACTCAGATCTGGATCTCCAAGCTCGCTTGATAATCAGGAAAATCTGATGCCATCAAGTCTCCTTTCATGTGTAATTTTAGCCATGGAGCAAAATTTTAGTACTTGCTGTCTCTCCTGTTCTCTCCTCCACCGGTGGACCAAGCTCGCCACAGGGCCCAGCCAGCTACAGCCGTCGGAGGTTTATTTCACATGTGTCTGTCATATTCTTGAGCCATGTGGACATTTGAGCTTATGATTTCTGCATTTATCACGAAGAAAATAGTTTGGCAGGCCTGCCCCAGTGGTTACTGATATCAGCACCTTACTTTGATGCGCGGGGTATAGTTAACTAGCTCAGCTGGAGGGGGAGGATGCTCTATGGAAAGGTACTTAGTAGTTGTATGTTGACTCAGCTTCCTTTGCACCTGAAATCAATTCTTCTCTGCCCTGTAGGTTTTCAGATTACTAAATTTATTGTAGAGGAACCTGAGTTTAACTCAGTGAAGGTAAACCTGCCAATAATTCGAAATTCTGGGACACTCGGCACTGTTACTGTTCAGTGGGTTGCCACCATTAATGGACAGCTTGCTACTGGCGACCTGCGAGTTGTCTCAGGTAATGTGACCTTTGCCCCTGGGGAAACCATTCAAACCTTGTTGTTAGAGGTCCTGGCTGACGACGTTCCGGAGATTGAAGAGGTGAGAGGCATCATCGCTAGTATAGAATGACACTGTAAATTATGCTTTGTGTTATAGTAACTAGAGCAGATAGCTGCTGCTGTGACATTTTAGAAAGGATGTCCAATAAGTTATATCTGTAAACACGTCCAAAATGTGTTACTTTGAAAGTGATCTTTATGTATAACAAAAACAGGCATATTCTAGAAGTAGATTATGTATGCATGTTAATTTACCAGGACAAAAATTATTTTGTGTGCAAGTACATTGCACTTTTTAATATTTTGGTTAAGTGATCAAATGAATATAAGCATGTATAATAATTCTTGCTACATTTGCTTTATATAAACTCTTAATTTGTATCATTGCTGCCTTTTGGCTCAAGTGTGAGCCAGTCTTATGATTTTCTACTACAATTCATCTTCAATCATTGTTGTATGACAAACAGATTAGATACATATTTTCCTCATGTGTATTTTTCATGAAGATGAAACAATATAACTCTAAGTTTAGACGATATGAAATTATGATCCTTTATTTTAAACTTTAAGAAAATTTCCCCATTTAAGGCAAGGTAGGGAATAAAGTACAATGGATTAACTTTCCACTAAAATGTATATGCATTGTTTTAGATTAGAAAGATATGGGACATAAAATTCATATTACTGAAATGATGCACATAAACAGAAATTTTAAAATTGACTTATGTGATTATATAATTGAACATTAAGGGATTTAAATAGTATTTCTGATGTATAAGTGTGCTATATTATGAATGGTTGATGATGGATTATTCTGTTACATGCTGGGTTTGTAACTGTGAGTGGGGGCAAGTTTTGAGTCTATTTATATTTTGTTCCATTTTGTTCTTGTACATGGGTAGATAGATATGTTTGATTATTTTCCTGCATAATTCTTATTCTAATTTCAGATGTGGGATGCTGTTAAGGAAGTTCTCACTGTATTTTTAGGTTATTCAAGTGCAACTAACTGAGGCCTCAGGTGGAGGTACTATTGGGTTAGATCACATGGCAAATATTATTATTCCCGCCAATGATAACCCTTATGGTACAGTAGCCTTTGTCCGGTCGGTTTATCGCGTTCAAGAGCCCCTGGAAAGAAGTTCCTGTGCTAACATAACTGTCAGGCGAAGGTACATGAGATCCCGTGTGCACCTGCGGGAGGGCTGGGTTCGTGGGCAGTAGCAATGATCCTTCTATCATCACATCACTTAGACCTGGTGGTTTTTCTCTGTCATAATTTATCTTGTGTGCTCTTAAAATGCATTCACTGTACTGTGTCTAGGGATGGAACAGTCCATTGTACTCATCATGCCCATCGCCAGTGCACTGGCTCATAGAAATTCGCACCATCGTGCTTTCCCAGGGCAGAGCTCGTCACTTCAGTCTGAGGTCTCTTAGAATCTAAACACCTCGGCTGCTAAACTGAAGAGCACTCGGAGGCCACATCTGAAAGGGATTCCTTTCAGCTTTTCCTTTTTGTTCTGTGAGGCATCAGAGTGTTCCCTGAGCTCCTTCAGAAAAGGAGAGATAGGAGTGGAGGGACCTGGTGGCAAGTAACTGCCTTTCCTACCAAGGTACCTGTAATATTGCTGTTATGACTGTTTCCCATGAAATTTAGTGATAAAATTATTTTTGTAATTCTGTCTGAAGTTCTAACATAGGTCCCATTTGCATTGCTTGCAAGATTTTCATAGCTCGATGAAAATAAGCATTCTTTGATGGAAAACTAACAAGATTCCTTTCCGTGAGGAAAGATACAGAGTCGAAAACTAGATGTAATTCAGGGGCGAGGCTGTGTTTTACTGGTGCCTAAACCACAGTCAGCACAGCTCCGCGATGCTGGTGACCCGCGTGCATCTTCGAGAGCTTACCTGTCTTCCCACTGTCCCCCACCTTGCAGCGGAGGGCGCTTTGGCCAGCTGCTGCTGCTCTACAGTACCTCTGATATTGATGTAGTGGCCTTTGCGGTTGAGGAAGGTCAAGATTTACTGTCCTACTATGAGTCGCCAGTGCAAGGGGTTCCTGACCCGCTTTGGAGGACGTGGGTGAACATCTCCGCCGTAGGCGAGCCCCAGGACACCTGCGCTGCCTTGTGCCTCCGAGAACAGGCTTGCTCGGCCTTTTCATTTTTTAGTGCCGCTAAAGGTCCACAGTGTTTTTGGATAACATCATGGATCAGTCCAACCATTAACAGTTCAGACTTCTGGACCTACAGGAAAAACACGACCAGGGTAGCGTCCCTCTTTAGTGGTCAGGCTGTAGCCGGCAGTGACTATGAACCCGTGACCAGGCAGTGGGCCATCATGCTGGAAGGTGATGAATTTGCAAATCTCACAGTTTCTATTCTTCCCGATGAGCTTCCAGAAATGGATGAGAGTTTCCTCATTTCTCTCCTTGAAGTTCATCTTGTGAACATCACGGCCAGTTTTAAAAATCAGCCAACCATAGGACAGCCGAATACTTCCACAGTAGTCATAGCACTCAATGGCGATGCCTTTGGGGTGTTTGTGATCTACAGTATGGCTCCAAACGCCTCAGAAGATGGATTGTTTGTGGAAGTTCAGGAACAGCCACAAACCTTGGTGGAGCTGGTGATCCTCAGGACGGGAGGCAGCTTAGGGCAGGTGACCGTGGAATGGCGCGTCGTTGGCGGGACAGCTACTGAAGGTTTAGATTTTACAGGTGCTGGAGACATTCTGACTTTTGCCGAAGGTGAGTGTTGATTATAAGTCGAGTTCAGTTTTCCCTGACAGTCATCAGAGTCAATTTGTATGCTAGTGACCATAAGAATTTTTACTGGCAGTGTATATTTTTGCTAACATATGGAAGTAGGCCATTGATTTGGAAAAAAATAGTAGTTTATCGATGACTGACTTATGTAGGCTGATATGACTACATATGGATCTTTTATTTATTGAAAAGATTTTCAGGGAATATGTGAATTTTATTTATTATGCAATAATATGCCGTTAAGAAAACACAGAGGTAAATATAATGTAGGTTTTAATTTGTAAAGGAAGTTACGAGATTGAGCTAGGTAGCTCTAATCAAGATGTGGTCACAAGAGTAGACCTGTGGAAAACAAGAAAGTATCACCTGGCAAGCATTGTCGCATGACCTACATAGATCAGGTTAAGTCTTTAATGGAAATGACTTATCAGTAAAATATGTAAATTTTGGTAATTGTAACCACAGGACATTAATCTTAGGGATTAATTTGTAATACAGTAGTCTTCTTGGACGTGGGCAGCATCACTGTGAAAATTTTTATAGACAATGTAATTGTGTATCATATGGCCTGTGAATGGAATCAGGGTTATTCACTGTTTTTCAGGACTAGTTCAATCTTCTGATATTTAAAATTGGAGTTCGTATTTTTAAAATAGTTCAACTGTGTGTGGGAAAGTCATCTTCACTGAAATCATTGTTTAAATCCTGAGTTAGGCAGTAACAAACTTTCAAGTTTTTTTGACACAATACTTTTTATTGGAAAGCGATGCATATTTATAAGAGTAGGGAGGATATAAAATAAAATGAGAATATGAGTAGGAGAATATAAAATAAGCATTATTCATAATTCCTTGTCTTAAGCCATCTACTGCATCTGTTCTTTTACTTTCTAATGCACACTTTTTTTTCTTAGTAAACTAATTAGGGGTCATAATACAGATAGGGTTACTGTTGGAACCATCAAATACGATTATGTTTTAGAGTAAGTCTGATAATAGAAAATATTTCTATAATAGTCACCATTTCCTAGTAAATGCTTTGGGAGAAATGCTGAACTATTACAATTCACCAATGTGTCTTCACTTAACTTTTTAAGATGGAAGTTATTTGGGGCTTTCTGAGTTCTCTGTGTTGCTTATTTTGTTTCTGGGGCATTTAATCCATTAATGTTTTTTAATAGGTGAAACCAAAAAAACAGCCATTCTGACCATTTTGGATGACTCCGAGCCAGAAGACGATGAAAGCATCATAGTTAGTTTGGTGCACACAGAAGGTGGAAGTAGGATTCTGCCCAGCTCTGACACTGTGAGAGTGAACATTCTGGTCAACGACAATGTGGCAGGAGTCCTTAGTTTTCAGATGGCCTCCCGGTCTGTCATAGGTCACGAAGGTGGGTTCCTTTGTTTCTTGAGCACATTCATGCTCTTTTCCATGGATGCTATCTTTTCTGTAGTCTTTTAAACTGTCTACTTTCTTCTTCTTTCATTATTTTGTTGTTATGCTGTTTGATATAGTGTGCATAGAATTCTCAGAGAGGGCTTCCGAGTGAGTGAGCTGCTTAACTAGACGAGGGAGGCTTGCAGAATGACTGTGCCAGCCGTTGGTGCTATCAAAGCCCAGGCGGAGCTGCTCACCTTTCTTGTACAAAGTGTCACTTATGCCACAGGTTTCATTATGAGGTGAAGTGAGCCATGACTATGAAGTGCTTAGTATATCTCTTAGTGAGTATACTATGTTTTTATTGGTATCTGTTGTTATGAAACAATAAAAGGGTTGCTTCCTATTAAAAAAGCATGCAATCGACTTTAGTCACTGAATATTTTAGCCTAGATTTTATAATATAGCTGTATGTTTTATGAACACAATGCCAAACTGGAAAGCCTTATACAATGTCCATCTCTTTCTTAAAGCAATAACTTTCTTACCTTTTATTTAATATTTCTTGTCATATATAGGCTAGTTTTTGTTTCTTTCCAACATTGTAAGTGTTTATTTTAAATCTTTGAATACACTCATTTTTTAAAAAAATATAGATTGTGTTTCACACTAAGTTTGTGTTTGGAATTTAAAAAGTAATTTTACATAAAAGACTTAAGGATGAGAAAATGTGTAGATCATGTACTATGTCTGGGTCTCTAGCAATGAGAAAACAATACTGAGACATTAGAGCAATCAGGTGGCATGAGAAGGCCATGCGACCCGGTGGCTGTGCTGGACACTGAATGTGTTTTGTGGCATGTGGCGCCCCGTGCTGTGTCCTTTCAGCTAACGGTTCACTAACTGTACCTGAGTGAGTGTTAGAATTGCCAGTTGTCATTGCAATAATAAGTAAGAGGAGCTAATAAATTTCCACAAATCCAAAGATGAATCATTAACTATCAAAAATTATTTGTAGCATCCTACATGCAGAAAGTCACTGCAGGAGTAATTAATAACAATGACAATAACAAGAACATTTATGGAGTATTTTCATGGTACCAGCTACTGCACGACCATCATTAATTAATTTTAGCAGCAGGCAATCAAGTGGGTATAATAAGATGCACTAAGACTACCAATTATGAAACCAAGCAGTGCCAGGGTTGAGACCCAGCTGTGTTGGAATCAAAGCCTCTTCTACAGAGCATCTTGTGAGGAGAATCTTTGTTTTGTTTGAATTTGTATCTGCCACAGAACCTGAGAATCCAGGAATTTGGGGCCAATATTTGAAATGATTTGAGTTAGACGACTAACCAATTTGAGTAGTAATATTTATGTGAGAGAAGGAAATCAATGAGAGAACCCAACCATCTCAGGTTAGGAAAGAAATTTTCACTTTCAGAGCCAATGTTTAAAGTCAGGAAATATGATCTTTGTGGACAGAGGTAAAAAGCAAACTCCTGATTACAGCATCACGTAGAACCTTAATCTTAAATGCTGGGGAACAAAGACAACCCCAGAGGCGAAAGAGGCATCAGAAGAGATCAGAGAGAAAATGTCTTTTCATCAGTTACCGGAAGAAGGAAGTTGTCTGCAGGTTTCACACCAAGGTGGCCAAGGAGTGAGAAGAGATTTCCAAGTGGGCTAGGGAAAAGACTAGATGCTGTAGAGGGTGCTCCTCAGAGTGTGGTCCTCGTCCAGGAAGTACCTGCCCTGGCTGCAGGATGAGATAAGATTAGAAACATTTGGAACAATTCGTCTTGGCCAGGATATCCAAAGGCACCATCTGCGGACTTGTATTCTCTGTGTGTGTTCTTTTTCTCTTTAACTTGGTTGTCCAATTTATTGTATGTTCCAAAAGTGTCTGTCTATAACGGATCGAGGCAAACAAAGCTAAACAAGCCCTTAATCTTTCGTGGCATAAAGCTTTGTGAAGCAGTGCTCCTGGCCACTGAGAGCAAGGAAAGGAGAAGAACTGGAGACAACAGATTGAAGAGGAGTATTTTGGATACACTTTTGTTATGTTGAAAAATAAAACAAAGGAAAATAATGCATCAGATGGAAATCGATCCAATTGCAGGTGGTTTGGAAGGAATACATCGGATCAGGGACCAGGAAGGGCGAGATGAGATTTAAGAAGGGGCTTAGTGCTAGACTAGGCAGACCCTCTTCAGTATTGTGATGGAATTGTCTTCTTATGTCCAGCATCAGTTTAAAGATGTTGTCATGCTAAGACAACTGGCTCATGGAAGAGCTCACCGTGTGATGGTGGGCTCATGGACCTAAGTCCTCTGAAGACGTGAGAATGTCCTGCCGGGTACCATAGCTACTCAGAGAAGCTGCGGGCATCAGCACCTGGGTTCTCTGTAAGCTGCCTTGGTTGCTTGTACTGTACAGTCTTCTGTTTCCAGCAACTAAATACCTGCTAGATTCACAGATAGAAAGGATTTGCAATGAAAACAAGTGCTCCGAATGTATTGTTTGTTTTAGGGCAGGAAAGAAAACTTTGACTGGCTTTTATGGCTTGCAGGATACTTCATTTTTCATTTTCTGAAAAAAAAAAACAACTAAGCGGTAATTTCTATCTTTAAATTTCTCTTCATTGACTTCTAAACTTTTTCCTAGAGTATAAATTGATTTTATATATTGAACCTCAAGAATTGAGTATTTCGGGGGCTGGGGATTTAGCTCAGCGGCATAAGCGCCTGCCTTGCAAGCAGGCAGTCGTGAGTTTGATCCCTGGTACCAATAAAAACGAAAAAAGACAAAAAAAAAAAAAAATGAGTATTTCATGGGACTGTGGAAATTGCGTAGAGAAACATGTATTAGGAGTTTACAAGGTATTTGATGTCAACCATGAAGACTTCAAAGAAAACTGCTAAATGAATGGAGAAAAGGAGAAAAAAGAGAAAGCCCAAGCTCCATTGCCTTTCAGCAACGTTAGCACTGCTGCTGGGCCAGTGTCGGGGCTTCATTTCTGTGATGGGATTGAAATGTGGATTTTGCTGGACGTGGGGCTCAAGAATCCGTTTCTGATTCCAAGAAGAACTGCCTTAGCATTTAACAATGTAGTGGATTCTGTAGAATCCTATTTCTATATTTTTCCTAAAGCACTTGGAGAGATGCTGAGTGGTAAATATCACTTTCAAATATAATGTACAGAATTTAGAAATGTGGGCAATGGATTTTACTGTGCTGCAAACTGCAGATAGATTGTGTTCTTTATAAATTTGTGTTGGCTTTTCACGCAGTCACCCTGTTCCATTGGCACCGTTACCAGCATGCCTGTTCAATGGATTTAAGAATTTTTCTCTTCTTAGGGATACCATGAATCTTTCTCACCCAAAGATTTGAGTAAGAAATGTAATTTTAAAAAAATAAGTCCATAGGACTGCTGTCTTAGTCATTTTTTCTAACCCATTCACATTGACAGTCTGTGTTTCAAATTATTTCTGTTCCTATACACTTTAGACTCATTTACTTTTTCTTGTTGAGGTGGTAAATGTGGATGATACTAGTACTGTGTACCATGTATACATTTATTGATTTAAATGTTTTGTGTACTTTGGGTTTCTATTATTTTTATGTGCATTGTGGTTGAGATTTGTTTTCATATAAAGAATCCTGGCTTTGGGAAACAGTTGATGAAATCGTGTTGTTAAAATGCATTTTTTGTTCCTATTCTTTGTCCATATAGCACCTGGTCTGGACACTGATAGATTTTCCACCTTACCTTTAAAGTGTGTCACCCACTATAGGGACCTAGCCTGCTGTTTTATCACCTGATCCCAGGAGGGGGGCGAATGAGGATGAAGACAGACAGACCCAGAATCCAGTGCCTTTGCCAGGCGTGGGCAGACAGCCCCGAGCCTCTGGCCTATCCTGCTTCTATCCACCCAGTCGCAGGTCCAAGCAACTAATAACAGGAGATGCAACCATGGCCCCCTTATCCATTAGTGCACGCCCAGGAAAACACTGCATCTCAGCCGCGCTGGCCTCACCTGAGCGCCCGCAGCACTGCACCCCTGCGTGCTGCCTTCCTCCTTCCCTCTCACCGAGGAGGCCATTCAGCCTTGATTCTCCTCGGTCTCCTTTGGGCGAGAGGTGTGGATTTCACATGCAGATACTTTTCTGGTAGTGCAGGCAGAGACTCCTCACGCTTTCATCCTGGTGGAAAAAACCAGAAGGCAGTTTAGTGCCTTGTGAAAAGCATGTTTTCAGAGCACATACCTGCTCCCCTGTGTCTTCCTCCTGTCCTTTGCTTAGATTTGGAAAACAAAACCTTGTTTCCTGGTTTTTCTTGCCCTGACTGTCGCTCGCCTTCTCTCTGTGGTGAAAAGTAGCCTTCTGGCATTTCCAGTTGTGTGTGTCGTACGCTTCACGTGGTGTTTCTTGCAATATTGTCGTGGTAACTTTCCCTGGTAACTTGTTAGATTTCCAGAAGTGATGTTTACTAAGTAGTATTGTACTGTAAGGCTACTTGCATGCAGTAAGTTGGCAGGAAGGTTTTTTTTTCCTCCCTTCCAGGCTTCATTTTTATTTTTGCCTCAAAATGGTGCATTTATTTCCCAGTGTGTTGCACACCCTTGCAGCTGTATTTGTGATCATTGTGATTGTGGGTTCTCCTTCAACAGGGACCTTTAATAACCTTCATTTTGTTTTCTTGTCATAGGTCTTCGATTTGTAGTTTGTTTTTACCTGATCAAAATATCACAATTGTCATGTTGAACAATAGTTCAATAAGGTTTTGTGATTTTTAAAAAGTTAGAAAACTGTGAATTTAAAAGCCTTTTTATTTGTGCCACCAGGCAACACTATACATGAGACGTTTTAGTAACCCCAAGGATCTCTGTGCTTTTCAATAATAAGCACTTAGTTTTTGATACAAACTTGCTATATTCAGGTTCTATATATTGTAAAATAGACTCCAGGATTTCATAGTAGGTCCTATGTTTTATTATATGTTAAACAAATATAAAACTGTAAATGGTGCCAGGGGTTCAGCTTAGTGGTATAAGCGCTTGCTTGACAAGCGTGAGGTCATGAGTTTGATCCTGGTACCAAAAAAAAAGTCAGGTGAAAAATGTAAATGGGATACTGGCAACTATGGCTGATTGTACACTTTCAACAGCTGAATTATTTGGTTCCTGTAAGGCCCTACACGCTTCAAAAATTCTAAGATATAATTTATTAGCACATGGGGATTAGGTATTTTTCATATTGAAATACTTTAAAATATATTGAAAATATTTCTGACACTTGTGCCTTCCTATGTGTGTTCAACATCCTTCTAAAATAATTCATTGTACCAGAGTTATGTATTTAAACTTAGTATGAAAAATGTATTTTGTTTTTTTAATAGTTAATTTTAAGGTAGCCTCTAATTAATCCATATTTTTGATAGATTCATATTGTACATATATTTCTAGGTTTCTATCTTGAGAAAGAAAAAAATTATAGCACTTTGAAAAATTATTAGAAAAAAGATGTATACTTTGTCTTTGCTCTAGTCCTTTATTGAAAGATTTTGCTTATAAACACAAAAACTATGTGCTAAGTAAAAGTGATATTTTTAGTGAATATTCATGGATTTCAACTGTATGGCTGTGCTCACCATGTGAATGAAGAAGTGTTTCTTCCAAAGTCCTTTAAACATTGTTATGTTTATCTTTTTATAAGAAATGTAGCGATACTGTTCATTAATATCCTTACTTGTATGTGTCAGTGTAGAGACACCATGGTACTTCCTAGCAACTTTCTTCTCACTTTTTTGCAATTTGAAAGAAATATCTTTCATAATTTTCTTAAGTTTTATAAAATATTACCTGAGGATAAAAGCCAGAAATAGAAAATGTCTAAAGCACTCAGTGATCTGGGAAGAGTAACTGTAACTTGGGTGCAGTCACAGATGTTGCTATTTAGATTTGACACCTTTCCTTTGTGTTTCTTTCTGTAAATCAAAATCATTGGTGGTATATGTAAGTTACAATCTAAAGAAATGTGATTTTCAGGTATTTGCAAGCATTTTTATGCATGCATTCTGTAAAATCACATTGCATATCATTTAAGGAATATGTGTCCTTTTGAGAAGTGAAGGGAAAGTCTACCTATGCTCTTCCTGGTCCTGACCCTGAAGACTTTATTGTTTTCTTTAACTTTCAGAACACTTACATTCTGGTGCATGTTTTGGAGTGTATGCAAGTTTGTGTTTCCCACTGTAGCATGTGCTCTTGTAACTTTTCCACCCTGAGTTTCCAGAAGTTCTTTTAAATGGGGAGGTACTTAGAAGTGAGATCATTAATGAGGAATAAGCATGTATAGCTTCTTGAGAATTCGAACCAGAACAGCTTGGTTCTTGGAAAAGGTGCCATAAAACACTAGTTGCATGCTTGGAATTTGGGTTTTGTTGAGTTCAAATGTTAAGTTCATTTTCTACTAAGCATTTATCTATCTATGTATTTTGCTTTTAGGAGAAATTTTGCAATTCCATGTGATAAGAACCCCTCCTGGTCGAGGAAATGTTACTGTTGACTGGAAAATTATTGGGCAAAATCTAGAACTCAATTTTGCTAACCTTACCGGACAACTCTTCTTTCATGAGGTAACACCACAAAGAAAAGCTTCATCACACATTTCTAGAAGGAGAAACATTGTGAAAAATGTTGAGGAAAATATGATAGAAAAGTCAAAACCACTTGTAGAAATCATCGTTCTCAGCTGGGTGTGGTGGCGTGTGTCTGTAATTCCAGCACTTGGGAGGCTGAGTCAGGAGGATTGCTGCAAATTCAAGGGCAGCCTGAGCTGCAAAGTGAATTCAAGGCCAGCTTTAACTGCAAGTGAAACCCTGTCTCAAAAAGACAAAAAATAAAATAAAATATTAAAAAGATCATTCTCTCTTCTTCACACCCGCTTGGTATTAATTTGGATGAGATTTTCATTGATTAGCTCAGCATTCAAAATCTTCCTCAGTTTCCTCCTGTCTGCTTGGATCCTGTTTTCTCATGAGCCAGTGGTTCTTATTTAGTTCATAGAATTCTTGTTTAAATGAAGACATGTTTGGGTGCACAATTTATAAGGTCAATGCAAGCAAGCAGTAATTTATGGTTAGTAACAGTACAGGTATGAATTTCTGCTTGACACAGGGGACACTGAATAAAACAATATTTGTGCATCTGCTGGATGACAACATTCCAGAGGAAAAAGAAGTATACCAAGTCATTTTGTATGACGTCAGGACACAAGGTAGTTCAGAATTCAATTTTGAGTTTTCTTTGGTATTGTTTTTTTTGGGCGGGGGAGAAACAACTGTTGCTATCTCTGTATTTGCCAATTAAAAATACTCCTTTAGCTGTTGTCTGCCCCATAGAAACGTTAGATCTAAAAAACACTAGTGGAATATGAGAATGCTTAGCCTTACAGACTCAGGGAACAGTGCTACAAGTGTTGCTAATTATTTATGGAATTAAAATATACTTCTGAAGGTAGAAATTTATGAAAATAATTTTATGCTAACGAATCAATTTGGATTTTGGACAATTACAATACAGGATACAGGCAGTTTGATTTTAGTTATTTTTGAGCAAATTATCTAAATACTGCCTTCAGATTCTGTTCAGTGTCTATAATTCTGATAAGAAAAGCAGCCAATAAGAACAACAATCCACCAAGTGATAAAAAGTCATGATTTGCCATCTTTCAGAAGGATGGAATGTGGATTCTGTTTGTTGACCTGCAGATTCTATCACAGATGCTAACAGGCCAAATCCTGTTTGGTTATTTTGCTTCCAAGAGCAGGGGTCTAATTTAAGTGCTTAGAGGTTAATGTCAGATCGTGGTTAGATTTCCTGATGGGTCCCTGCTATTTCTAGGGGTTCCGCCTGCAGGAATGGCTCTCCTAGATACACAAGGATACGCCGCTGTCTTGACCGTCGAAGCCAGCGATGAACCGCATGGAGTTTTGAATTTTGCTCTTTCGTCCCGATTTGTTTTACTGCAGGAGGCTGACATGACGATTCAGCTTTTCATCAATCGAGAGTTTGGATCTCTAGGTCTGTGTTACTCTACAGCAAATGGGCAAGGGATTTTTTCTATCCTATTTGTGTGGATGAAGCCTTATAAAAATAAAGGGGAAAAAGTAAGATTTACTAATTCAGGCCAATGCTTTATGATATCATCATTTTGAAAACAGTAAAGGGTCACTTATTTTCACACAAATCCTGGGTAGTGGACAGTCAGGAATTCCCAGCAGCGTAGGGTAGGTGGCTAGCTGTGGGTCCATCGGTTAGGCTGCTCGGCCTACCTGTTTTATTTGTCTCTGAACTAGAGGCAGGAGAAGCAAGGCCACAGCATCTAGGCTTAGAAGCAGCACACACTTACTCCTACCTGGTACTGGGGGCCAGAGCAGCCCCAGGGCCACCCACACGCAACACCCAGAGGCAGGGAAGCTGGCGCGGTGCGCGGCGGGCCATCACCCTGCTGCAGTCAGGGCACGGGAGAAGGGAAGAACTCCGTCCAAGGGGTGCGGAAAGAAAGGCAGGGTTCGCAGGAGACATCGCTTTCAAAATGTAATTAACTTTGAAGTCCCTTTGCATCCACTTCACTTAGGGGCCGTCAATGTCACCTATGCCACTGTACCCGGAACGCTGAGTCTGAGGAATCAGACGGAAGGAAACCTAGCAGAGCCGGGAGCCGATTTCATCCCGGCGGTAGGCTTTCTGGTTTTAGAAGAAGGGCAGACGGCAGCGGCCATCAACATTACAATCCTTGAGGTAAAACTTCGGTGCCGTTTGCCACTTATTATGTTAAACCTGAAGTCACCACACATGAACTGGGAGTTGATGGAATATTCTACAGCCTCAGCAGTCACATTTCGTAAGGGACTTCTCATAGCTTCTCATTTTGAGGTATAAAATTTCACCAGGACAAGGTTATGGAAGAGCTTTTACTCTTCTCCGTGTTAATGTCATGTGTCTCAGGGCCAGGGCTGGGGCCCAGTAGCTGAGCATGCATCTCCCATGCGTGAGACCCTGGGTTTGAGCCAACCCCAGCACTGTAAAAAAAACCCAAAAAGTATAAAACATATACCACTGTGGTAGGATGTTTTCATTCCTTCTGGGAACAGAAGTGGAATAGCTGGAACAAATGGGACTTCCAGTCTAACTTTTTGAGAAATCTCCAGACTGACCTCCACAGTGATTGCACCAATCTACACTCCCACCAACAGTGCAGGAGAGTTCCCTTTTCCCCACAGCCTGCCCAGCATTTGTTGTTGGTGGTTTTCTTGATCCTGGCCATTCTTTCTGGAGACGGAATCTGAGTGTGGTTTTAATTTGCATTTCTCTAATGACTAAGGATGATGAACATTTTTTCATATATTTATTTGCTATTTGTATTGCTTCATCTGAGAACTGTGTATTCATCTCAGATGCCCATTTTTGTAATAGGTCTTTGAATTTTTGGGATCTGATTTTTTAAAATTCTTTATATGTTCTAGACAGAAATCCCTTTTTTCCCAATTTGAGGGTTTTCTTTTCACTGTGCTGGAGATTTCTTCTGGCATGCAAAACCTCTTTAATAGTATGTGATGGTAGTTACTGATTCTGTGAAGTATTTCGCCTGTGGTTTGATTCTTGTTCATGAATTCTCTACCTACCCCTATGTCTTCAAAATTTCTACCTACTTTGTCTTCCAATAGATTTAGTGTTTCTGTTTTAATATTTAGATATTTGATCCATTTAGACTTTAGTACATGGTGATCGGCATGGGGCTAGTTTTAATTTTTGGCATATGGAGAGCCAGTTTTCCAACACCATTTATTAAAGCAAATGTCTTTCTAGTGAACATTTTGGCCCCTTTATCAAAGATAAAGTGGCTGAGTGTGTTTCTAGTTGTAGTTGTATCTTCTAATCTATTTCACTGATTTCCAGGTCTGTTTTTAGTCCAGTGCCGTGCTGATTTTATTACAGTAGCTTTGTAATATAAATTCAAATCAGGGATTGTGATGCCTCCTGCCTTGCTTTTGTTGCTTAGAATTTTGCTATTCTAGGTCTCTTCTGGTTCCAGATGAATTTTAGGAGTGACTTTTCTAGATCTGTGAAGCATGCTACTGGTATTTTGATTGGGATTACATTGAATCTGTTTAACAGTTTTGGGAGAATGGCCATTTTTACAGTGTTTGTTATTCTATTCATGAACAAGGGATGTTTTTCCATTTTCCGAGATCCACTTCAATTTCATTTTCAAGGCATTATAATTTTCCCTGAATAGATCTTTTATTTCTCTTGTTAGAATGATTCCTAAGTATTTCATTTTTTTGGATGCTATTCTGAAGGGTATGGTTTCTCTTGTTTCTCAGTGATTTTGTTGTTAGTGTATAGGAATGCTATTGATTTTTGAGTGTTGACTTTGTATCCAACTACATTACTGAATTTATTTATTATATCTAAGAGCCTTTCAGTGGAGTTTTGGGGGTCTTCTATATAGAGTATCATGTCATCTGCAAATAATGATAATTTAACTTCCTCTTTTCCTATCCTTACTCCTTTTATTTCTCTCTCTTGTCTAATTGCTCTGGCTAGTATTTCCAGTACAATGTTGAACAGGAGTGGTGATAATGGACATCCTTGTCTTGTGCCTGATTTTAAGGTAAAGGCTTTCAGTTTTTAGCCCTAACATGATGCTGGCTGTTGGTTTGTCATAGATGGTTTTTATCATATTAAGGTAAAGATCATCTATTCCAATTCTCTGTAAGGTTCTTATCATGAATAAGCGTTGGACCTTATCAAAAGCTTTTTCTGCATCTATAGAAATGATCATGTGATTCTTATTTTTGGCTCTATTGATATGGTGGATTACATTTATTGATTTGCGTATTGTTGAGCCATCCCTGCATTCCTGGGATGAATCCCACTTGATCATGGTGTATAATCTTCTTGACGATTTGCCGCATTGTGTTTGCCAATATTTTATTGGGGATTTTTGCATCTGTGTTCATTAGGGAGATTGGTCTGTAGTTCTCTTTTTTAGTTGAATCTTTCTCAGGTTTTGGTACTAGAGTAATATTTGCTTCGAGGAATGACTTAGGAAGGATTGCTTCCTTTTCAATTTCATTGAAGAGTTTGAGGAGTGTCAGTATTAAGTCTTCTTTGTATTTCTTGTAGAATTGTGCAGTGAATCCATCTGGGCCTGGGCTCTTCTTTGTTGGTAATGATTTAATTACATTTTCAATTTCATTAATAGAAATTGGGTTATTCAGCAGTTTTACGTCTTCTTGACCCAGCTTTGGTACTTCATATATTTCTAGGAATCTCTCCATTTCTTCTATGTTATCAAGCCTATGAGAGTAGAGGTTTTCAAAATAGGTATGGATGATCTGTATTTCCACAGAGTCTGTAGTGATTTCACCCTTTTCATTCCTTATTGCATGAATTTGAGTTTTTTCTTTTCTTTTTTTAAATAAGATTGGCTAGGGGCTTATGAATTTTATTTATTCTTTCAAAGAACCAATTCTTTGATTCATTGTTTTTTTGTATTGTTTTCTTAGTCTCTATTGCATTGATTTCTGCTCTGACCTTTATAATTTCCTCCCTTCTTTTGGCTTTGGGTTTCACTTGCTCTTATTTTTCTAAATGTTTGAGGTATAGCATCAGGTTGTTTATTTCTGTTCATTCTGTTTTCCTGATGTGAGAATTCACCGCAATAAATTTTCCTCTGAGGACTGCTTTCATTGTGTTCCACAGGTTCTGGTAAGATGTATTTGTGTTTTCATTTGCCTGTAGATATTGTTTAATTTCTTCTATGACCCACTGATTGCTCAGGAGTGTATTATTCAATTTCCATTTGTTTGTGGGGTTTTTGCAGTTTATTTTATCATTAATTTCTAATTTCATGGCATTATGACGATAACATGCATGAGATAATTTCAATTCTTTTGCATTTACTTGAGTATATTCAATGGGCTAGTATATGGTCTACTTTAGAGAATGTTCCATGTGCTGCTGAGAAGAATGTATATTCTGATATTATTGGGTGGACCACTTTGTATATGTCCAGTAAGTTCGTTTGTTCACAGGTGTGATTCACTTCTGTTACTTCTTTGATGATTTTCTGTCTAGTTGGTCTGTCTCTTTGTGTCAGTGAGGTATTAAGGTCTCTGATTATAATTGTATTATTGCTTATTTGATTTTTCATTTCTGTTAATATTTGTTTTGTATAGCTGGGTGCTCCTGGATTTGGTGCATATATATTTAAGATTGTTATCTCTTCCTCTTGAAGTTTGCCCCTAACTAGTATGTAGTGACTTTCTTTATCTCTTTTGATCATTCTTGATTTAAGTTCACCTTGTCTTCAAACAGAATAGCTACCCCTGCTTTTTGGGGGGTTCCTGTTGTATGTTGTATTGTTTTCCATCCTTTTACTTTCAGTCTGTGAGCTTTCTTTTGGGTTAGATGGGTTTCCTGTATACAGCATATGTTTGGATATTGTTTCTTGATCCATTCTGTCAGTCTGTTTCTTTTAATTGGTGAATTGAGGCCGTTTGCATTAGTGGCTATAACTGATATATATTGGTTTACTTTTTTTTTTTTTTTTTGCATTACAGGGGATTGTACTGGTTTGCTTTTGACATGTTATCTTTCTGCTGTTGATTCTTTACCTTTCTACTCTTGTTTAATTGTTTGCCTTTCTACTCTAATTGTTTGCCTTGCTTAGTGGTTTTTTCCTATGTCTATCTAGAATGTCTTTCAATATTCTTTGGAAGGTTGGTTTGGTGATTATGAAGTTCTTCAGCTGTTCTTTGTCGTGGAAGTATCTTATTTCTCCATCCATTTTGAAGGTCAGTTTTTCAGGTTACATCAGTCTGGATTGGAAATCATTTTCCTTTAGGATCTGACATACTTCACTCCATGCTCTTCTTGACTTTATTGTTTGTGTTGAGAAGTCTGCTGTGATTCTGAGAGGCTTTCCTTTATAGATAATCTGTCTCTTTATAACAGCTTTTGATATTATGCTCTTATGTTGGATTTCTGGGATGGTGATTATTATATGTCTGAGTGTAGTTTTATTTTAGTTATGGCTATTTGGAATTCCATATGCTTCACTGATCTGTATGTCAGTTTTTACTGTCATGTTTAGGAAATTTTCAGCTATTACTTCTGTAAATAGCTTCTTGATATCATTTGTGTTGTCACCTTTTTTATTTATACCTATCAATCTTAGGTTGTTTTTCTTTGCATCATCTTGCAACTGTTGAGTTGTTATTTCCTGATTCCTTGTTATTTTAAAAAGATCTTTCCTTTCCTATTCACTAGCTGCAATCTTGTCTTCGAGGTCTGAAATTCTATATTCACTTTTACTGAGGTGATTTTGCCAACTTTCGATGGAATTTTTGATTTCCTGTATATCTCTTTGAGTCTACTTCATGTATTGTGGTTTTTTTCTTATATTCTTCATTCAGAGCTTTCATCTTTTTGCATTGTCTTCTTTAGATGTGTTCAGTATTTCTTTTATTACATTTATCATTTCTTCTCTTACTTGGGAGATTATTTCTGATCTGAGTTCTTTTATAGCTTCCTGGAGTTGTTTCTTTACTTCAGTTGTTATCATTTCAGGAATTTCAGGTGTATGTGTTATATTGTCTTCTATGTCCATTCTTCCTAGGCTTGCTTGGGTTGAACTGGAAGTTTGAGATTGCATTTGGGTCTTTTGTTTTGTCATTTTCCTCTATTTCCGGGTTTTGAGCGATGCTCCAAAGCTTCTGGTGGGCTGGGAATCACCTGGCCCACTTTTGGCTCCTGGGGCAGACTGCAGGCAACTGCTTGCTCCTTGCAGGTCACTGGGTGTGGCCTGGTTAGGCCCGTGAGGACCTCCTGTGCATCCTGTGGTGATTTAGGTCTTACTGGCTGGTATCCACATTCCAAAGTTTCTCAGAGCACTGGGAATCAACTCTCACACGTTTGGCTTCCAGCGAAATCAGCTTATTTCCTTTCATGGTATTTTTTTCTGCAAACCACTTCTCATTGTTTTTCTTTTTCAAACCACACAAGACGTTGTAGTCGTAATTAGGTGGGCTGACCCTCCGTGGTGTATTTGTTTACTGAAATACCTCACCATAAACAGAAGCTTCTTAGTGCATTTTCTCGCTACCATGGCTCTGCCTAAGAGATACCCAAGGAGCCCTTTGATGACTCCAAATGGCTCACTCTGCTCACATGACTATGGTCTGGGCCTTCACGTTGGGGACCCACAGGGCCAGGGAAAGCAGAAAAGTCACTAGCGGCCAAGGGCGGAAGGGGGATACAGTCCAGCCTACAGAGATTACTGGGGACCGAAATTGCATTTGAAATGATTTCTCATGTGGTGAAATCTTGTGCTGTTTTTGGACTTCGTGTTTCAGCTACTTAAACACATCTGTAAGAGGTTTATAAAAATAGTACCATGGAAAGGGTAGGGGTAGAATGAGAGGAAGAGAAAATAAGCACTACATTTGAAAACAGTGTTCAATTACTGTGATATGTATTTTGAGGTTTCACGTAAAAAGGTTTTATTCCTTTAAAGACTTTCTACTTTTAGCTATAATTGCATAAACTATATATCATCTGTAGCCAGTTACTCTTATTTTGCTGATACTGTGGCATTGTTACCTAATGTAACATCCATGGAAACTCTAAATCCACAAACTAAAAGGTAATAGTATGTCAGTTAGGTTTCAGGTAACATGGGATGTGAAAAAAAAATTATAGAAAAGTCATCTTTCAAATGTCTTATCTGTTAATGTAATTGGATATAATTAAGTGGACTATTCCTTAGTTATGTTGTTTTTTTCTTTTTATTTTTTGGTGCTGGGTATCAAACTCACAACCTCGTGCTTGCCAGCCAGATGCTTATACTGCTGAGCTAAATCTCTGGCCCCTAGTTATGATATTTTTAAACCAGAAAATACATAGCACCTTTTTTTTTTAACCTATATTGCTTTTGGATCCTGGGTTTCAGTTCCACTTTTTTCCCTAGCTTTTTGCAACTTTTTCTGCTCCCTGAGTAACACTGTAGGCCTGACGTAGGAAAAGCAAGCCACTTTGGAGAGCAATGTTTAGTCACTTTCCTTCTCTCCGAGACACAATATCTGACACCTACAACTTAAAGGAACTTTATCTTGGTTTGAGATTATATGTCATGGTTGGCTGTTCCAAGGCAGTACAGCTTGGCAAGGGAGAGTTGTTCATGTCATGGCAGCCAGGAACCATAGAGGAAAGGAAGGAGCAGGAGGGGATATGCTCTTCCAGGTCACGTCACTGCTTCCAGGTCACAACACTGCTTCCAGGTCATGCCACTACTTTTTGACTTGACCCCACCTTCTAACAGTGTCAGCTCTATCACTCCTATGCATTACTCACCTTCCAGAAGCCCCATGAGGGCATTCTCAGTCTAAATCATAACAGATGACAAGCAGGGAGTGCTGCATGGGCTAGGGACAACGGAAGTAGGAGGGAAACAGTCTTTTTATACCACTGATTCTCTAATTTATGTTTTCCCACACATTATATAGGATAATCTAAATAAATTTTCACTTTCTTGTGTTTTCATCTGAAAAAAACCTCCATGAAATGAAATGAAAGTGTATATTGGTATGTGTATACTGATCTTTTACACACATGCATACATACACACACTCACACACCTATACAAACATTGAGTTTCTGTATAAATATGAGCTCTTTACTCCTGACATGAAGTTTACTAATCCTTAGGCTCAAGGTACCTGCCTTTGAGTAAATTTGGGATCTGCCTTTGAGTAAATTTGGTTGTAGATCTCTTTGAGTGCAAAGCCTGTATATTTTTCATGGTACAATAATATTATTCATTTTCAGTACTGGATATTATATGAGTCTTTTTTTTTTTTTTTTTTTTTTTGGTACTGGGGATCGAACTTACAACCTCTCACTTGCCAGGCAGGCATTTACACCACTGAGCTAAATCCCCAGCAGATATTATAAATGTTTAAAATCTTTTACTCATGTTATATTTAAAATAGTGATGTTTGTATAGTTACATGATTGGTTCATCTATTATATGCATCTAGATTAAAACTATTACATTTAAGTAGTCTCATATTGTTGTCTAACAACTGCTTATACATCAAGCATAAGGTTAGTACTTTTATGTTTGTTTTTCTAATTTAAATTTCTACCATTTGCTTACAATTTTATATTTTCCATATACTGCTTTTGCAAATGTATGTGTAAAAAAGTATTTTTAAAATGGCTTATGGGAGTAAATTCCTTTTGAGAATACACTGAAAAGAATGGAATTGGGATGGTTTTTCAGGATGCTATACCGGAGCTGAAAGAATACTTCCTGGTGAATTTAACTTCGGTTGAGCTCATCATGGCTCCTGTAACTTCATTTCCTCCCAGACTAGGTATGATGGACTTTTTCTTTTATTCACTTGAAATGACATAACTTCATTTTTTAATGTGAAGTGATCATTGTGATGCTTGTTAATCTCAGTTATGTGTGAAAATATGATGAATTTTTATATTTATTTTAATTTAGAAACTATATAGTTTTGTACATGTGACACTATAAAGATATTAAGTAGTGTCATAATGTTTACAGCTAATTTTTTACAATTATTTTATAACAATATATTTAATCTCTAAAATGGTACTGTGCTTTGAGAGGCATTTACCTTTCCACTTTATTTTAAAATTTAATGATCTATTTTATTAAATCTCTAAACTCTGAGATGTTATTTTTTTCAGGTTAAGCAGAAACTTTTGTTTGTGTGTTGTGTTTCCTGCTTCTCTTTTGACCTTTGATCTTTTTCTTTTCATGTTTTTAGAAAAGACTCAGTTAATTCATTACAGACTGAAAGGTAAAAACTTGAACCTTAGTACAAATTTACGTAGATTCCTTTAAAAACAGTGTCTCCTTTGGACCCAAACTTATTTGCAGTTTGTGGTGTCTGTAGGTGTGGTTGCCCAGTAGGGGGCGGGGTAGAGCAACACTGAGGGAACCTGTGCATCCTCTGGGTGGAAAGTGCGCAGGACGTGGGGCCAGCAGCATGGGGCAGAGGCAAAGCTGGACGGGAGCAGTGGCCGGAGAAACAGCATTGCTCATTCTCCTTTGATGCTCAGTGTGACAGCTGTGAAAACACTGAAAAGAAGCAGTCGTTTTCCTAGGCAGTAGCGTTGCACAGGACAAAGGAACCGGGTGGCCCTTCAAGGATTGCTGGGAGCTGATCTGTGGAGCATAGCTGGAATTGCTGGCTTCTGCCAAGCTCCTGCTGGGACCTGCAGCATTTCCATTTGCCCGTTTTGTGGATGAGGGAGCAGAGGCTAAGAGAAACTGACAAGAGTGACCCAAACCACACCGCCAGGTGGTGGTCGAGCGAGGCTTTTTCGCGTCTTGTTCCATGGGTGCGGATCCTGGTGCTAGGTCCTCTCCAGACCCCACTGCCGCCTTCCGTGGCGGTGCCTCCTGCGCGGGTGCAGCAGGGGACAGTGGGTTATCCCTGAAAGGTCTGTGAGGGCCTCCCCACTGGGCTAGGGAAGATAGCACTCTTCTCCTTACCTCCCCACCTTGGGAGAGTCAGGAGTACCCTAAACTATATGATAGAAGACAAAAAGTTTTAAAACAAATTAATAGGCATGGATGAGTTAATGGTTCAGGGTTAAGTAGTAGGTACTGTGTCAATAACAAGCCACACTTCACTCACAGAACACAAGATAGGAAGGTTAAGAGTCGTCCGTGGCCTTTGTCTCCGTCTGTCCTGCCTCCCCTTCTCTTCCTCCTGTGCAGTTGGCACCCTGTCCCTGTGGGACACTCTGTTCCACACCACCCCTGCCTTCCTCCTCCTATTTCACTGCCTCTTTTTCTTGCCTTTCTCCTTCAGTGTCCATTTCCCCTCCCTCCTTAAGTGGTCGTCTTATAAAGGTGTCAATTTTTTAAAAATTAAAATAATAGGAATAAAACCATATGCTCAATTGCTTATCATTTCGTGCTGTTCTTAGTTGGTTTAATTTTTATAACTCAGTGGCTCTTGCAAGCAAGAGTGTCCTTTTTCAGATATGATCAGTATTCGTGCCTTTACTTTCTGGAAGCATCTTTTGAGTCAACCATACCTGTGTATTAGGAATTATACAAACTCAAGGGGACTGTCTAAATTCTATATCAAACAGAGCTTTTAAAGGTAATTTTAAGTAAGGTTTATGTTCATTTTAAAGTCTGTGCCTGTGTTTTTGCAGATTCAGAAGGCTTGACTGCACAGATCATCATTGATGCCAGCGATGGTGCCCGGGGTGTGGTCGAGTGGCAGCGGAGCAGGTAAGCCCAAGGCTGGGCAGAGGTCCTTCGCCGGGCACACTGTCAACCAGGGAGAAGTTCAGAAGATCAAAGCCTTGTATTCTCTTTATTACAGCTTTGAAGTAAGCGAATCCCACGGAAGTGTGACCTTGGCAGCCCAGAGGGGCAGAGAGGCCCTGGGCCAGGTGTCCTTGTTCGTGTATGCCCAGAATGTGGAGGCCCAGCTGGGGCAGGACTACATCTTCACACCCATGGTAGGTTTCGGGGGGGTGATCGCGGTGACTTTGTTAATTACTTTTTCATCATCATTCCTTCTAAATTATCACGACTTAGGTCTTGCATAAATAAATTAATCCTGAAAAGATATTTTATATTTCCTCAGCAATTTAGGGAAAAAGTATTTCCATCTGGTGGAATCATTTTTGTCACTATTTTAGCAAATAATGTCATTTGAACTTTTAGTACTAGACTAAGGATTATTCTCCACTTATGAACTATTTTATCACAATATTTGATGCTAGAGAACATAGAATCTTGTGTTAAAGAATTTATACATGGAATGACCTCAGAATTTTTCTTATACTTCTTGAAAATGTTAACTTAGTTTTTCTTTTTACTTTATCTCTTTCTACCTTTTATTTCTTAGCTGGATGTTTGCTTTTTATTTGTCTTCCATAACCTTTAGTTTTTGAAGTAAAATATTGTCCATTGAAATAAAAAAGGTATCACTGCAAAAAATAAGGAAAATAATTTTGTGTAAAGTAACCTTTTTCAATTACAATTATGTTGTATTTCTTTCCAAATATTTTATAAAGTCTCAGAATATATTTAAATATAAAACTGTTTCCTTTTACCTTTTGATCAGATTCTTCATTTTGCTGATGGAGAAAGGTATAAAAATGTAGACATTGTGATCCTGGATGACGACATTCCAGAAGGAGATGAAAAATTTCAGCTCATATTGACAAATCCTTCTCCTGGACTGGAGCTGGGGGAGAATACAATAGGTAACTGAGGATTCCTTATCCATAGCCCTCCGAATCATGCTGGTTTCCCTGCTATGGGGGCAAGAGGTTTCTCTACTCGGAATGAAAGGCATTTTAAGGATTTCAGAATCCCTGTGTCGGTGAAATGTGCTTTGTCCTGTGTGTTTGTGTGCGTAATTATGCTGCAAATCAAAACTAGGTTGGTACTGCAGGGAGCAGCTTAGCTGGAGATCAACCTCGCATTGGGGGAAGAGCAAGGCCAGCCCCTGACACACAAAGGGCCAGAGGTGAGCCATGGGACCAAGTTGCTGGGCCTGGAGCAAAGCCCTGGTGCTCCTCCCGTTAACTGCAGCACAGAGAGCTCTGAGAATGTTTTGCTTTCAGTGTTCTGAGCAAAATACTGAGACGGCGCACTTTCAGCCCTATCAGTGCTTCCCCTCCTTTACTATGAATATGCAAATATGCAGGCCATGCTGGGTTGTCACTGTCTCTCCAATAGAGAGGTCGAGTCCCACCCGGTCCCAGCTTTCCTTTGATTCTGTATCTTGTTTTTTCCTAATCTCTCATTGTCCCCTCTCGGGGTTGCTACGTGGTGCTAAAGGCAATAAATAGTAAAGCATTTCCTCATATATGACAGTAGTGTTTAATCTGCAGGGGTCTTCCCTTTGGAATGTGAGTTCCGCTCTGGTTCCCTTCTTAGCTGTGGAAGGGGTGACCAAGGTGTTTCTCAGTGTCCCCTGACCGCCACAGTTCTCCAGAGTGGAAAGGTGTCAATTGCTTGCACTGTCACAGACACAATCCTTCCTTTGAAATGGTTCGATGTTACTAAAATTCATCCTGCTTCTCTGCTTGTTGGCGGCTGACTCCTTGGAGAAAGGAAAAGGAGACAGAAGAGGAAGCTGCATGAACACACCGGGTTAGAAGGGCTCTCAGGACTCCCTTGAAAGGACAGGAGAGTAGCTCATGGGTAACGCATGTGCAGGCCTAAGAGGCCCTGTGGCCCACCCATGACACTTCAGACCCTCTGTGTGATGGGGGAGCCAGCTGGACTCACAGGACAGTGCCTCCTAGTTTAGCTGGTGCTTGAGCATTCTCTGGGATTTTAAGCTCATTCATTTTAGATTCCTAACTTAATGCAGTCTCTCTCTCTCTCTCTCTCTCTCTCTCTCTCTCTCTCTCTCTCTCTCTCTCTCTCTCTCTCTCTTTTTTTTTTTTTTGGTACCAGGGATCAAACTCACGACCTCACACTTGCCAGGCAGGTGCTGTGCCACTGAGCTATCCCCCTGGCCCTTAATGACTTTCTGTGAAAAAAAATTTTTTTCTGTTTAGGAGTGAAAAATACGACAGAATTTTGAGTAACCAAAGGTCTGATGTTAGTTTTATTGCTGAATTGTATTAGTTTGTTGATGTTTTGATAAAATAAATTGATACTTCTAAGTCTCCAGACATTTGTTTTCAAGGACATGGCTGTAGTTTTGTATTGAGAGAGCATATGCCTGAGATGAAATGGTTTTCTTGTAGAACATAGAGAGTTATAGGTGCAGGATGTGGGGATGGACACTCAGTGTTTGTTAAGAATTGTTTATATAGTGCCTGGAGGGGGTGTAGCTCAGCAGGGGGTGCCTGCCTGGCAAGCATGAGGTCCTGAATTTGAGTCCCAATACTCCTCTAAAAGAATTGCCTATGTAGAAACAATTTAAACTGCAGTTCAGATGGATTTTTCTAAGGGTTCAAAGACATGTGAACTTAGATGAGGCGCGACCAAGGCTTCATGCTTCCAAGGAGGCTGCTGTTTTCCTGTTGTGTCTTTGCCATTTTGGAGCACTGGCTTCATCCCAAATCTGGTATACTCACTGTTAAAAGACGGTGGTCAGCATCATTTTTCTGCATTCCACAGAACAGGAAAGTGAGGCATTCTCATGTCTTGAAATAATTCTGCTCAGGATTGTATTGGTTACGTGCCTGCCATAGTGAGCAAGTGGGAGGAATATATCACTGGGCTCTCCTGGGCTTTAGGCTTCTGATTTTCCATATTTAAAACATTTCTCAAAACAATAAGTGCTTTGAAAGTGGAACTATTGATTGTTCCCAAACCTTCATAAAGCTTTGGCGAGTACCCTTGTATCTGAGTCCTTATAAGCAGAGATGGTTAGGACCATGTCCAGGATAGTGGGCACTGACTTGGGGGACAGGACCACTGCCTCCATCTAGTGTGCATTTCCCAGTGCTCCGACAACTGTGTCTCCCCATCCTCTCCAGCAGTTTCTTTTGTCTTTGAATTTGTGTGTGTGTGTGTGTGTGTGTGTGTGTGTGTGTGTATTTTGAGACAAGGTCTCACTATGCAGTTTAGGCTGGCCTTGAACTCACTTGGTAGCCCAAGCTGCCAAGGTCTCTAACTTGCAACGGTTAGAGACTGTTCCTGCCTCAGCTTCCCGAATGGCTTTGAATTTTTATACTGAATCCAGTGGATGAAGAATATGTGATCATATTGTACATTACTACACATTTTTCTTTTGTTAGTGAGTTTGACTTTGGTTATTTTTCTTTGCATGGTCCTATTTTTTAGGTCCCTTGTATACTTTTCTGTGACTTGTGTTTGTATTGGTTTGTATGAATATTCTTACTATGAAGCCAATCCTTCATTTCATAAGTATGTCACAAATATTTCTCCTGGATTGGCATTTATTTTGATGCCTTTTATTCGGAAACTTTTTTAAAACCATAAAGTATCAGATGTTTTCTAATAATTGGTTAAATCCTATTTATTTCTTTCTGCCCACTCTAAAATATCTTACCACAATAAAATACTAGAATAAAGTAATATATTTATAAGAATATACTTTATCATCATTTTTATTTACATTTATTATCTATCATGCAAGGACTTTATTCATCAGTAGCGTGTGAGACAAGGGTACAGCTGTATTTTTGTCCTAGACTGTGTAAAGCAATGTCCCGCTGTCACAGAGTCACAGAGAAATGAAACACCTGTTGGCTGTTGGGTTTCAATGTGAAACTCTTTCTCACGTGTCCAAAGCTGATAGAAGGTGTGGTAGAGGTGTAAGCAGCTCTCAGTCCTGCCAATATCTGTGCCTGGGCTGGAGGGAGCTCGGGACTGTCCCTCCTGAGAAGGACAGCGGCTGGGCGCTGGCTCACAGGCGCTTGGGCTTGAGGGCTGCCCTGGGCCGTTAGAGTCCCACACCCCAGCAGTGCTGGGCTTGGGCTCATAGGTCAGGGCTGACCTCAATGCACAGAGGGCACTGGGGGGCTCATAGGTCAGGGCTGACCTCAATGCACAGAGGGCACTGGGCAACTAGGAGCTGCCGTGTGTGCCTGCAAGTGAGACATGGGCAGGGGCACAGTACTGGGTGACAGTACCCACCACGGTTGCCCACTGCAGTGTTGTGATTTTCTTCCTATGGATCTTAGGGTTTCTGTGTTAACATCCAGGTATCCTCCTGTTGTGAGCAGTACCATCTCCCCATTCTGTTTGGACCTGTTAGCCCATGCATGGACACGCCGTGGTAGTCTGTAAATGTGTGTGCCCCAAGCATACTTCCTGACCTTGCATATGGCTTTGCTGTTTCCTACTTCTGAACTTCAGACAGCCATGCATCAGTTGCATGTTCTGTGAAATGGGGATAATAATCTACTCTATCTTGCAGAGTCACTGTAATAATTAGGTGGGTTACATCCATGCAAAAACTAGTAAGTCGTTGATAGTATTGGTTGTTGCAGTTACTAATCTTTTTATTAATGGTTGTAAAAATAGAAGGCTCTTGATTTTTGAAGATTTCTAAGCCTGTGTTTTGGACTCTTACAATTCTAATAATTTTTTTCCTTGTGCATTTCCGTACTGGGCAAGCATTTCATTTAGAAAACAGCGGAAGCTCGGCACTCCCTTTCCATCCTTTGTGCCTGAGAGCCGGGCGATACCCTTAGGACGCTGCCATCTGTAGCAGGGACGAGCTAGGAACTGCACTGGGAGTCTGTTTTCTGTTTCTAATGGTCATGATTTCACTCTCAACGTCCCATTCCGTGTGGCAGGGCTAGGACTCCTGAGAGACATCGGTGCACCAGCTTCACGAGTCTGCTTCGCTTCCAGGATTACAGGGCATTTTTAAATCACAAGGAATAGGGTGCTTTAAACAACTCTCCTCTTTTTAAAAAGAAAGATTTTGCTTAAAATAACGAGTATAGGTAAAGAATTAGCCTCTTGTACAAAGAAATAGCCGCGCTGCTGCCAGCGTGTGGACCTCGTTTTGTTTCTGTTGTTCACACCATCCGTTCTTTTCTCTCGCAGCGGTGATCACCATCCTGGCCAACGACGATGGCCCTGGGGTCCTCTCCTTTAACAACAGCCTGCACTTCCTCCTGCGGGAGCCGGCAGCTGGCCACGCACAGGAGAGCGTGGCGGTGCTGCACGTGGTGCGGGAGCCCGCGCACGGGCTGTTCGGGACGGTGACTGTGCAGTTCGTGGTGACCGGAGTGAACTCCTCAGAGGAGTCCAGGGACCTCATGCCTTCCAGCGGCTACATTGTTTTGGAAGCAGGAGTCCGAGTCAAGGTACTGTGTGGCCCTTAATGAGAACTGGAGATTCCCTTTAGTATCACAGAAGCTTCTCTGCAGGGCCACCTGCACCTGGGCCTCAGGGGAAAAGAGGAGCCCTGTGGGTTCAGGCTGTGGGTCCAGGGCTGGAGAGAGGAGCTGCAGGGCGGGCGGGCTGCAGAATGTGCAGCTGGAGAAGTGAGCTCTTCCTGGGGCAGAGGGATGGACAAACACGAAAAACACACAGCCGGTTACAATTGCAAGCGTGGCTAAACGGTGTGATTCAGCATAAACGAAACTCAATTCCAGGTCCCATGCTGTCATGTGTTTTTGCCATAGTTTAGGTGAACGAAATGCAACGGCTTACTTTAGTAGGTAGTTTGAAAACAGGAAGATATGGAATAAGGCTGAATTTGAGTTTAGGAATGTGAGCTTAACAGAGGTTTGCCTTCCAAACTTGTTTTTCTACATATTGACTTTTCTGTTCCCATGACTATGCTTTATTTTCTTAAAAACACAGTTTAAATTTAAGATAATTATGCAAGCTTTAGACATTTTTAAGCTGACTTTATAAAATATAACTCCAAAGTAATATATGACTTATGACTCTTCCATCTAAAACAGTTCATCTAGTTAAGTGGTTGATACATTTGTGTAAACTCAATGTAATTTGATGTTTAGCTTTTTTAATGTGCTTGGAAATTTAAAGCTTCTAATTGTTCAAAGACCCAATTAAATCCTGGAATGATACAAAAATTCAAGTTTGAAGTTTATTATGAGGTTTTCATTTTCATGTCTTTTTCTTCATTTTTAAATCTTTTTAAATTTTTGTATATTTTAAATTTTTTATTGTATTTTTCTTAAATTGCTTTTGCATAGTGTGAAGAAAGAACTTTCTGTTCATTAGGGAAATTAAATGTTAGGACAAATTGGACTAAGTTTTAATCCACTTAACTACTTTTTCCCATGTATTTTTATTTTGAAATGCACAATTCTTAAAGGCATACAGGAGTGACTTAAAAGATGTATGCACCCCTGCAACCGCTCAGATTAAGATATTTAATGGTTCTGTAACCTAGAAGGGTCTTCTTTTGCCCGTTGCCCCTTCCAAAGGAAACTGCTTTCTAATGTCTGTAATTATAAGCTCACTCTGCTGGTTCTTGAGCTCTGTGTAACCCACATCATAAAGTTCTCCTCTTCTGTGTCTGACTGCTTCCCCTCAGCACCATGTTGAGATCCGTATGATTGCATGCATCCACAGTTTCTTTTGTTGCTGAGTAGTTTCAGTAGAGATCCCAGTTTGTTGTTCCATTCTCCTGTGGTAAAGATTTGGTTTGTTTCTGATTGGCACCTGGTATGGTATGGTATTACTATACTTGAACAGTGAATCCCAGCTTAGAATGGAATAAATAAAGCTACACAGTCAGGGAAGCATTAACAGTTAGTAAAAATGAAGATGTGAATTTAATCTTTTGATGAGTGTTATTTTTAAATGCTTAAAATATTTGTTTTTTAGATGCTTCATTGCAATATATATATGCCTGTTTTGAAAATCTGCAAACTAGTACCTTGAAACAGAGCTATTGCATTGTGGGGATCATTATTACAAAGAAAAGAGGTGGTGTTTCTGAAAACATTATTTTGTTGTCAGCATGTGCAATAATGTTCTCTGTGTGTGTATTGTAAACTGTATTCTGATAACTGTATCATTTGATTTTGTTTTCAGGCCCTACACATAGCTGCCATATTAGACACGGAACCAGAAATGGATGAACATTTTGTCTGCACCTTGTTCAACCCAACTGGAGGTGCTAGGCTAGGGGAACGTGTGCAAACCCTGATAACAGTTTTGCAAAACCAGGCCCCTTTGGGGCTATTCAGTATCTCTGCTGTGGAAAATAGGTATAGTTTATTAGTAAGGACATTATCACTTTGGAAACTAAGTAGGGAATGTTTTTGAACATAAGAAATGTCTGATTATTTGAAAAAGGACTTTTGGTTTTTTTTTTTTTTTTTTTTTTTTTGAGACAGAGTCTCACTATGTAGTTCATGATGACCTTGAACTCACTTATGTAGCCAGGCTGGCCTTGAACTCATGACAGTCCTCCTGGCTCAGCCTCCCAAGTACTGGGATTACATACATGTGTCACCCCATCTGGCACAAAAAGGGACTTTTAAAATGACTCTTGATGTCAGATTCAGAGAGGCTGTAAGCTCACTCTCATAACCCAAAGGCTAAATTCGTCTGATATAAATGATATCATTAGAGTTTTTATATTCTCAGGCTTTCAAGTAAAGGCCTGCATTATTTCATGCTTTTAAAAATAATGAAAATCAAGAAATATAAAATGTGCTTGGTTGCTCAGACCAAATGAAGGACTCTTCCAGCACATGTTAACATGACTATAATTCTAAAACTTCCTCTGAGAGCTAAGCATATTTATATTTTATATCTCAGAAGTACTTTAAGAGATGAATTTTTATTAGAATACAAAGAATTTCTTGACTCATTTTCCCCCAATCAGATGTTTCTGATTTAAGTATGAAAACATTTAAAAATGGTAGTTTTATTTCTTGTTTAGAATGCATAATGTGAAGTTTCTGGTTCTCAATATTTTCTTAATATTATACCATGAGAGTATTGCATTTGGACTTTTACAAATACTCCATAACTGAATAATTTTTTCATGCTAAAATCTAGTATCAATATGTAAAACTTGTGACTGTTACTTAAGTTGCATAAAGTTAGTATCAAACATATGCTAGCATTGCATACATTTAATCACTTGGTTTCTTTTTTTAGAGCCACCTCTGTTAACATTGAAGAAGCCAACAGGGCTGTGTATTTGAATGTATCACGTATGAATGGCATTAATTTAGCTGTGAGCGTGCAGTGGGAGACAGTATCTGAGACAGCCTTTGGAATGAGTACGTTTGGTTTCTCATATAAGCAAAATTCCATAACTAAGAAATACCTGTTTTCATGGTTTGTGCCTTGCAAATTCATTGAAAGCAGGGAATAGATATCTAATCCTATTACTGCTTCCACAAATATGTATTGAGTGCCCATCACGTGCTAAGCCTTACAAAGTTCATCAATCTTAGAATTCAAGCAGCTACCAAAAAGTAATCAAATAAGTAAGTCACTGAGTCATTCGAGCTACAATACATGACTTAAAGGGAAATGATAGGTACCAAGAACACAGGGGTGAAAAGTGAGATGGATTATGCAGAGTACCAGGCTGGAGGAACCTGGAGATGAGAGAGGGAAGCTGTGGAGACAGGAGGCTTGCGGCACAAGGAGACGTCAGGAGTGAAGAACTGGATTGGACATCGGTGTAGAGATAAGGGAGTTTGGAGCTTGCATAGCTACTAAAGACCCGATCATTGAAGAGCTTGAAAAAGTTGTATGGATGTCAGGATTGTATCCTGAGGTTAAAATATTGAACTTTTTCCCAGTAAGCCTTTGAATGGTTCAGGAATGGAGGAGGGAGGTGTCATATAGTAAGCTTTGCATTTGATGTTATTCATAGTGACTCACAAAGAATTGGTTGTTACAGAGGAGAGGAGAGGATCCAGGGAGAAATTCAGCAAAGCAACAGATGATGATAGCTCAGACCAGTAATGGACTGGATGCGGAGGTGACTGGGAGGAAAGGCATGGCTGACTGTTAGGTTTCCTGCTTGTACTGTTGGATGGAGGGTCCTATTGTACACAGAGAAAAGAAATTCAGAAGAGAAATTGGTAGCTGAGTAGCCTGATGACCTCACAGAGGAGAGAGACCCAGGGGGTCCAGGCCTGCAGACAGCAGCAGAAGAGTGTGTTCATATGGAAGGAGAGGTAAAGTATGTCATCTGCTGACTAGGAGTCCAGTTGGATGAAGACCAACTATAACCATAGTAGTTAGCAACGTCGAAAGCATCAGAGACCACAGCAAGAGCCTTTTGTATAGTGAGACAGTAACACTGTGTGTGCAGATGTAGGAGCCAGTCCACTATTTCAGAAGTTTGGCTGGGAGGTAGGACCTAGAGAAGGTAGTGATGTGTGGGATTAAGAGTTGTTTTGTTTTGCTTTGCTTTGTTTTGTTTTCTTAGTTTGGAGTGATCCAAGCGGGCATGTTTCAATGCTGGTAGAAAGGCCTAGGAGACAGAGCAGGAGTGAATACTTAGAACAGAAGAGGATAATGAGTAGTACTGTGGATGCCTAGAAGGCAACCAAGAAAGGCAATGGTTTCTAACTCAGTTCTCTCCTTATTTCTTGGGCTCTGCGTGTGCTCTTTGGAAGTTCTTGTGAGAATGGAGAGTCTCGAGTCTCAGTGGTTGTTTAATCTGTACTTACTATCTTCCTGAGTCAGTGGATAAGGATTTGTCCCCACATCAGGGTCACTCAAGACTTACAGTGAAAAAGCTTTGGAACCCATCCAAAAGGTGGCAAAGTGGAAATTTAGAATGTTGGATTTTTAGGAAGGGAAATTGCCAATGGATACTGCACATAAGCATTGATAATGGTAATCTAAATATAGCCAGTCACTTATTAGAAGCCTGGCTTTCCATCTTGATATGTGTTCTTGCTGCATCTTGTTCATACCATTGGCCAGAGTTTGAAAATAATGTACTTTCTTTGGAAAATAGTCATAAAAATAGGCCATCGAAACTTTGTATATGCATAGTCATTCCATAGGAGTTTTCTGTTTTTCTTTCTTTCTTGTAACACAAAATTTTAGAATATGTGCAAGTTATGAGCAGTTTGATAAAATTCTGCATTGGCATTCTTAAAATACATGAAATATAAAATGAGAGGTCATTGGGTAGGCATGGTTTCAAAATTGTGTAAGTCTAACGTTTGATATGTTTCTATAAGGAACTTTTTTCTTCAACAATTTCTCAGTTGTATGTTCATCATGTTTATGAAATTTAGTAAAATCATGTTTAGCAGATTTCCCTTTTTCAGTTAGTATTCATTTTTAAACATACCTTGGAAAAGTCTACGTGGATTCAGAGTAAAGTATTGATACAGCTCTTGCGTTTTAAAAACCATTATCTTTAGTTACTATTTTTAAGTTTTCTGGTAGGTAAGATTTGGCACTGGTTATGTCATAGTAAATTATTATTTATATTTTTAGGAGGAATGGATGTTGTTTTTTCCATAGTTCAAAGTTTTTTGAACGAGTCAGCTACTGGCTGGTGTTTTTTTACTTTGGAAGATTCAGTGTATGGTGTAATGTTAAGAAAATCGTCATTCACGCTTTATCGATGGCAAGGGATTTTTATTCCACTTCAGGTAAACATCATTTGTTTTACCATACATGAGCAAAAATATACTGATCAATTGTGGATACAGCACAAACTATTATTGTTATTGTTATTCCTCATTCTCTAGGATGTAAATATAGAAAATCCTAAAGTATGTGAAGCCTTTCATATTGATCATTCCCCCTACGTTGTGATCACTCATAAAGAAAGAAATGGAGAAAAACCTTCTGCTAATAGTGTGTACACATTAACATCTGGATTCAAATTATTACTGGTAAAAAAATCTTCATATTTTCCACATAGATTGCTTTAGTTAAAAAATTCAGATTTGTAAGATTAATCAAAATGGAGCCGGGCATAGTAGCTCATGCCTGTAATCCCAGCACTCGGGAGGCTGAGGCAGGAGGATCATTGGAAGTTCGAAACCAGCCTGGGCTACAAAGTGAGCTCAAGGCCAGCCTGAACTGCACAGCGAGACCCTGTCTCAAAAAGATAAAAAAAAAATTTAATTAAAATGGAAGATAATTTATGCTTTATGTTAGGGTGGCAAAGAACTTTTTGCAAATTGGCACAATTTTATTATAGTAAAGAATCTTAAATCAGGGATATTTTGTCTTGAAATTACCCTTATGTATGCATACTCACAGATTGAGTGATTCTTCAAGTCTTGAACTTTATTCATACTGTGACTATATTCATTGTCTTTATTAGTTAAAATCTCCTTTACACTTTTATTCCTACTCTTCCTTGCAGGTTCAAACAATTATTACTTTGGAAAGTTCTCAAGTGAGATATTTTACTGCAGACAATCAAGATTATTTAATTGTTGCAAGTCAAAGAAATGATTCCGAATTAACTCAGGTTTGGTTGTTTAAAATGAATTTTCCCTTTTTAAAAGCACTATGATGGTTATAAAATGCTATCAAATATGGTCTGTAGATTTTTTACAAACTAGAACCATAATTTGGTTGTAGCAAAACAGTAAAGGAGAGTGGAAATATTGATTGATCACGGTTAAGCTTTAAACAGCAGACCTATGAATATTAAGCTTTCTTTGAGAGTCAGAGCAAAAGGAATAATCACAAATATTTAATTACAATGGAACTGAGTTGGAGAATTTCATGGAGGAAAGTCACACAGCTAGACAGAATGCATTGCTGTAAACCTGGGATTAACACTATTATCTGGGCACCCACCGTCACCCCAGAAAGTCCACATTTCTCCTAGAAACTAACTACATCTTGTAATCCCTATAATCCTTATGGATCGCTCGTATCACTTAGACTTCTGTACTATCGCTTAGACTTTCTGCTGAAGATCTTGCTGAAGTGAAAACTGCCAGAGGAGAGATTGCTCATCTTCCCAGCACCACATTACAAATCCCTTTGAAAGCTGGTCTTGTGCTTCCTCCTGCTGCAAAGACCCCTTCTGTCACAGTCTGCCCCTTCCAGGGGTGCCCATCTTGTGTCCCCAAGGCTTCTGTTGTCCCTCCATCACTGGCATTTCCTCTGGGTAGCAGTGTTGCCCCTGGCACAAGTTCTTGAGAATCGCTCAGTTTAAGAGAAGCCCTTTCTCTGATCTCATCCCCTTTGCATCTTTGCTTCATCCTTTTCTCCCTCGGGGTGAGGCTGTCTCATTTGTCCTTACCTCCTGGGGCTCACAGCGACAGTGGGGTCACTGACACCCGGGGCTATGACTGTCCGCATCTGACTGCTTCTCATCAGCAAGTGACGGGCACCACGTCCTCACACAGATTGTCCTCCTCTCTCTCACGCCGAGTGTGTCATCCTGCTCATTCTCCTTAGCCAGTTGCTTCTCTCTTTTTTTCTGCAGTGGGGAATCTTTAGGACTTTCCAGAATTCATTTTGGGTTAAATTTCAGGTTTCTTTCTCTACTCCCTCTGGTTAATTTTCCAGTGCTGGGGCTTTGCATATCTGCTGCAGGCTGACATCTTTCAGGTGATACCCTCAGCCTCTGTGTTCTAGAACTGTGTATCCAACTCCCAGTTGATGTGACCATTTTCATAGACTTTAGGTGTGAGCAGTTCACGTGCCTGGAGCTGAGCTTTGCACTTTCTCTATGACACATGTGTTTCAGCATCTGCTTTTGTCTGAGGAGGATAATAATCTCAGATTACTCAAGGAAGAATTCAGCGCTATACCTTGCTTGATTACTCCTTTTTATTTTGTCACTTCTAATTTGTCACTGTTTTGCACTCTGTGTCTCAGCGGTATGTGGAGCGATGCTGCCTCTCTCCAACTCTCCTCCTCTCTTCCGTGCCTAAGCCCCCCTGTTTCTCAGCTGTGCTGTTAGCATAGCCTGCAAGCTGGGGTCTACCGTCTCTCACCTCCACTCATCCACTCCCTATTGAATAATGGGAACAATTTTTTAAAAATACATATTAATTTGTCAATCCATATTCTCATTGAATTCCAGTCATAGTTGCTATAAAATTTTAGTTATTTAAAGCAGGCTGTATGCAGGATAACCGTATTTCCTCACTGGAAAGGAGAGTACTGGATCTTGGTTGTGTCTTGGGACAACTATTTATGATTACTTATTATTGAAAGGATCCCTGTTTGAATGATAAGCTGTATGGTCATCCTCATGAAAGCTCCTTATGGCCTTTACTTTCCATTCTTTTACAAATGCTTTTACTTTTATTAGTCCATGTCTGCATTACATGATGACCCGCGCCTCAGGGGGAGCTGGTTCTCAGGCACAGCTCATCTTTATTCTTTCTTTATCTCTTCCCTTCATCTCTTGGTTTCTTTCCCTTTTGCAAAAGACCTAACTGCATTTCCAGTTGTCTGTCTTTTATTTTGCTCTTTGTTTAAATTTTGGATTTCTCTTAGAAAAACCATGTGGTATCTAAGCTTACACCGAGCGTCGGATCTCTAGGGTCCTGTGTTTTCCTACAGATGTCTCAGGTTTATCCATCCTCGTGGCATAGTCATACTCCGCTGGGTATAAATGCTGTTTTCAGTATCTGCCTCTGTTGATGAGCATATAGGCTGCTTCCAAGCTGTAATGAGTGTGAATTGTGCTGCTATAAATATGGGTATGCATGTAGCTCTGTGATACGATGTCTTTACTCTTTTGAGGAGAGACCTAGGAGTAGAATACCTGGGTCAAATAGGAGTCCTAGTTTTAGTTTTTTGGAGGACTCCCCGTACTGATTCTACAGTGTTTGTAGTAGTTCACACTCACACAAACAAAATAGAAGGCTTCTTATTCAACCACAGCCTTGTCAGGATTTGTTATTATTTGCTTTCTGGAGATTGCTGTCCTTTCTAGGATAGGATGAAATGTTGGTATCATTTTAATTTGCATTTCTGTCATGGCCAGTGATGTTGGAAAATTTTTTTAGGTATTTATTGGCCACCTGTACTTTTTTCTGAGAAGTGTCCATTAAGTTTTTGACTTTTTAGTTTGGGGGGCCTAATTTTTAAAAAAACATTTACATATTGTAGCCCTTTATCTGAGGAACAGCTGACAAATTTTTCCTCACATTCTGTAGGGTGTATCTTCACTCAGTTGGTGGTTTCCTTTTCTGTGCAAAAAATTTTAAATTTGGTATGATCTTATCTGTTGATTCTAGTATTTCATCTTCCACTGGGGTTCTTTACAGAAAGTCCTTGCCTATTCCTATCACTGCAACAGTTCGGCCTATTTTATGTTTTAGCAGGTTAAGTGCTTTTATTTTAACATTAAGATCTTTGATCCATTTTGATTTTAGTTTAATATGTATGAGAAATTGGAGTCTAAGTTCAATTTTTTGCATCTGGATAACCAGTTTTCCAGGTATCATTAAGAGGTAATATTTCCTCTAGAGTATGTTTTTGGTTTCTTTGTTAAAGAGAAGATTTCCAATGGGCCTGTGTTTGTGCTGTCTCTGTTGTGTTCCACTGATTCACATGTCTGTTTTTGTGCTGGTACCATGCTGTTTTTTATCACTGTTGCTTTGTAGTATAACTTGAAATCAGATACTGTGATGCCTACTGTTTTGCTCCTGTTTTCTAGGATTGCTCTTGCTATTCTGGGTCTCTTCTAGCTCCCTATGAATTTTAAAATTATTTTCTGTAGTTCTTTGAGGAATGCTATTGGTATTACATTAAATTACATAACAGTTGATTGGGAGTACATTAAAGTATATAACAGTTTTGGAAGTATGGCCACTTTGCATATCTACCCAGCAACAGAGGATATTTTTCCATTTTTTGGTGTGCTTTTTAATCTTTTTTTCTTCACAGTACTGCAGTTTTCATTGTAGAGATCTTTCACTTCCTTGTTAGGTTAATTACTAAGTATTTTATTTTTCTTGGTACTGTAGCGAATGGTATTGTTTTCCTAATTTCTTTGTCACAGAGTTCATTATTAGTGTGCAGGAACACTATTGACTTTTGGGGATTCATTTTATTTTCTACCATGGTACTGAATTTGGTTATTAATTCTAGGAGTGTTTTGGTGGGATTTTTTGGGGTTTGCTATATAGAGGACCCTGTTATGCACAGATAATGATAATTTGACCTAATAAAATCACTAAATGAAAAGGGCACTGCAGCCAGAAAAGCTAAGCAAGGAAAAGGGCTCCCTGCTTAGCACTGGTTTCCAGGATCCTAAGTGTTAACTGAATAAGTCTTTGTGCAAGTGACCACTGATAGGAGAAGCCAGATAGCTTGTGAATTTTCCTTTCATTTTAAATGTTTGAACACCTGCCTGAAATCTCATAAACACTGATACGAGGAAGAGGAAAATACTTCGGGAGTTTCTCTGTTCATTGTTGGAGCTTTGGGTAATGGCTTTGCAACCTCAGAAAGTTTTGTGTCTGGTTATAAACCTTTCGTGTTTGATTTAATTCTCTCCTATTTTTGGCTTTTCCTTTCTTCTGCCAGATATATATTTGACAGTGATTTCAAAATAATTTCTGTTTCTTTCAACACACACACAGTGCTAAAAAGAGGGAGGAAACGGTGATGTGGGTGTTTTTCCCATTTATGAAAGGATCCTACCTAAATACAAGGATTCGGGAGAGTGAGCCCTTGGCCCTGGCTGGACTCTCACGGAATCTAGGTTCCCCATCATGCAGGCTGTTTGTGCCCGTTTCTCACAGGTCTTCCGATGGAACCAAGGAAGCTTCGTGCTGCATCAGAAGCTCCCCGTGCAGGGGGTGCTGGCCGTGGCCCTGTTCAGCAGAGGTGGCTCTGAGTTCCTGGCCATCTCGCAGGCCGACCCTCGGCTCGCAGCCCTCATCTTCCGGTGGTCGGGTGGTGCCTTCGTTAACTCGCAAGAGGTGCCTGTCACAGGGGCAGCACGACTAGAGGCTTTGTCTGCAGGCAATGATGTTTACTTAATTGTTGCCAAAGATCTCTCTCTAGGTGAGAATATATCACGTTTCCAGTGCATTTTTAATTAGTATAAAAATTGCATAGCACTTACATTGTGTGTTTTATACAAAAATGTTCTTGTTAATAATAGTTTAGAAAAGCTGTAGACTGTTTCCTGATGGATGAATATTAACTGGAGTCATAAATCAATTTTGGAAAACAATTAAAACATACCTGTAATATCTGGCATTCTGAATCACCATTTTGAAGTTACACTCAAATGAAATTGGCTGTGGGTGGGTAAAGTGAAGTATCTGAGCTTTTATACCCAAAGCCCAAACATGCAGCTTTTTATATAGATATTCTCTGGGTGTCATGGGTTATTTATAGTATTGATAAATAGTATTTAGCAACTTTTAATAAGATTGTTACAAAATATTCTCTGAATAAGAAAATGCTTTCTTCTGCTCCTTGAAATTTTCATAGATAAAAATCCCAACAACCCTAAAACAAAATACTTGTTCCCATTATTTTTTAAATTATTGTGCTACACTTCCTGTAGTGAATACTAGAAGACTTCTGAAGTGTTTCTTACTAGGTTGCAGGCTGCTTACATTAACTGGATTCTGAGGAAATTTGTTTAAATTGAATTTAATGTTTTACTGTATTTCTGCTGTATAATTTTGTCATCCTCTGTCTGCAACTTTGAGCTGAAGACTTGGTTTTTTTTGTTACTGTAGGAAATGAGAACTCAGTCGACATTTTTGTCTGGGAGACAGGACAGCCTTCTTTCAGGTATTTCCAGTCCCTGGATGTGGCCACCGTGAAGGGAATCCATTCCTTCACACCAGCCTCGGGAATAGGTAAGGACTCTTCAACTGCTAACCAGCCTGAAAAAGAGTGCAGAAAGCCACCTCGACTCTAGTCTCATTATGTCGCTCCAGCAGGCAGCTGGTCTCATGATGGGCGTGTAAAGTGGTGCTTTACTAAAACCGTCCCAGAAGACCTAGTGTTTCAGGAGGACTCGTGCTTTTAAAATGTGCACTGTGCTTGAGGGTGGTAAAAATGACTAAATTATGGAGACTATTAATGAAGACTAGAGAGTGTCATTCTTTTCATATTCTTTTGTTTAGAGACAAATGATGAGTGACATATATATATATATATATATATATATATATATATATTTAATATGGAAGTCTGTATCAGGAGATAGCAGACACTTGCACTGAAGGAGTTTTTGAAAAGTCAGAAAGGGACTGTGAGAACCTTGCTGCCCCTGTTCTGTCTCCCGAGCCCCCAGCAGAACCTGGAGCCCCTTCTGGTCCTCTGTGCTTCTATCCACATGCTGGAAACCTCAGTGATAGTTGTCACTGTCGTAGTTTTCAAAGCAGAGTCTGTTACTGAGGCCTCTGAGGTTTCTGCTGCAGGGAGGCTGTGGGGCACTTGGGGCTCGGTAGGAGTAGCTGGACAGGCCATCACAGGAGCAGCTCCTTGTCAGGCTGCCTCTCTGCGTGGTGTCAACAGTGAGCAAGGAACATGGACTGTGGGTCAGTGGGTCTTCTGTCATGGTGCCCAGAGGAACTTGGCATCCAGGCCTGAGGGGCTCTGCAGATGAATTTGCCCAAATCACAGACTTTTTTGGACAATGACACATGACAATTCTCTATGCATGAAGCAGCACACATTTACTCCTCTGACTTTATATGTAAGCCTCTGTTACGAAGTCTCCAAGTCTCACAGTCTGGTTAGAGAAACAAGACAAAATATTAAGGTGCTGACTTGGAGTAGACCAGTAACACCATCACTCTGGGAGGGGTGGACAGGTGTGTGGTGGGGGTGGGCTATGCCTGTGCTTTGGTAGTCCAGCTATTTTTAAGCTTTAGGTCTTAGAAAGTTTTACTCTTTACTGTTTGACAACCTTAGAGAACTTTTATTTGTGTGGATTATATCTGTTAATATTTATGAGATTAGAACAGGAAAACTTTAAAATATTTTTGTGAACTTATTTTCAAATGATGATAATATACACATTATCTGTGAACATCAGTAACACAGTTTGGTTAAGAAAACCCTTTTATTTGCAAAACAGAATCATTTGTTGGAAGAGTGGCATTAATGTGTGTGTGTGTGTGTGTGTGTGTGTGTGTATCCATATATATCTTTAGTGGCTGCTTTAAAGATGATATCTGGATTGTCTCTTCACATTAACATATTAGCTTATTTTTCCCAGCTGCATTTAAGTGTGATTGTCAGATACATGTTACATTTAAGCTGTGCAGTATTATATTTTGCTGTATGCACACGTTTGGAAATGACTGCTTTGATCGAGCTTTCATCACTTCACATATTTGCCCTTTTTTGTCATGAGAACACTCAAGATCTTATTGTCTCAGCAAATTGCAAGAGTGTTTCGTTACTCCTCTGGCACCATACTGTCTGTGCGATCCCAGATCTTACTGATAACTAAAGTGTGCACCCTTCAGCTGAAAACCTTCTTTCTCTCACCCTTTCAGGCCCTGGGCAACCACCTTTCTCTGTGAGTTCATACATTCTTGAGATCCACATACAGGTTGAGCATTTCTAGTATGAAAGTCTAAATTTGAAATACTCCAAAAGGTAAAACTTCTTGAGCATTGACATGTTGGCACAAATGAAAAATTCTGTACCATGGGACTTTAAGCACAAGATTATTAAAAATACTGCATAAAACTATCTTCAGAGTATACTCATAACACATATAAATCGCAAATAAACTTTCTGGTTAGATCCCCAAATGTTATGGTTTATATTTGGATGGCCCCCCAAGTCTCATGCAATCATGGAGGTGGTAGAATCTAGCATTTTTGATTGGTTTGTTGTCCAGCACTGAGATTAGTGGTATGAGTGCTTCCCCCACTCAGGGACAGGGCCAGCATACAGTGTAAAGCTGGGATGGAGTCATGCTTTTTCTCTTTTGCCCTATTCATTCATGCTGCTTGCGGCTGCCATGAATGGCTGCCTCTCAACTACACCATCTTGCCTTGGAGCCAGCTGAGTATGGACTAAAACCTCCAAAAATTGTAAGCTAAATAAATCTTTCCTTCCCTAATTTTGGGTTTCAGGTATTTTGTTTCAGTAATGAGAGTAAACCAAGACACCACAATATTTCATTTATATACTCATATATCCAAAATCTGGAAAAAACACTAAGATTCAGAACACTTCTGACCTTACATGTTTCAAATAAGGGATACTGAGTCTGTATAAGTGAGATACAGTCAGTGGCATTTGTCTGTCTACTTCTGGGTTTTGCTGTCTGCATCTCCTTGCAGCCTGTTGCAGTATTACCCATCAGAACCACTGAGAGCTTGACTGTAGATACACAGAAGAGTGGGAATGAAGTGGAGAAGCAGCATCTTATTCTCTTTTCAACAGTTTTGACCTCACACATTTTCTAAAAGGCTTGAGGACTCTTAGGGGTCCTGAAGCACACTTGGGGTTTAAAGTGATGGCATAAGCCATGTTTCACAGAGTCCCTCACCTTCGTGTAAAAAGCATTATGGGCACCATAACCTGCCCAGGTAATCACTGAAGAAGACCCTGAGCTGGGGTGAGAAATGTGAAGTGAAGACTCTTAGAGTCAAGAGAATTTGGGAAAGAAGGTTCAGCCATTCTCCACTGCACAGGGGTGGGGAGCCAGCATCATCACACCTTGGCAGCTGAGAAGGGCATAGCACTGAAATTAAGACTCTAGGAAAATGCTTTTGGCAGGAATTGTGAAGAGCTTGATTCTCAGCACCTTTAGGTTGAGGTGATGTAAAAACATGAACAGGTGGTTAAAGGAAATCAGCAAAAGGTCTTGATTTTGGAAACTTATAGTTGATATATTGTGTCAACTTGAGAAGTTTAAAAGTTTAAGGGACTCTGCAGGGGGCCAGGGTCCTGGCTTTGTGAACATCCATCCTCAGCCTGTACAAGAGGAGGGCAGGGATGGTTTGAGTGCTAACCCCCACTCCATGGGGGTGTCCTGCTTACAGTCTGAGGGAGGAAAAGAGGCTTGCTCTTCCTCTTTTGCTCTTGCTGCTTCTGCTGCCTTGAAGTGTTGCCCCTGTGCCATGACCCCCTGCCTTGGAGCCAGCTCATTATGGACTGAAAACTCCGCAAACCGTGAGCTAAATAAATCTTTCCTTCATAAATTTTGAGTGTCAGGTATTTTATCTCAGCAATGAGAGAAAAGTATCTGAGACAGGAACATTTATGTGTACCGGTAATTGAACTCATGAAAGTCAAAGTGTGCAGTGTTAAAATGTACTGAAAAGTCAAGGTGATTTCACACAAACACCAGTATCTGTTCTAGAGCTTTTATTTTAGGTGCTGGAGAACTGCTTTCATAAACTTTGGATATTGTAACTTTAGGTCACCTCAGCCCTGGCCAGGAATCAGAGATTATTTGCCTTTAATTTTTAATGGAATCTTTAAAAATCTCATTGCATTTTATTTCTACAGCTTTGTTCTTAGCCCTGTGTTTGTAGCTTCTTCTCCTCGTCCCTTCCTTCCTGTCCTCACTGTCACACGCATTCCCAACTCTACGGAGTTCCACTGCCACCAGTCTTGTGCCTTTCTGTTCTCCTGGGTGCCTCCTTACTCGGCCTCTGTATGTTATGCACACTCCAGGGCAGGGCGTTCACTGCAATACACCATGGCTAACTTTTCTTTCACATAACTGTTGATTTATGAGCACAGTGTGTGTCTTTCATCGTGAATCCATTTAGTCTTTTCTACTTCTCTTTTAGTTTTGTGCCTTTAAAATTTTTGCTTCCCTTATACCTCAAGTGTTCAGCTGGACCCTTTCTACTCAAATTCCTTATTATTATTCAAAGTAGTTGTCTAATGAATGTTTTTAAGGGTGAAGTGGGCTGCTGAGATGGGCCATTAATTACAGTTACAGAATTCTCTTTAAAGAGTTTTGTTTTTAAATATTGTATAATAGGCATACTTTCTAAAAGAATTCGTGGAAAGATCCGCCAGAGGTTTATTAAGGTGCTCGCCGAGAGGCTTCTTTATTCCTTTTGTTTCTGTGACCTGAGGTTTTAGAAGTATGAAAAAATTGCAGGTAATTCTTTAGAATGGCTTATTATAGATCCCCTGAAAGCTGAAATTATGTATTAAATAATGTTCAAGGGCTTTCTTATTTTGAGTGCATCGAATTTTTTACTAAAACTATTAGACTGGAGCCATGACTCTGAGGATGATGGGTTTTATTCCAGTTAATGACTTGACAGAGATTATTGGGTGGTGACTGAATTCTTTAAATGGAAGAGGAAGAATGAATATAACCAAGACTACAAAGAGCATAGAAAATTACCTTTCCCTTCTACTTGCCCTTCTCCTTTCTCTCCCTTATTAGTTGTTTTTACATGCCAATTATTGTAGATTTTAGGAATATGTAAAATCATAGGTCCCTGTCCCAGAGAAGTTTAACACACACACACACACACACACACACACACACACACACACAGACAGACACACACACACACACACACACACACACACACACACACACACCCCTGAAATAAGATTCCAGCTATCACCACAGAACCTTCATGAAGAAATGGAGTAAACCTCTATCATAAGACAAAACAGAGAGGGCTTCACCTGGCTTGAGGAGATTCTCAGGAAGTTTTCTTAAGCAAAAGTCCTTTAATGGACAAATCCAGGTTGGGTAGGTCCTGCATGAGATAAGGTGCAGCCAGAAGAAGCCACCGCCTGTGCAGACGTCACCTTCCCACTCCCAAGACGCTGCCCAGCACCCAGCGGAGTGGCACAGGCCCTCCTGGGAGCCCCATCCTCCTTGTCCTGCCCACACAGCACTCCTGGCTGCCATCTCCTGTCAGTCCATCCTTGCATTCCTGGATCTGTGAACCTTAGTTAGGGACACTTTCTAACTCTGGGGCGTGTAGTCCTGAAACATCACTTTGCCTACACTCTTTCAGCTGTCTCATCCTGGTGCCTTTCCTCTGATACACTTTTGTTTTTTTATAGTTTTGCTAAGTAGCAGAGGAGTCTCTAATCAGTGCTGTCTCAAATCCTGTCCTTGGGTGTTAAGTTTAGGGTTTTTTCCTTGTGAATTCTCTGGCTCGGTTTCATGCTCCTCCATATTACACATGTTTATTTTCTGAGAAAATGTCTTCTGCATGCATGTTCCAATGTTCCCTGATTTACAGCAGTTCAGCCTGGCACTTTCCAATTGGTGGCTTTATAATGGTATCGAAGTGAGGTAAGCTCAGTAATAAACACACGTTGCACTTGGAATGGTGACAGTGGGCCACTGGGACCGCTCCAGATAGTGCACAGGGTTCAGTAAATTATGTGACGTGTGCAACGCTTGGTTGTAAAATAGCCTTTGTGTCAGATGGAAAAGAAATGATCGGGGTCCATCGCTGGCAAGTCCAGCGCCATCACCAGTGGTTCCAATCCCATTAGTTCTTGGTGTTGTTTGAGTTTATGCATCAGCTAAATTCAAAGGGCGTCGAGATCCCTCTCTCTGACTGTGTTCTTTCCTGGATGTGTCTAGTTTCACAAGGGTTTATGCAAAGTGCATCACTATTGAAAGGTCTTAAGTGTATGTTAGCACCTTTCTTGACGTTCTGTGCTGTTAATGCAATCTTTACTAAACTGTACTTAATTTAACTGTACTACTTAACTACTTAAATTAATTGCTATAAATGAGGAGTGACCTAAAATATGGTGAATATTTAAATTCATTATTTGTATTTTGTATATTTCATTGTATAGTTTTTCTGTAACTTGGGCTTTTATTGATACTTGTTCATACCCCCCACCCCCGAATAAGACCTTGCTGGAAAATAATCAGCCTTGGAAACTCGAGATCAAAATGCCATCCTTGCCTCACATGTGTCACTATTCTCTTGCTTCTTGGCCAGTTGGGCAGATGAGGCCAGGTGGGGCTGGACTTTTTCCATCCCTGGTCTTCAAGGCTGATTATTTTCTAGGTGATCCTTATTTTCAAGAAACACAGTAGCACATAAGGATGGCATTCGTGATGGGGAGTTGGTACCCAAGCATAACACATCTTAATTCAGGTTACTTCCCCTCCCGTTGCATTCCCTTTCTCCATCTCTTTGCTGCCTTCCCATTTGCAAAATATTTACCTCCCTTCTTTCCTATTATCTGTATTTTTTCTCTTTAATGCATTTAGACTCTAGATTTCTCGTATAAGAGAAACGGTGTGCTATTTCAGCTTGTATGTCTGGTTTATTTCACTTAACATTATGATCTCAGGATGCATCCATTTTCCTGCAAATGACTCAGATTTTTACTACTTTATAGGAAAGTAAATCTCATGGTATATAAATACCACATTTTATTCATCCATTCATCTGTTAATAGAGATGTATTATATTACCATTACAACCCCTCAAAATGCTCCCCCACATTTCAAACACATTTACCCCATCGTCCTTGCCACCTTCTGAAGCAGTTCTGGAGTCCTCCTTCATGAATATCTTTGGCTGTGCTGTCATGGCTGCCTTGACATCCTAAATGGATTCAAAACATTTAGCTTTCATGGTCGTTTTGACTTTGTGGAAGAACCTAAAGTTGTCCAGTGCCAGATCCAATGAACAAAGTGGATGAGAATGTACTGTAATCTTTTCAGGCTTCCTTTCTATTGGATGGGACTTGGCAGTAGCTTTCACAATATTTTTTAATCACATCTTGTAAAGACCTTCAAAAAGGACTTCCAAAACTGCTTCGGAAAGTGTCAAGAAAAATGCAATAAATGCATTCAAAGAAAGGGAGGATATTTGAAGGGGGTTAATGACATGTGCCTTTTAGTGGAACAATTTTTTTAAAAATGTAAACCTTCCAGGTATGTGTTGATGACACCTTGTACATGGTCAGTAGTTCTTGATATATAAAATTAAGGATATGAAGCTTCCCACTGTAACCTTTGGAAAGGACTCATGCTTTCTGGCTATGTGTGCCATTTGAATACCTATAATCCATCTCATTTGATATCTTTATTTCCAATGTGTTTTTTCAACTGATGGGAATTTGTGTATATTTCTCACCCCATCCGCATTTTAAGTGAAGATTTTAGACACAGCATTTAACACCCTCTTCGTTCCCAGCCTCTGTAGATATAACTATGTTCCATTGTTTCTAACTAATATGGACATGATTTTCTGATAACATTGCAAAAAGTATAAGCTGGGCATGGTGACATACTCACCAGCCCAGTATTCTGGGAGGCTGAGGCAGGAGGATAGAGAGTTGAAGTCCAACCTGGGCAACTTAGCGAGACACTGCCTTTTTATTTTATAAAAAAATGAAGAAGGGATGGGGATATAGCTAAATGTGAAATTATTGGATTCAGTTTTCCCAGTTCAATTCCCCCAGTAAGAAGAGAAAAAGAAGAATCTGCCTCTACTTAATTTTGAAAAACTAAACACATATTCAGTGTGGAATTACTGAATATATCACAAAGATCAATTTTATGATTATTTTTATGCATTAAAATTATAATAAATGCAGTATAGCAGCATATAAAAGTATGATTTTATAAATACAGAAGATTGTTGAGAAATTTCATGTACACTGCTTAAACCTATCAATTTTAAATTCATATGGGCGGTGACTAGAAATGAAAACACAAAAGTCAGATATTTAGTGTTAGGATTTTAGGTATTTTGCCCCTTTAAGAAGCCACTTTTAAATAAACATTGAGATAGAAACGAAAGAGTCTAACTCCATCTGGGTTTCAACAGCCTGTGATTTCTTTTTTGTTAAAAAGTGTAGGTACATTGTCAGACTGAATTGCTGATTCCACAGCCCTCAAAAATTATTATGTATTATCCAGAAATGAATTGTTAATTCAGAAATAAAATTGCATTTACTTTAGAATTCAAAAATGGGCTGGGTATGATGGTGCAATCCAAGCACTCTGAAGGCTGAGGCAAGAGGATCTCAAAATCGGATTCTTGATATGAGCTGTTCGGTGACTTCATGAGACTCTCAAAATGAAAATAAAAATAAAAGCGATAAAGTCCAAATGGAACTTTGAAGGTTGAAAGGTCTTGCTTGGGAACCATAGAGAGTGGTACAGAGTGCATCTCGAGCTGTGTTTCCTTTTCTTCTCCACAGCTCACGTACTCCTGACTGGCCCAGAGGCGTCTGCACTTTACTGCTGGGATTCAGGGCGAAACCTGTTCTCCTTCCTGCTGGAAGCTCCTCCTGCTCAGGCTGCAGCCTCTGTCACAGTGAGGTCTCTTAATTCAAGCAAGAGCTTACTCTGGGTGGCCGATGCCTCAGAGGCCCACCTGTTGGAGCTGTCCTCGGTCTCCAGCCAGTCCGATTTTGTTCCCAGGTAGGCTCTGCATTCTGTGTCACTGCCTCTGTATTTACCACTGTTCCCATGGCATCGAATTTCTAAGTCCTGGTGGCCACTACTTAGTCAGGGATGTGGTTATTACTCAGATTTCTCATATCTACTCTACCAAGTTCATTGGTATTCTATACTTATTTTGAATTCAGTCTTTGCTTATGGAATATTGTAATTCTTCACAACAATGGTATTCAGTAAAGAATTTCATGAGGAATGAAATTCTTTACTGTCGTTGACCTATTTTATACGGACTTGTCACACCAGCTCAGGTGAACTGGTGTTTGGACCTGGTGACAGAGAGGCTATAATAGCCGTGAATATCCTGGATGACTCGGTCCCAGAAGAGGAGGAGTCCTTCCGAGTGCAGCTTAGAAACCCCACGGGAGGGGCAGAGATCGGTAGTCAAGGCTCTGTGAGGATCACCATCCTGTCTAACGATGACGCCTACGGAGTGGTTGCATTTGCCCAGGTAAGAGCCCCACAGCTCACCCTTCTGCTCTGGATGCTTCACTCACGGTGCTGCTAGTGGCTCTGCCCTGAATCTGCATTCAGCCAGGCGCTGTGCTTGGAGTATTTTCAGCCTTTCTTTCTGCTCTGGCCTCTACCTTCCCCAAACTCTGCATTCGAAGATGACTCCTATCCCTGTACACTGGGCTCCCCAGGTCCCCCAGTCCTAAGCTTTTACTTCTTTGAACTTACTCTTTTTCTAGGGTTGAATTTGATGTGTTAAGCATTCAACGTGGTGCAGCCTTCCCAGGGCACAGGGACAGAACAGGTTTTGAGTGCACTGTAACCCATGGTGTCACCTACAGAGAGGCACATTATTATGGGCAGGGCAGGGAGGGGTTGTCACTGCGTGCCTTGTGCGTGTCTGGCTGTCGTTTTCGAGAGGCGAGAGAACCATGCAAAGCTGCCCAGGTGCACTCCTACACCCACACAGTGAGAGAGGACAGCCTTGCCTATCATGTGCATCCTTCATTCTTCCCAGGAGTGTGTCCTGGCTCGTCACCCAGAACTGTGTCTGCCGCTGTCAAGTGTCTCCCCTGTAATCCTTGGCACAGATAAAAGCTTGACTCAGTTGGTTTAAGAGCTCAGAGGGTGTCCATGGAAAGGGGGAGCTTGGGGTGCTGGTTGCTGCACCTGTCACCCTGCTCAGGTCCTCCCCATCCCTTCCATTTAGTGATACAAAGCTGGCCCTTTCATGGGTTGTTTGAAAACTGATGTTATGGCTTGGGCCACTGCTTTCTGTTCCTGTCTGGTTGGGAACGGAGAGGTACTGTATGTGACTTTTCGGTGTGGGGAGAAATTTCCTGAAGCCTTTAGAAGAACACCTTACACCTCATTGGCCAGAACTGGGCCATGGGTCCATCCAGCTGTCATTCGCTCATTCATGGATCCACACAGCAGACTTTTAACAAACACCAGTATGTGTGTCTGCACCAGATACTGGATCAGAGGCTAAAGCATGTTGCAGAGTGAAGTAGTAAAAAATCTCTGTGTTGTGGCCTTTAAACCTGAGGGGACAAGAGAAGAGAGACAATCAGCAAAGATGTAGGCGAATGCACCACACCTAAGCATGATTCGAGTTGGCGAGACAGGCTGACGGGAGGTCACAGGTGTGAAAATCCAACACAGGGCAATCAGGCTGTAGGGGCTGGAGTTGGTGCCCAGTGGACATGGGGCCTGGGAGGTGACTCCATGTCGGGCATCTCCATGGCACCCGCAGTGCTGATGACACCTGAGCACCTGTAGCGCTTAGCATTCCTCAAGCTGGTGGATATGATTTATGACAGCAAAGCAAGCAGCAGAAAGTTACCAAGGCGAGATGGATTTCTGCTTCTGGGGAGCAGTGCAGAGGAGGCCAGGCAGAGGCACCCGAGAGCTGCCTTGCTGTGGGGCGACACTGCATCAGCATGTGCAGCCTTGCCAACCAGAGAGGCGAGAGGCTCACTGGAAGACTCAGGGCAAGGCTTTAACTGATGAAGGCTGGGCATGAAGGCACCATGTGCCTGGCACCTTTCAAAACACTAGTCTCCTGGAAGAAAGCAGATGTTGGCATCAGCCACCATTTGTGCAAACCGTTCAGGCACATCGGGCCACTTGGTGGGGCTGGCCTTGTGGGTGGGCCTGCTTGAGACCAGACTGGCATTCAGCCCCACTGTGGTGCCACTTTCCTGAGTGAGCCTTAGCACCTGGTGGCTTTGACCCCTGAACAAGCATGAAGCCTTTGGAAGGGGTGGGGCAGACGGGTGGCCTGCACTGACTCACATTTAGAAAGCCCAGAAATTAAGTAAAAGTAGAAATTCCATTTGACCTAGTTATTCCCCTTCTAGGTAGTTTCCCAAAGGAACTAAAGTCACCACGTTATGGTGACACCTGTGCACCTGTGTTTACAGCAACGCTGTGCACAATGGCTAAATCTTGGAAGTGCCCTATATATCCATCAGCAGATGAGCGGGTAAAGAACATGTGGTGTTTACACACCGTGGAATTCCATTCTGCCAGGAAGAAAGATACACTTCAGTCAATTGTAGGAAAATGGATGCATCTTGAGGCCAGAATGTTCAGTGACATAAACCAGACACATGAGCTTCCACAGTGTGTGGTTTCTCATATGTGGAAAAAATACAAATAAATTAAAGAGCAAAATAAAAGATAGATGACAAGAAATAGAAGATAGATTTTTTGCAAAAGGACGGGAGACTGAGAGATGTAGGGAAGGGGAAGACAAAATAGAACTAAGAAGTGACATGTACATGTGCCATATATTCTGCAAATCTGTACTCATAATTAAAACAAAAAGAGCCCTCTAGCAAAAGTCCTGAGAACACACAGCAAGTGGGTAAGCTGGGCAATAGATCAGTTAGGACATGTATGCAGCCACTCAGGAAAAACAGCAGAGCTGCAGAGGGCAGGAGTTTTCCCTCCGCCAGGATGCAGACAGCCCAGGGGTGGGAGCGGGGGAGACCAGAGCTCAGCCGTGCTAACAGATGTCCTTGGTCATTGCTTGCAAGCATCCAGTCACCATGAGGTCCAGGCTGCCCCATCCCTGGAGCGCAGGCCAGGTCGGCCAAGGCTGAGGCCACATAGCAATGTGAGAGCCACACGTGCAACTTTGAAGTTTCTTGTATGAATAGTTAGAGAAGGAGAAGAGAAAAAGCAGGTCAAATGAATGCTGCACTTAACTTGGTGTATCTCAGGTGTGATTAGCATCTTTATGTAAACTGCATACAATTCCTGGTGAACTACTGCATCCTTGTGTTTAACTCCTGTTCGCAGCTACACTGGCTGCCAAGCTCACTCGTGTTTCCTTCCTTTCTTGCGACCGAGGCTGGACGTCTAACCCAGAGAGGCTGAGACTCACGAGGTCCTCACTGTCATTCTGTGTCCTCTCACCTGTCCTTTCCTTTGTGATGGTGCTGCCAGTGCTGTCATTTCTCTCCTTTCGTTGGGGGTGAAAAGCCTGGGAGCCAGGACACTGCTCCAAGCACAGCTGTTCCTCTGTCCCAGGAGCGCCTGGCACACACCAGGATGTAGCGAGCCTGTGCTTGGCTCTGGGGAAGCAGATGAGGACACCGGAGCTGGGCTCCAGCACTGTTCCACCCTCTGGCCCAGGCACTGTGGCACAGGCCATTCCTCCATGACAGTGCCCAGCTGTCCTAGCACCTCAAGCAGGGTGTGGGATTGGGCTCCTCCATCTGCTCAGAATTCCTCAATGCAAGGCTTCTGTCCAGACAGCTTTTGAGATTTAGCAGGTGGTGATTATTTTCTCAGCTGAGTGCTTCTAACTCCTTGAAGGCTTCACTTGACAAACTCTCATGCGTAGAGGATGTGGAGCTTCTTTAAGAAAAAAAAAAAAAAAAGAGAGACCAAGGATATAGCTCAATGGCACAGGGCCTGCCTGGCAAGTGTGAGGTCCTGAGTTCAATTCCAGGTACCAAAAAAATATAAAAGGCATTGCCTTTTCTGAATTATTATATGCATATTCTAAAATTGAGGCATTTTTTTCAGGAATGTTTGATTGTTTTGAGCAAGGTTTTATTGTCTTGTAACATCTGTGACAATGTGTTACAATTCCATGTAAAATGTAACATAGGATAGACTGTCTACTCCAACATCCACAACAAAGTGTTAAAATTTTGTGTAGAGCATAGAATAGGATCTCTACTCTCATTCACATGCTAAATGGCTTTGATAAGGTTTAAGAAATTAATGTGCAAGTCTTTTTTTCAGATTACCATAAGTAAAAAGACATGAAAAATCTTTCTGGAAAGATAAAAAATATCTCTATGTTCCATATTTTTGCCACCTTGACTATGGAGAAGCCACTGGTATTTAAGAAGGGATTATCTAAAGTGTTCATTTCAAGGAAAAGCTTATTACATGATTGGCAAGAGGTGGTGTGTGTGTTTTGTAAAAAATGTTACAGTCACACAGAGATTGAAATTAGTTTGGAGAAAATGTTAAGGGGGTAGGATGCACAGACGAGAAGACAGGGATTCTAACATGAGGTAAAGGACATTTCTGGTGGAAACCACTTGTAAAGACCATGAGCTGAGGATGCAGTAGAAATAGGCTGGCTTGCAGGAATGTGTGTGAGGGTGTGGGTTTAAGGGTGAGAGACATTTGCAAATAATCAGAAAGGGCACCCTAGTTCTGAAGACACCATTGTAGCTGGGTAACATGTTGGAGACATGCAGGACCAACTCTTACTTTATCAATAGAAGACAGACTTGGAGGAAGGACCACACCTCACCCAGGGAAAAGAAGCTTTCCAGCTGAGCTGACTCACATCCTTTATGTTTACAAACTTTCATAGGCTGTGTGCTACCTAAAAAAAAAAAAATGCGTATGCTTTCTGAGTATAAAAATAGTGTGTTCATTGGGCAAAGTTTGATAAGTATATAAACAAAAAGATAAAAAAAAATCCTATAGAAATTAAGACTTGTTGTTAGCTTTAGTATTTTACTTACCTTCAAATGAATATTTTTAAATCACTGGCATCTGCATTATTTAACTGTTTTTGAAATGTTAGCGTTCACCCGCTATTTTGCGCCATTTTACCCTGTGAAGTCTGCAAATGCATAACAACATGAAATAAAGAGAAGACTGCTGAGATACCTCGCGGTAACCTCGCCTGACTTTCTGTGTATTCTGGCAGAATTCATTATATAAGCAAGTGGAGGAAATGGAGCAAGACAGCCTGGTCACCTTGAATGTGGAGCGCTTAAAAGGAACCTACGGGCGTGTGACGGTGGCGTGGGCAGCCGATGGGAGTGTCGGTGACATATTTCCTACCTCGGGAGTGGTATGTAATTGACAGAGTCTGGGACAGGCTGTTATAGTATGGTCACTGCTGACACCCAGCACCAAGTCCCACCTCAGGGGCCACATACTTCGGCTGGCCCAATGTGCACCGGGGCCCCCCCATCTCCAGAGGGTGCGCACTTTAAAGTTAGTTTCATTGTTGCAGCTAGTGTGCTGTCCTGTGAACCCAAGCTGATCTGGAAAGAAAAGGTCATCCCTTTTTTTTGGTTTGGTACATAAAATGGTGAGTGTTTGATATCAAACCAGAAATGGGAAGCTAACATGCAGATGCAGGCAAAATGGAAACAGCAATAGGGAACAGAGCTGTGTAAAATGCCCAAGCCAAGACTCCAACATGTAGGGTGAGCTACGTTACGGGATGGTGTAAGTTGGGTTTCCCGTACTGAAGACTGCGTCAGACCTGTGAAGCTCGCCGGGGTTACGTCTGTAGGCAGGAGAAGAAAAGCTGGCCCACAAGCAATTGCAACTGAGGTCGAGCATATGAGCAGATTCTGCACCTGAGCTGGTCCTTTGGTGTTGTTCCAAGTTCAGGGCTGGGCCGTTGGCACCCCTGTTTTAGCAGTTCTCCGTAGGCTGCTTTGTAGATAGATGTGGCCCTGGGGAGATGCATGTTGCAGCCACAGACTGTCACCCATGAGGACCTAGGAAGCCATGGTGCCCGCAGCCGAGAGAAGGGCTCCAGATGGAGGCTCTCAGCTTGCACTGCTGGGCACAGGATTAAACTGCGCTCAGGTTCTAGAATGGAACCCAAATGGCCAGAGGAGAGGATGATTTGCAAGGAGGGGGTGCGGGGAGCGTCCTCCAGCTAGAAGAGGGGTTGTCCCCTGGCTCGCCTTGCGCATCGCAGGTTTCTCAGCATATTTTGCCCAGATGCTCCTCTGAGAACTATTTTAAAGGATCCTTCATAAAGTTGCCACATGTCATAAGTTCTGATGTCATTTGAAAGGTGATTGGAGTTTCACTATCCTCTTTCACGACTGCTTTGTCCTTGTGGCCCACTTGTCCTGGGCAGTGTGGGCCGTGACAGACAGTATGCAACCCAAGCAGCTTGCCTGGGTCCCAGGAAAACTTGTGGGAAATAGAGCTGGTCAGTGGGCAGCAATTTGCTGACCCATGACTTTTATTAAGTTCTTGGGTTTTTGTTTTTCCCTGACTTCCACGGATGGCGAGCTGAGGGTCAGGCAGAGACCTGACGGCCAGTTTGAGGAGCTGTAGTTTGTACTCATTCGGCTGGAGAAGGGGAAAGAGGTGAGCATGATGGGAAAGCAGCCAGGGGTCAGGAGCAAGGACTTCAGATGGCTTTCAGGATTTCAGGATTTCACTTTTTAAATAACGGAGGCACTGAAGGAGGAGAGAGATGGTGCAATCCCATCTCTCCTATCTTTCTCTCTCTGCTGTTTTAGCTGATTCATTGTCAGGTGATACATCTGTGTGGGTAGCAATTCTGGCAAGATTGTAGAGAAAAAGTGTCCAAACTTGTATGCACCTTCTTTTACTTTTAGAGAGCTTTACCTTGTTGCCTGTAGCACTTAGCTTTTCTGAAAGACTCTGTGCTCTGTGGAATGATGACATGCAGGATACAGGGTTTGAGATTTTGACTACAGGTTTGACTAGTTTAGATTCAGAAAGAGTTCACTTTGTTCTTTTTTCTAAACAAGCTTGTACTTTTAACATGAAAGTCCCTTATTCGTATAATTGTATTACATTGCTTGCCTATCTTTTGCTATTTATGACTATATTAAAAGAAAAGCAAAGTTTCTGATTTTTTTTACTGTAAGATGAGAACTACAGACTGAACAATTTTCTGTCCCTAAATTTGCAGATTTCATTTGCTGAGGGCCAGGTGCTGTCCACCATCACTCTGACCATCCTTGCTGATGACACGCCGGAGTTATCCGAGGTGGTGACCGTGACACTCACCAACATTACCACAGAAGGTGTCGGCGACCCCGCCAAAGGTGCCACCATCGACCTGCAAAGACACAAGTCCTTGATCACCACGTTGGCCAGCGACTACCCCTACGGCCTGGTGGGCTGGCACACGGGGTCTCTCTTCACTCGAGTGGTGGAGCCTACAGGTAAATGCTGTGAACCATGCCTCGGGCTCCAGGGAGAGGTTTGGCTGTATGGTGTCATTCTTGCACTTACCAGGATGCAAATCTTCATGTGGCCATTTCACTTCGGTGGGCAGTAGGCTTTTTTGTTTATTCTTATTAAATTTCATGGTCATGGAATTGCTCAGCAATAAGACTATTAAAATGTTTAATTTTTAAATATATACTAATGCAATGGATATGTTGACATTTTAGTTGAGCCCTTGAAGGATTCATGACTGGTTCAATATTTCCTGTACACAGTAAACACTGTTTGTTTGTCTTTTTGAGACAGGGTCTCACTATGCAGTTCAGGCTGGCCTTGAGCTCACTTCATAGCCTAGTCTGGTCTCGAACTCACAGTGATCCTCCTGCCTCAGCCTCCCGAGTGCTAGAATTACAGGCATGAGCCACCATGCATGGCTCTGTACACAGTAAACAATACAAATTTTTGAAGAGAAAGGACATTTTACTCATTTAAAGAAAGTTATGTGTAACGTTTGTTTAAAATATATTATGTGAATATTCTAAAGCTTTCAGACAATACCCGGCTTTCAAATTTTATTTAAGCTTTCAGATAATACCCAGCTTTCAAACTTTATTTAAAGAGCTGATAGAGGAACAGGACTTAGGACTCAGTGGCATAAGCACCTGCCTGTCAAGTGCAAGGTCATGAGTTTGATCCTCAGTACCTAAATAAATAAATCAAATGAAGAGCTAGTAGAAAAAAATGTCCTGGAATTTTGCTTCTAGGACTTTATGTATGGTAAATATAGAACAAAAAAGTACAATAAAATGACCTGTTAATTTTTTGTTCATGAAACATTTCTGAACACTGAGTAAGTGTGAGGAATGACACGGTATACCTGGGAATGAACACACAATGTTAAATTATCACAAACTGATAGACCAAGGGAGAATGTTGACAGACATTTTTAAAAATTTCACTTCATTCAAGAGATTAAACTCTTAAAAAATTTAACAAATAAAATAGAAACTAGTTGCTATGAAACACTTTGAGCCTTGTGTTAGGCATCTCAGTGTAAGAACAAAATCAGTTTTTCTAATGACTGGTCATTAAAGAGTGACTGCATATTTGATTACTCATTTCCAAAGGATCATCTGAGCCTGTGTAATTATCGCCTCTCTTCCACCTTCATACATGCACCGCCCCGAGACGTTTGCAGTTTTAGTTGTTACATGTGATGTGTATAGCCCAGGAGGCCGCACTGAGTTGGAACTGAGGGTTTTGAAGGAGCCCTAATGCTGGTGGCAGATGGTGATTCTCAGCCCCACTGGGGGCCGTGCAGACAGAGCAGAGGAGGTTCCTTGTAGCACACACTGTGTTTACCCTCGTTCCTTAGCTGTCTGGAAGGCCAGTGCAGAACATCCCACAAGAGCCTAGAACAGCACTGACAGCAAAGAGAAATGCTTATTTACTGGGGCGTGTTTATCTCCTAGAGAACAACACCATTCTTCCATTGAAAATTGTTCGAGATAAAGGACTCTTTGGAGACATTGCCATTCACTTGATAGCTAAACCTAATTTCTTACTGCACATCAATAATCAAGCTACTGAGAATGAAGATTATGTCTTACAAGAAACAATAATAATAATGAAAGAAAATGTAAAAGAAACTCATGCCAAAGTTGCCATTTTGCCAGTAAGTATAGATTGCAATAATTAATGATGTAAAGTGAAAAAAATGTAAAATTGTAATTTTTTTTAAAGTTAAGAACCTTTTTAAACATAAAGCTGTGATTTTTACATTAGAATAAATATTTAATAATAAGTAAGTATATTACCTGGCTGGCAAAAGTGACAGGTGTATTCTTCATTTTTATTTTTCACTGAAAATAATCTGAATTGACTTTGAAACATTTATTTTATTTAATTATATAGCTGGTTGGCTCCATTATTATATAGACTGGTTTGCTTTAAACTAATAAGTTAAATGAATGAAAGGCCTAAATCAATCTGGTTATTTTTATTGTTGTTTGGACAGGAGAATGTTTTTATTTCATGACACAATTGCTCATATCAAGATGAATATTCAGATGGCTTAGTTTTAGTCTTAGCTATCTACTTTCTGTTTTACAGTACTTAGCTCTCCCATCACTGGGAGACAATACCCAGCACCCACAGCATGAAGGAGAAGTTTAACTCGGCTTACAGTTCAGGGGATTCAGTCCATGGTCAGCTGGCCCCAGGGCAGAAACACCATGGTGGAAGGGTACAGGGGAGCAGAGCTGCTTAGTTCACCACACAGAGGAAGCAGAGCAGGGAACAGTGTGAGAGAGGACCAGATACTGTCTTCAAGGCCACTCCTCTAGGACCCATCCGGATACATCCAGAAGTGGGCTTCACTAATCCCTGGGCATTTCTTAAGCTAATCAAATTTACGCAATATAAGCCTAACCACCAACCTAGCTACTCCAATGTCTATGTCTGTCTCTCTCTATGTGTGTATATAAAAATCCGAAGAAAGAGAGAACATATGGATATACTTATAATCAGGCACAAAAACTGAACGTGGTAACAGTGCCATTTGTGTTTTTTATGTGATCAAATATAATATTTAGATGTATTTCTTATTAATAACTATTACTATAAAATATATTACTAAATAAGTATAATATATAATAGGATTAGCACTATTACTAATGATATTGGTCATGGAATGTAATAGTGTCTTTTGGACAGGATAATCTAAGACAAAGGAGAGGGCAGAAAGGAGATTTCCTATATTTTTAAAATATTTTAAAATTATTTTTAAAAATTAAAAAACAAAAAACTAAACTTACTACCTGTTTAAGAGTAAACTTAGTTTTTAAACTAATTAAAATATAGAATCACATCTAGATTTACAAGTTGAGAACTTTCATTTTTAAAATATGCATAAAGTTTACCAATTTCTCTTAAATTTTGTTTGGGATAGTATATGTAAAATTTTCAGTAAGATTTGGTCAAAGTTGTACAAAGAATTTTTAAAATTATTTTATTTGCTATTTTTGAAGAAGATTCCATTGAAAGATCACCATTCCTCATAAGTACCCCCAGATCCTAAAATGTCAGTGGGAAGTTTTTTTTTTTTTAAGGAGAAAAAGACAAAAAAAAGCAGAAAAAGGGTACAAGTTATACAGAATTTCAGAAAAAAAATAAACAGTAGGAAATCACTAGTTACTGGATTACATATTGTCATCTTAGAAATATTTGTTCAAGTTACAAAATTAAAGCATATAAAGTAGACATTCAAACAGTGAGACTGCAAACAGTTCTGTTCAATGATCCAACAAAACTCAGTAATATCATTGTCTATCTTATACACTTAAATATACATGCAGTTATATCGTTTAGAGCACTTTCTTTTCCTCTCTTTTGTACAGTGACTATTACACATTTTGGGTTTTATTACTCTTAATTACTTTTTTGGAAGAGAGTAAAACAAAATGTGACATAACAGATCAGAGTCAGTCAAATCAAAAGGGTGAACATAATAGATAATGTAAAAACATAATACCAGGTGATCAACAATGGTTACCATAATGCCTCCCGCTATCTCAAATAGAGTTACCTATATCGTCAGTTATAATAAAATTGAACAAAATGGTAAAGAACGAAACCAACAAAACCAAAACATGGGAAACATTACAGGTCTTCAAAAGTAGATAATAGTCAACCAGAATGGGCGTCATAATGAATCCCACTATCTTCACAGCTGTTGCCTAAACTTTCGAACCTGGTACTATCAAGCAAAACAGAATAGAGGAACATCAGTCAAAACAAGATGGTGAGAGCAATACAGGGCTTCAAATCAAGTTAATACAAAATCAAAGTGGGTTACTATAATATATCCTGCTATTTTTTTTATTTTTCCCTTAATTAAAAGGATAAAAATAAAAAGTGAATAATAAAATGGAGATTGAGATAAAAGAGGGCATAACAGCAAAACAGCGCAGATCAAAACATAACCATTTAAGCAAAAAAGTGTTTCACCACAAGATAATCCCGATATTACCATATTGTCTCTTTCCTTGAAATCTTTGAGTATAACTTCGTATACTGTAGCATCAAATATATCAAAACAATGTAAAACCATTCAAGAGAATGACGGTATTACAGGGTATTTAGAATCAACTAACAAAATGAACAATGGTTTCTGTATAATCTCCTTGTCTATAAAAGTTTTTGTTTATCTATCACATATAATAAAATCCAATAAGATACAACATGTTAAGACATATGGAGACAGAAGAATAAAAGCTTGATGGGACTTCAAAGCAAGATGATATTAAATCAGCATTACCTATTATGATGTCGTTTTCTCCAAAATAGCTGTTCCTATCATCCAATCTTCTCTGCCTCATTTCTGTTGAGCTCTTTTTCTGTCATTAGTTGTTAGTTTTTCTTCTTCATTTTGTTTTCTGCTCCATTCATTGTAGCCTCTCTGCCACTATTTCTGGAATCTTCATATTTTTCTTTTTTAGAATGTCCTGCAATATTCTCTGTAGAGTTGAATTAGTGGTTGCATATTCCCTAGTTCCTTTTTATCCTGGAAGCACCTTGTTTTTCCATCAATTTCCAGGGATAGTTGTGCAGGATATATCAATCTTGGCTGGAGGTTATTATTTTTCAAAGCTTGAATTATTTCCCCCCACACTATTCATGATTTGATGGTTTGTACCGAGAAGTCTGCTGTAATTCTGATGGGTGTTCCCTTGTAAGTGATCTGTTTCTTGTCTCTCATGGCTTTTAATATTCTGTTCTTGTATTGGATTTCTGGAATTTTGATTATTATATGCCTGGGTGTAGCTCTGTTTGGGTTGTAGGTGGCTGGGGTCCTGTATGCCTCATACATCTGAGTATCTTTACGTTTTGCTAAATTAGGGAAATTCTCCTGGATTATTTCTGTGAATAGCTTTAGCAGTCCATTTGTTTGTGTCCCTACCTCTTCTTTCATGTTCTTAATTCTTAAGTTATAGATCCTCTTATCATCTTCTAGTCTTTGTATTATTGCTGTTTGTTTCTTTGTTATTTTTAAGTTTTTCATTTCATGCTCCCATATTACAATTCTGCCTTCCAGTTCAGATAATCTATTCTTAGTTTCTTTCAAGCTGTTATGCCAGTTTTCAATTGAGTTTTTAGTTTCTTGGTAATCTCTTTGAACCTGCTTCACATATTCTATGTTTTCTCTATTTTCTCTATCAAACAATTCTCCCCTTTTTTTCTGTTCTTCCATTCCACTATCTGTTTTTTCTTGGGTGGTGCTTAGCATTTCTCTAACTATTCTGCTTATGTCTTGCTTCAGGTCATTAATAACTTCATTCCTGAACTCATCTATGAGGCTCTGGAGATAGCACTTTATGTCTATTGGTGCCATGTCTGCTATTGCCTGTTTCTCAGGATTGGGGGCCGAGGAGCCTTTCTTTTTGCTCCCTCTTCCCATATTCTTTGTTCCTTATATACAAGCATATAGGAGGCCCAGTTTCCTTCCCTGTCGGCCATAGTCTGTTTGAATTTCGCCTGCTAGGTGTTCCTGCCCACTGCAGCGAATCAGGGAGTTAGGGACTGGGCAGCCTATGCCGGGCCTGCCCCTCCAGTTCAACCTATCAAATGCACCTCCAGGCGCTGGGACCTGGGTTGTGCTAGCGTACTGGGTTTCAACCAGCATTGTCAGGTAGGCTAGGCACTGCTCACCAGTCCCGCTTGAGAGGGGGATATGTGACTGAAGTCACTACAGCACCCTGTTCCGGCAAGTCTGCCCGGTCCCAGAATGTCCTCTGTTGGAGCCTCCTCTACCGTGGAAGAGTCCCAGTTTCCCTCACTCACTGCAGGTCTATGCATGGCTCCCCACCCGTCCTGCTCTCAACTCCGTTCACTGATTCCCGTTCTCAGAGCTTTTGCGCGTCTCTCTCCCTGCCGAGCTGATTCAGATGCTGTAGCAGTGGCAGGAAACCCAAATTGCGGCTTCCAATGGCACGGGCTCCAGCTTCCATGCTGAGGCTTTATCTGTTCCTGTTATAGCACGAGGATTGCATTCCCAGTTGGTTTCTCTCAGCCCAGTTCGTTCTTGGGTCAGCAGGGTATATCTCCTCTTTCTTAGGATTCCTCACTCTGCACCATTCCTGGATTCTAAGCTGGGTCTCTCAGAAAGCCTCCGTAGCTGCTGCTATCTGTCCGCCATGTTCTCCCCTATCCACCATGTTCTCCCCTATCCGCCAGTTCTCCCCGGGAAGTTATGAAAATACAAAAGGAAATCTTTTTGATGTTTATAGAGTTGCCAATTTCTATAGAATTTAGTTAGTTGTTTACTGAAAAACATTGTTTCCAATGCAAATTAAATAATGTCAGAGATATAAAACTCCATCTCTCCACCCCCCAGGACGATGCTCCCGAGCTGGAGGAGGGATTCGTGGTGACTATCACCGAGGTGACCCTGGTCAACCCCGACTTCCCTGCCGAGCAGCCGCGTGTGCGCAGACCTGGACGGGAAATGGCCGAAATAGTGATCGAAGAAAATGACGACCCCAGAGGCATCTTTAAGTTTCACATTACCAGGGTAAGATGCACTTTAACATACTCAGAGTAGTATAACAATAAGAAGCCTGTCCCTACTGTTTTTTATATTTTCTGCAAAATAATTGGTTTTGCACGTGATTATTTATAAATATATAAGTAACCAAATTCACTAACCCTTGATTCTCTCTGAACTAGATAGAAGGATTAAGCAAGTTTGTTTTCACTGCATTTCAGTCTCACACACATGCTATGAATTTGTACCCTGAAAACACAGTTTGAGACAGAGGTGGGTGGAGAACGATGGGGAGTGCTCAGGTAGGAGATTCGCTGTCTGGCCTTTTTTTTTTTTTTTTTTTTTTTTTTTTATTTAAGAGGAAAAAGAGAAAAACACAAAACAAACCAAAGCGGCGTAAGGGTACACGCAATACAGAACTACAAAACAAAACAAAAAACCATAACAGTAAGAAATTACCTGCTAGTAGATTACACACTATTTTCTTGGAAATAGTTCCTCAAATCACAGTATCAAAGAACACAAGGTGGACATTCAAACAGGGAGACTGCAAACAGCTGTGTTCAATGTTCCAAAAACATTGATAAAGTCAGCTATTTAACACCCCCAAACACACTTGCTGTTATATCCGTTAGAGCTCCTTTTCTTTTTTTTTTTTTTCCCTCTCTTTTTTACAACAAAATTTACACATCTTGGATTTTATTACTCCTTAGTGCTTATTACTTTCTTTGGGGGGGGGAAGAATACAGTCAAATATGGCAAAACAAAGCTGTCAGTCAATACCAAGGATAGATGTAGCACATGGTGTAGAACAGAGTACAAGTTTATCAACAATGGTTATCAACGTTATCCCTTGTTTCCTTAAAAAGAATTGTCTATCTTATTAGATATTATAAAGTTGGACAAAACAGTAGAGAACAAGACCAATAAAACTTAGGCATTGTAAACATTACAGGACTTCCAAAGAAGACAATAGTCAAACCAGAATGGGTATCTTAGTGAATCTTATTGTCTTCAAAGTAGTTGCCTATGTCTTCAAACTTGATACTATCATATAGAATGGAACAGAGTCTAATCAGTCAAAACAAGATCGTGGGAGTACTACAGGACTTCAAAACAAGTTAATAGGAAATCGAAAAGAGTTACTATTTATATATCCTAATTTTTTTGAATTTTTTCTTTAATTAAGACAAACATAAGAAATGACTAAATAATTTTTTTTTGAAACAATAAAGGGAAGATTGAGATAAAACAGGACATAACAATATAACAATAGAGGTCACAGCATGACTGTTTCAATAACCTAGTACTTCACCACCTTATAACCTGACTTAATAGTAGTTACCATAGTGTCTTTTTCCTTGAAATATTTGGGTAAAACTTCATATACTCTAGCTTCAAATATTTTCATATCAAGAAGCCCAGAATAAAGCCTTTCTAATTAATGAGTGAAAACTTTATAAGGCTTCAAGGCCACCTAATGGGGAATCATGATTACCACATATTTTTATATATTTGAATCATTACTTACATTAGGGAAACTATTCGGTATTCACACATGCGAGATTGATTTATTTCACTTATGAGTATGGTCTCAAACTGTGCCCATTTATTGATAAATATCTCAATGTGATCCTACTTTATAGCTGAATAATACTCCATTGTATAGAAATACCACAACTTTTTTATCCATTCCTCAGTTGATGGGCACTTGGGTTGTTTCCAAGATCTGGCGATTACAAATTGTGCTGCTATAAACATAGGTGCACATGTATCACTGTGGTATGATGCTTTCAGTTCTTCTGGGAATATGCCTAGAAGTGGAATAGCTGGAATAAATGGGATTTCCAGTCCCAACTTTTTGAGAAATCTCCAGACAGATCTCCACAAAGGCTGTACCAGTCTACACTCCCACCAGCAGTGCAGGAGAGTTCCTTTTTCCCCACAGCCTCTCCAGCATTTGTTGTCGGTTTTCTTGATCCTGGCCATTCTTTCAGGAGTGAGATGGTATCTCAGTGTGGTTTTAATTTGCATTTCTCTAATGACCAATGATGATGAGCATTTTTTCATGTATTTATTCATGCAGCAGGAATCCAAAAAAAGGCAGGAGTAGCCATTCTGTTTGCAGACAACGTGAACTTTAAACCAACAATGACCATAAAGGACAAAGAAGGTCACTACATACTCGTAAGGGGAAAACTCCAAGAGGAAGAGATAACTATCTTAAATATATACGCACCAAACTCCAGAGCACCCAGTTATATAAAACAATTATTAACAGAAATGAAAACTCAAATTATCAGTAACACAATTGTAACAGGAGACCTTAATACACCACTGACACCAAGGGACAGATCAACCAGACAGAAAATGAGCAAAGAAATAACAGAACTGAATCACACCTGTGAACAAATGGGTTTGATAGACATATACAGAATGTTCCACCCAACAACATCAGAATACACATTCTTCTCAGCAGTACATGGATCATTTTCTAAAATAGACCATATATTAGCTCACAAAACATATTTAAGCAAATGCAAAAGAGTTGAAATCATCCCTTGCATATTATCGGACCATAGCGCTCTGAAATTAGAAATTAATGACAAAGGATACTGCAAAAATTCCGCAAACACATGGAAACTAAATAACACACTCTTGAGTAATCAGTGGGTCACAGAAGAAATTAAAGAAGAAATTAAACAATACCTAAAAGAAAATGAAAATGCAGATACAACTTACCGGAATCTGTGGGATGCAATGTCTGGCCTTGACCTCCCTTCTTTATTGAAGGACCTCAGCAGCGGAGCTGTCACTGCCCACGAGCTGCCCCCGCCCCTGGGCGTGCTCCAGGTCCCTGTGGTGCGGCTGGCCGGGAGCTTCGGCCCCGCGAGCGTCCACTGGAGAGCCTCACCGGGCAGCGCCGGCGCCCAGGACTTCACACCGTCACACGGGACGCTGGAGTTCGCAGACGGCCAAGTAGGTGCCTCACCAGTGCGTTAGATCCTCTTGCTTGTGCTTCAGACATGGTACAGGCAGAGACTGAGGGAGCTGAGCGTGCAGTGAGGACTGCTGGGCCCTGAACGTTTCCGCGCGAGCAAACCGTCCATTAATGGCACAGGAAGGGTGGGTTCAGAGGCGAGAATCTTACCTTTGTCTAAACTTCCCCATCTGAGTCCAGCTAAAATAGAACTTATGAAACAGTAATTAAGGAGCTGGAGGGTTAGCTCAGTGGCACAAGTACCTGCCTGGCAAAGGTGAAGTCATGAGTTCGATCCCAGGTAGAAAAAAAAAAAAAAAGAAAGAAAGAAAAGAAAACACAGTAATTGACTTAAGGGTGCATTTAAAAAAACTGCCTGATGAAATACAGTTGCTTTTCAATAAACATTAATTAAAAAAATAAAACTGCCTGATGAACTATCTCAGTGCTCCTTGGTTTCTTTTATGTAGTATTCATAAATAGAAAATTTTTACTTTAGAATTTTCAGTACTGCCATACACATTTATGAATTAATATCCAAAACTTACTTTATAACTATAAGAAAAAAGCTAAAATGATGTACAAGCAACAAAATAGTTAAACTTCAACAAGATTTTGAAAAAATATTCTGGATTTAGATTGAGTGATGTTAAAAATAATAGATTATCCACAAGTGGTGTGAGTCTTATGAATTGGGCATTTTGTAATTCCTAAGAATAAGCTTTGTAGGAAAACTTTAATCACCAAGTGGTAAAGAATAAAGAACCATGAATGTGTTCACAGCTTCCAACAGCAGAGCTGTCTTTAGTAGCCTTGTCTCTGCCTAGATGTGTTTCCTGGCTGCTCAGAGGACTGCAGTCCATGCTGCTAAAAGATAAGCGTGCAAATCTAGATTTTCCTTCAAGTTCCTACCCAGAGAGACCTCTTATTGTGAATGTTTTTGAAATCGTGATTTTTTTTGCCAGATTGAAAACTTTGACATGTTTCCTATAAAAGGAGAATAAATGAGATTTTTACATTAAAAGCAGAAACAAATTGACTTTTGACTGAGGCAACCTTCCAGTTATGGTTTAGCACCAGCACTTTATTCTGAGCACGAAGCTGAAGATTCATTATTTGCTGGCGTCCTCAGGGCCATTGTGTCTCTTAAAGCTCATGTAATGTGGGGAGATATCTGTGCTCTGCAGCACGAGTCTGAGGTGCGGAGGTTTTAATGAGCTTCTGTTTTAGTGTGTGGCTTTATTCAAGTTTGTTTCTGAGTGAGGCATCTGGATTTCCTGCTCTTCTTTACTGTTAAGAGTTTTAGGTGGATTCACATAGAAAAAAATTCATTTTCTGGTTAATAGTATGTCAGACTGCTAAAATCTACCTATGGGAAACAGAAAAAATACTTTCAATATGGACATAGATAGAGCTGGGATTTTTTTTTCTGTATTGGGGTCAAACTCAGGGGCATTTTATCACTGGGCTACATCCTCATCCGTTTTTCTTTTAATTTGAAACAGGGTCCCACTAAGTTGGCCATATGGGACTTGAACTTAGGATCCTCCTGTCTGAGCCGCCATGAGTGTAGTTGAAAAATCAAAAGCTGGACCTTTTCTTATTTTTTGAGATGGGATCTTGTTAAGTTGCCCAGCCTAGCCTGGCCTCTAAGTGACAGCCTCCAGAGGAGTTGGGATTGCAGGTGACTCTGTCTGCAAGAGCTAAGTTCCTGGGAGAAAGAACGACAAGAAGATGAAGAAAATAAAGATACAGAAAGCTGGGCTCAGGTGGAGCCCTCCTTCCAAATGGAGGAGGAGAATGCTCATCCACTGCAATGCATTGTTTATTTAGACATTTGTCACATGATGCCCCTTCACTTAACTAGCTCGCCTCTTGCACCCATTTTGTCTGGGCTGGATTGCCTACCTGTTCACCTCCCGGACCCCATGCCTGGGGGCATCCCTAGGTGCTCTGTGCCCTTGGGGCACATCTTGGTGCTCTGTGCATTCCAATCTGCCTGTGTGAATTTTGGTCATTAGCTCCACGGTTGCCAGCAGCAATGCACAGCACCATGCCTGGCCAAACCCAGTGCTATTTATAAATTTATAGAAACTTAGTATAAACCCAGAATTGTGAGCTAACTAACTCCTGATCATAAGCAACCAGAAACAGAAAATTTGAGGGTTTTTTTCCCCCTGCCTTTCTTTTCCCCTATATTGCAAAAACTATTTGAAGCCAGTGGGCTGTACTGTAATTACAGAAGACAATGACAATTTGTATGGTTCCATTTAACATCATGAAATACTCAGCACACACAGGTTTTCTGTTTGCACAGTGGATGTTACAGTTTACATGGCATTCCATTTTTTCAAGAATAAGAATCCATTGTTTTTTCTATCTGTAAATGAACTATTATTGGGAGCCCTGCAAAGAGTCCCAATTGCCTATCTTAAAAGTATGGAGAGAAAAATTAAAAACAGAGGCATATAGTATTACATCAATGGCTGGGGAGTCAGTGTCTCCAGATGGTCCTCTCCACTCACAAAGCAGCCGCTGTTCATTAGGTGGATACAGTGATTGATAGGGCTGGCAGAGGGGCTGGCAAAGTTCGGCAGAAGGCTCAGAGTCAAGAGGGCGTAGATGATCATGTGGTAAGAAGGATCTTGTCCTGGAGTATAATCCTGGGATAACTCAAGAGGGCATAGATGATTGTATGGTAAGAAGAGTCAACGGGAAATCTCAGATAGGAGGTATTAATAACGCTGGGCCTCCATTTTATCACCTCTTTGGGAAGTATGCAAACTTAGCCACTGTGAATTAGTGGTCCCCAACAGGCTATATTTTATTACATAGATTAATGTGCTTTATTTTGAAAATAATAAAGTTGTGACTTTGAAATGGCATAGGTATACATGATTTTAAAAGCATTATGAATATAGACTAGAAAACCACATTTCTTTCTTTTGTACCCTGTTCCTAAGTTTCAATTAGAAAATTAAAATATAGAAGAGGAAAAGTTGGTACGAGTCCTTCCCATTTCCCCTCCGCCTCTCCCCTCTCCACTCTCTTCCTTCCTGTCTTCCGCAGGTTACTGCAGTGATAGAAATCACCATCATTGACGATGCTGAGCACGAAGCTGCGGAGATGTTCAGCCTGGCCTTGACCAGCGTGTCGGGAGGCGGCGCCCTCGGTGACGATGTTCTGTTAACCATTGTTATCCCACAAAATGACTCGCCATTCGGAGTATTTGGCTTTGAAGAGCAAACTGTAAGTTCAGTATATCAGGGGAGTTCTCTGCCCTGGGCCAGTTGTTAATGTAGTTGTATTTTTAAAGTTTTTGAACTCTTCATTACCAACTTCACTTGAATCTCTCTTCAGGTGTCTCTTGAATTGCCTGCAATTTAGAGGCCAGTCTGGTGAGCTACACACACTGCTTGGTAGTAGTGATGGCTCTTAACACAGGCAGTGACAGAGGCAAACAGACTCATTTCTGTACTGTTTTGCACCCCTTTATTCCCTACCTGCCCTAACGCCAGACCCCTATCCTGTTCCAAATGCACAATGCTATCATGCTGGGTCCTGGCCTCACCCACACTGGGGTGTAGTTGCTAAAGGATTTTAGCATCCACTGTCTTATTTTGAACAGAACCCCACAGTTGTTCCTAGGTCCTGTTTCTTCCCTCTTATTTCTTATTAGCTGTTTTCTTCAAAGATTCAAGGAGGCAATCCATGTCTTGGTTGCTTTTCTCTCATTGTGGAGACAAAATATCTGATAACCAAAGTGAAGCAAAAGAAGGTTTATTTAGCTTACAGGTTTTTTTTGAGGTTTCAGTCCATACTCAGCTGGCTCCAAGGCAGGGTAGCATGGCTGAGGGGCAGCCATTCATGGTAGCCACAGACAACAAGAGCGAAAGGGGAAAAAAGGAAAGCAACCTCCTTCCCTCCCTGATACTGAATGCCAACTCCGCCCGTGGGCAGGTACAGTGCTCACTTCACCAATCCCAGTGTTAGACAAGGAACCAACCACAAATGCTAGATTCAGCCTCCTCTATGACTGCATCCAAACACAATCTATAATACCCAGTTATTTCTGGCTCAGCTATCAAGGGAGGAAAAAGAATTTAACCAACCATGAGAATTGGTAGCTATTACTTCATTAAGATCGCCTTTCAAATATAAAGCACCATAAACTGTCATAATTCTTATTACACAATCATCATGTCATAATTACTATGATTTTTGCCTGTTAAAGTTCCCAGGTGAAACAGTCGTAAAAGTCCTTAAGTAGTTCCTACATACTCAGCTACTTTTTTGGCCCTATACAACAGTACTCCCTTTACATTATCATTTCCAGTAATCACCAAAAGTCATTTTTAAGGTGAAACCAATTGCTCTAACACGCTTTCTCTTTTGTACCCTGGGGACCCAAGGCTCAGTCTACAACTTCCCTGTTGGAGCCGAAATTCCCAGGGCTCCAGGATATAAATTTAGCCTAATGATTGCCTGGTGATATGGTCACTGAAAAAAGCAGGTGTGGTTGTCTCCAGGCAGCCTAGCAAGTCCTAGATATAGCAAGTCTTGCTGTAATTCCAGCCATGCCATATTTCTTTGCATATATGCAGTATTTATGTGCATATGTTAATGCACATGAATATGAAAATCATTTTTATGAAATCTATATTAACTTTTAAGCTTAGACTATAAAATAGGATTTGATGTTCACATCTCCAGTTAGTGAAATCTTATAATGCTGCTTTTGATTTTAGTGGTATCAAACTGTCGGACTCAAGCACTGGGTAATGTGTTTTTAAGCTTCTCTTCCTGTACAGAAAATGCAGAGTGGTGTCCCTGCTCAGACTTGGTTCATTCATTTGGTCTAATCTGTGGTTGTAAACTTTAGTGCTCTAACTTTAGGCGTGCTTGGAAATACGATCTAATTGTGATAGCCTCCAAGTCCCAATTTGTTTTAAAATCTAAAAGGTTTAGGTTACCCAATCCCTACTCCATGAGTTTTATTCCTCATAAGGAATAAGTGAGCTGCTGCATGTAAAGCCCAGTGTCCTCAGTGAGTGCCAGCTGCTGCTTTTACTGTAGGGAATAAGAAGCTTGTTGCTCAGTGACTGTGGCTGTTGTTCATACCCTATGTCCCGGGATAACCTGAGCTGACCTTTTGATATGTGTATTCAGTATTGTATGCCCAAAAGTCGTTCTATTTGCATTGCTTGGTGACACAGATTAGGTTGAAATCTGAAGAACCCTGGGAAAAATCTGCCAGTACAAACTTGTCTAAACACATAAGCTGCTTACAAGGGCAAGGTAGTACACATGTAGGCACCGATACATGATAGAAGCTCAAAAAGAATCAGCCCCAAATCTCCATTCTTGGTTCCAGTGCAGAAATTTCATAAGAAAAGCCAAATGAGATTGTTTTACATGCTTGTTAAGTTTCTGCCTTGAAAGTGGAAAGCAGTGTTATATTTTAAATTATATGTCATGTAGATATTACGGGTTCACAAGGTCAGCATAAACAATTCACTTGAACTAGATCCCTTAATAAAGACTTGTGAAGAAAAGTACCACTGGTAAATTAACATTCCAAAATTTCTCATTTATATCAGATTACTAAAACTGTTCATGTTTGACTTACTGAAGTTGGAAAACTTCAGATAATTTGGGGGACAGTTTAGGCCTGTGGTGAGCCTAGTTTTCATCACAAAGAACCCCTAAATCTCAGTGCCTTTATTTCTTCTTTTTGTGGGAGTCTCACCCTAGTGCCCCTGCTCAATGGACAGGTGTGGACACTTTCCTCCACCTGGCTTCTGACCTCCTGCAGGGCCTGGGCTCCTCTTGGGCCAGACAGACGGGGAGGGCTGTGCACAGAGGCACAAGCCAGTGTCAGCGGTCTCTTGCCAGGATTCAGCCTCCTGCTGTATCGCGCACACACAAGGAGAGGAAATGGCCAGTAGTTGAGTGTCTGGGGGAGAATGAAATGAAGTGTGATGAAGCACTTTTTCTGCCATGTGATCATAATATACCATGAAGAGAATTCTAAATTCAAAACCTGCAGTAATTGTACACAGAAGTAAGATTTTGTTTCTCCTGTCGTCATCATCATTACTGTTGCCTTACCAGTGTTTCTTTCTTTCAGGTGATGGTTGATGAGCCCCTTTTGTCTGATGACCCTGATTCCTATGTGACACTGAGGGTCGTCCGGTCCCTGGGAGGGAGAGGAGCCGTCCAACTTCAGTGGATGTTGGAGGACAAAGCGAAGGATGTCCTCAGCCCTCTGAAGGGGATACTCCACTTTGATGAGGTAGGGTCGGCATGGGGACTCCTGTCATTTTCCTCTAACTTATCCTTGATTTTCTTTAGCATAGGATGACTGATGAGTTCGTATGATGGTATTCAATGTATCTGAAAGTTTTTGACATCTGTGTACACTGTGGGGAAAATCTGTCTACACTGTACACACAAAAGCCCTACAATACTGGAAATCAGCTCATTTAATTCAAGAGCTGCCTCTGTGCCCATCCAACTTCCCTTTTCTCACACTTCCTGTCCTGTGGAGGGCAGTATCCATCAAGCAAGCCTGGCATCTAGGTTTGAGCCCAGTGCTGGCCTTTCTGTAGCCCCTGCGTAAATCTAATAGCTAAGTCTGGTCAGTTTTCCTGCTTACTATTCTCTTCTGGCTGTTCTGACTAGACAGATCTGTTATACTGACTCAAAATGTTAATCCTGTGCCCTGGAAACACAGTTTCAAAAACAGTTTCGGACTTTGAAAAATTAAGAGTTCTTAGCGCCCATGGACACTTGTTGAAAGCAGCCACTCAGAAATCTAAAATAAATCATTTCAGAGTAGAAAGCATATTACCCCCACTGTGTGTGTTGGCTTCCTGCAGTGAGGGTGAAAGTCCTCTCCAAGAGACTCCTAGATGACTCCTCTTTCCGAAGCCTGACAGAGGCTTTGCAAGGTTTGATTTGTTCCTGTTCTTCTCAACCCTACCCTGAGGCCCGTGGCTGGAGTACTAACCCACCCCGTGCAGTGCAGGATGTGACTTTGCTGTGTCTACCCTGTTTCTCCCTCCTCTTCCCCTGACTTGCTTGGCTCTAATAAGGGACAGAAGTTCAGATGGTGAGGGCATCTGGTACCTCATTAAGCTGACTGCTAAGTTTCGCAATGAATAATCTTAGCCTCACTAGAGCCAAGTGGTATTTATCAAAGTCCCAGCGCCTTGCAGGAAGGTTGAGGGGAATTGACAAACTGATTCTAAAATGCATATGGAAGCACAGAAGGCCAGGGATAGAAGCAGCTCAAAGACGACAAGGAGCGCGGTGTCCCTTAGCCAGCTCAAGACGGCACACGGCCAACGCGAAGATCCTGGCACACTTTGGGCTCTGTGACGGACACACTGAGCAGAGGAAAGAAAATGGAGACGGGATTTGTAACCTTGTGTTTCTTGCTCTTAGAATCGTGTTTGAGTCTGAATAGCTTTCCTAAATTAATCTAAATAAAATCATAGGTAGTTCGTTTAAAAAAAACTCATGAAATAATTTTTTAAAAAACCAACAAAATAATTGCAAAATAAGAATGTACAAGAACAGCCATTGCAAGTGAGAAAATGTGAAAAATTTTTAAGAGGTTGCGTTGTATAAATCTAGACAAATAAATTTAAAACCTTGTGTGATATTGGCTATAGTACATAATATAACACATGAAATTTAAATAGATTAATTTTTTGTAAATGACTAGAAAAAAAGAGTAGAAGAAGCTACCTAATCAGTTTTGCAAAGGAATTTCACCAAACATTTAAAGTACAGTGATCCCAGAGTTTCATGACAGTGTTTCAGCCACTCAAAACTCTGACTTACAAAAAATAAATATACAAATTAAGCCTATTACAATCCATCTGCACATACCTCAGCCTCCAGCAGAGATAATAAATGACTGCGGAAAAGTTGTCTCTGCTTCCAAAAAGAAACAAGTGCTCTTTGCCCTCACAATTGTTTTCTGCACCCTTGACAAGACAGGAGTGGTGCTCTTTTTGTAGTCCACTGACCTTTTTTGCAAAGCAGTCCTCAGAGTTTTCGTTTCACTTTGCCTCCCACGATTCCGGAGATACTGATTATAATCTCGCATGGTTTTAAGTCTGGAGTCATGTATTGCAGACAGACCATCCACTTCTCAAATTCTAATAAAGGATGACTCAAGATTCTAACACATGAAGACTCACCCTAATCTGAAAACTTACCACCTGGTCTGAAAAAAAATTTGCAATTTGAAAATTATTCTAAAACATTTCTATAGAGATTTACATGAGCAGTAATTTTCTGTTTACCTCGTTTCTAGTTAACTCTACTTCCTCAGTTATTAGAAAGGTTTTCTGTGTTAAGCATAGAATCGACACCAAAATAACAAATACTCTTATCTTTCTCCCAATGATTACAGCTATTCTTTTTTCAGAGTATTAATTAAGAGGGGTGGGTCTATTGCTGGATGAAGTCCTGTGTTCAGTTGCTTGTATATTTTGTATACATCTGCACAGCAGTTCCATCATGTTTGCATATCCAAGTCTAAAGTGTTCAAGCATCTAAGGGTTCTTCGGTTTGGGTAATGTCTTCAGCCTTTGCCAGTCTTGCTCATGGCTAGTACTGTACAGGTGGGTCTCTGATCAACAAGTCATTCTCCTAGCAACTTGGTGCTCACATTTGCAATTGAGATCCTAGTGGATAAGAGCTGCTGTACTTAGGATGTGTTTACCGTACCAAGATTTATTATACCATGATTTCTTGGTCTGTTTCAAAGTGAAGCCACAATTGTTCATGATTCCCCCACTCCCAGGGAAATTCTTTTTTTTTTTTTTTTTTTTTTTTTTTTGCCTGCCTTTCCGATGGATCCCAGGGAAATTCTTACAATAGCTCTGTTTGGTCTTCTCTTAGCAACTGGGTGAAGTTATCTTGTCTGATTTCCACTTGCAAGGATATCTGAGCTCTGTACTCTGTGGAAGTGTACAATCCAGGGCTTCCCAGGGTGGTCCAGGGGTGATAAATCAGTGTCTCCCGGGAGCAGCTATGAGCTGGAGTATCGGGAGGCTTTCTAGGTGCTTCTCCTAAGACCCACACCTGGGTAAGTGAACCACAGAGCACCGGACAGGGATGCAGGCAGGCTGTCACTCAGCCTTAAACTTACACTGCCATGCACTACAGCTTGTTTTAAAGACAAACCGATTCTTCAGAACTGACCTGAGATGTAGGAAGGTTGAGTTTTATAATGTTGTCTTGAACAGTTACTGGATGTGGACCGTGTGAGAAATAGGATCTAGTCCTGCAGGAGGAGGGGGCTTTTTTGAGATGAGGTAGTTCCCAAAGGAGCCTGACAGACACTCCCAGCCAATGGATGATGAGTCCTTCCAGAAGGGGGACGTGGTGGCCATCGGAGATCATCACAGAGACCTGGGGCAGGGCTGTGCTCAGGGGAGTCAGCCCCTCCCAACTCGTTCCTCGGCCTTTTTTGAATGAATGTCTTTCTACTGCCTGCTTCGACCCTTGACCCCTACCCTTCCTGCCTCTTTCTCAACCCTGCTACCAAGGATGGTCCCAAAATAATCACTGTGATTCCTTCCCTCTCTTGTCTTCTCTGTGGCTCAGGAATTTCTTAAGAAATGGTGTTTTCAGTGTAGGATAAAGGCTTAAAATGGTCCTTGCGGAAAGGAAGAAGAGAGAAAAGGAAATACACAGGAATATGCAGAGAGGCAACATTCATGCTCAGAGACATCACTGTGACACCTATCACTTGTATTTCTGCCTTTCACTCTGCATTTTGGTAAAGCAACTTTGCTTTGTCCTCCACAGCGCTGGTTAAATTTTCTGCAGTGTGGGTTCTGTTATTTATTATTGCTTGTAAACAGTGGGTTTTGCAATTGCATCTTTTGAGTTTGCTATTCTTAAATAGTATTATTTTCATCTCCTTTCTCAAACCATTCTCTCTTTGTAGTTAATCCCTATTTTACAGTGTATACATTCTTACTGTTTTATAGCAGTGTCTAGAGAATGCCTTGCCCATGGACTTCCTGCCTGGGCCGATGTTCAGTGTGCTCAGGGAAGTCTGTATTCCTGGAGTGCAGCGCATGTTTCCACCATTCCCTCTGGCACACTGTGGCTTAGAAGACCTGAACTGGTGTGAAGAGGGGGTAGATATGGAGGGGGAACAGGACACCTTGCCTGGGTGGCAGCCACCTCCTGGAGTCAGTGCAGGAAACGTCCTGACCTGCTCTGCACTCTGTTATTTAGGTTCCTGGTGAAGATTGTTGGTGTGTCCTCTCATTTGCCTGGAATCATTACCCCCATACATAAAAGTACCACCTGATTTCAGAAACACTTTTTAGCTTTAGTTTCTTTTTCTTTTGTTGTCACTTTGGGTCCCATATGGTGCCTACATGGGCATTTGATGAAGGCATATCTCCCCCAACCAGCCTGCTGTCAGGATAATCCAGAAATCTCTTTCCTGCATCCTTATGTTTTCATCTGTTACAGACATATGTGTGATAATGGTGTAAGCCTCAAACAATACAGTTGGGTGCAAAAAAGTAAGGAAAATTCCCTGAATCTTCTCAAATCTTACACTGCTACATCCCAGAGGTAACCACCAATGACGGCTTTTTATACATCCTTCCAAAAATGTTCTATTCATATTTAAGCATATGTGTCTTATTCTTACACAAATGGGATTTTAGTCTGCAGTCTGTTCTGTAATTTGCTCTTTTTACTTCACAATTTCTCATAAACATTTATTTTTCGTACTAACCAAAATCTACAGCACTAAAAATTGGTTGCATATTTTTCATTGCATCAACTCTTAACACCTTTATTCAGAAGCACTGTGTTTCATCATGGCTTTTAGGGTTTCATGCATTTCTTATCCTTGTCTCTGTAATTCTCATTTCTTACACGGTGTTTGGTCTCTTTAGTTGCCCCTTTGCAGAGGATTTCTCTGCTGTCACAGATTTCTTCTGTCACCTCAGGTTGTATTGTGTCCATTTACTTTACTCTCTTCCAAGGCTGGGTTCTCTTGTATTGCTGGAAATTACCAGTGACAAGCCATAAGGGTTATAGGTTCCAAATCTAGCCAGACCTGAATCCAGCTCTTCATTCCACCTTTAATGCCATGTGACTTTAGGAAAATCCATTGATTTCTTTCACGCTAGGTTTCCTAACAGCAAAACGAGAATAGTACTGCTTAACCTGAACAATGGCTGTACAGATTATATAAAATTATGCTTGTGAAGTGGCTCACCTTCGAAAGTAGCTATAAATTAGTTCTAAAATAATCAAAAAGTCCAGTGAAATAGCACAGTGCTACCTCAACTCAATATAATAAAGCTCCCCTCTTCTACACTGTGTGATTCAGAGTAAGCAGGTTTGAATGTCACAAAGCTAGGAAACAATCCGTGTTCCCGTTTTCCTGAGGAAGCCTACAGTGCTGTTTTGTGCAGCTAGCTGTTCTGCAGTGTAGTAATAATTATTCTGAATTTTAAGAGAAAAAAAGATTCTGTGTTCAAATCCATCTGGGAATGTCCCGATTAAACTAGGAAGGTTTCTTGTGCAGGATGTTTTATAAACCTCATTCCTAAAATAAGTATAAAATCTCTGCTAGACGTTTTCTGAGTTTATTTCTCTGTGAAACTTACCATTGCCTCTTTATCCCAAGGCACGTCTTGCTGTTCTTCATCACGGGGTTCCAGAAGCACTGCCTGGGAATGGACCCCCATACCTCTCTTCCCATTACTACTGGGTGTCTGTTTCTTAGAGAAATGCAGAGCTGGCTTCTGCAGACAGCAGTGAAGGGAGGGCACCATAAATGTACAGAATACAGAGTCGAGCTCGGGAGTCAAGGTCCCGTCATCTCCATTGCTCACTGAAGTCTATTCGTACCCCCAGCCCCAGTCAGCGTGACTGATTCTTTCACTCATCTGTGGACACAGAGACAGTGGTGAAAGTTTCATTCTCCAAACCTGTTCATTCCCAGCTGAGAGGGAGCAGGTAGCACTTTCTCTTGTTGTGTTTCTCACGGAGTGGATGAGCGCCTTTTTCACAGTGCAGTGTCATTTTATATTTTTGTGCTCTTTGTTGCTGATTTCGCTGCTGAAAACAGCCCAAGCAGACAGCCTTGTGTCCTGAGGGGGCTGTGGGGCTGTGGTATGGGGTGGGGGAGACACTGTCACACACACTCTGTGACCTTCATTCAGCAGGGGCTACACCGTTTCCTCAGCATGCGCTAGAATGACCCAGACTTCTTGTCTGTATGCCCGTGTCTGTGAATGGCTCCAGAGGGCCCAGGTATTGATTGTGAGGTATGAGAAACTTTAGTGAATATGCAGATGCAGAAATGCAGAATTCAAGAATAATTAGAATCAACTGTATGTTAAAGCAACACCACTTCAAGTAGATACTACACATACAAAAAAGCACATGCAACAATGTTCATGACAGTGTTACTTACAACACTAGATGGCCGAGCTAAGATACCTATTGCAAACAGTACAAATGCAAAGAAGGGAATGTCCCTCGCTATTGAAGGGATACGTTGTAGCTACCTGCATAAACATGGTGGCTCTCAAACAGTAGATGCTGGAGGAAAAGTTAAGAAGCAGACACATAAGAGTGAAGGTCAGGATGGGGGAGTTTTGACAAAGGTGATTAAAACAAAGACCAATATGGTGATGCACAACGGTAATCCCAGCTACTCTGGAGACTGAGGCAGGAGGATCCCTTGGGCCCAGGAGTTACTAAGAGCTAACCAGGAAAAATTAGACTTCATCTCAAAAATAAAACAAAGCAAAACAAGCAAACATATAAAATGAAAAGCCCAGGCAAGGGTGACAAAAAGAGTAAATAAAATCAAAAGACCTTTGGTCATCAGGTGAAGACGGCACTGCTGAGCTCCAAGGGGCAGAAAAGTTGTGCGAGACCTGAGTCCTGGGTGCTCTGTACAGCTGTAGTCCCTGCTGCATGGGAGGCTGGAGCAGGAGCATCACTCTAGTCCACAAGTTCTAGGCCAGCCTGGGCCACACAGTGAGACCCTGACTCTAAATAAATAAAGAAAATTGTTCTGCTTTCGCACTAATTGAGAAAAAAGTTTTTAAAAAACTGTAAGGCATTCAGCAAGAAACAAGTGGGATAGACATGATAAGGAAGAAGAAATCTTAAAGGTGAAGATAAAGCCGAAACATATATACAAAATACCAGGTTCCCGGGCGGGTAGCTGTCCTATGAATTAGGCCCTGGAATGCTTGCTGCCTTCAGTGCTGTGTTCAGGAGGCCGGTGCTGCTGGTATTTGAACACTGGACGCTGACAGAACCAGCGAGGAGGAGACGTCCGGTGTGATGGCAGCAGCAGGGCTCTTGGAGCTGGGACAAGGATTGGGGGAGCTTCGTGTCCTCCCTTGAGTGGAGCCAGCTGTTCCTTAGGGGTATTGGATATATGACTTTTGCTTGTTTGCATTTATGATTTATTTATTTAACTCTCTACGATTGGGCCTTCAGTGGCTAAAAATTTTTGGTAAATTTAGGAGATGCAGTAATCTCCTATTTTCTTATTAGAAACCTGAGTGGAATTTAGGGATACTAGGAATAATTGGACCCCTCCCCCCTTTTTTTGCATAGAAACAAAAATACGAGGTGACCAAAAGGGCATACTTAAAAATGTTTATGAACAGAAATGCTATTCCACAGTCAAAATGTGACTTTGGCCCCTATGGGGAAATTGCTTTTCCCTCTCAATTGCTGCAGATGGAGTCCCAGAAGACCATCGTCCTGAACACACTCCAGGACACCACGTGGGACAAGGACAGGCGCTTCACCATTCAGCTGACAGCACCCGCCGAGGTGGAAATATCTCCAGTCAAAGGTAAGAGAAATGCAGTTTTTGCAAATTATAAAGTGATCATCAGGAAAAAATGTAGCCAGATACTGAGTAGTTGCTATGATAGACAATGTCAGCATTTATAATCCCTAAAATGTTTGCTAAAATTTAAGGATATAATTTTCTATCCCTCCTGTGGATAAAGAATTTTTTAAATAGAAATTATACCACCCTGACATTGGTGGGGTCATAGGTCAAACATTTCATGTCAATTAGCTCTGGTGTTTTTTTAACTAAAAGACGTACCGTATAATAATATTTATATAATAACACATGAAAACTTTCTGAATATTCCAACAGCAGGAGATTGATTAAAATGTGACAGGAAACTATAACCATTCAAAGTGATATAACACTAAAACCCAATAATTCCATTAAATATTCAGCACACTGAATTTCATGAGTGATTGTTATGTTTAACAAAGTAGACTTCACAACAGTAGAGTCCATGTAATTTCACTTGTGATCAGGTGCACGTCTTACATGAGTTTGGAATTATTAATTTGAAATGTCAATAGTAGGTTTTGCAAGCGCCTGCCTTGCAAGCAGGCAGTCGTGAGTTTGATCCCTGGTACTGATAAAAAGGAAAAAGACAAAAAAAAATAGTAGGTTTTACTTATTTATTTTTGTAAGTTACTTACAATGATCACATATTACTTTGGCAATAAAACACTTTTAAACTTGCATTTTCACATTTGATATTATAGTCTAACTATACTTGTGAAAACTACTCAGATATTTCTGTGTTGCAGAAGCATGTCATAATTCCTGTTTGTGGTCTGTAGGATGATTTGTTTTGGGGGGATCAATAGAGAAAAGAATAATGCCTTTGAAATGGTTTTATTATGCTATAAAAGGTTCTAACAATAAAAATGACCTAGAAACTTTCTTCATAAATGCTTAATAGTGTTGTGTGTCTTTTTTTGCCATCAAAATTCCATCCTGTGCATAGGTCTATGACTAAAGTTAAATCCTGTGAACAAAACAGTTGTCAAAGTTGTGCAGTATCACTGTGTGCACCTCAGGTAGTTGTACCTCCTGCTTGTCGATTTAAGAGTTCTTTGCAGCAAACCTCCTGTGTTAGGCAGCTTTCTGTCACTGTCACAGTCCCTGAGATAATCAGTTTACAAGAAGGAGAGGTGTATTTTGGCTGATGGTTTCAGTCCCTGGTAGATAGACCACGGCTCTTGGGTCTGTGACAGGGCGGCATATCAGGGCAGCAGGGTGGAGCACAGGAAGCCGCTTGCTTCATGGTAGGTAAAGGAGGGAGGAAGAGCAGGGCCTGACTTCCTTCCTCTAGGCCCTGCCTCCTTCCATTAGCACCGCGGACTGGGGACCAGATCTCCACAGATGGGCTCTGAGGGATGGGAGAGATGGACTGATAGCAGCTGTAAGGAATTGTGTCATATACTTCCATCCCTCTTAAATTAGCTTAGCAGTATGCATCATGTTAAAGGGACAGTTGATGTCATGTAGGCTAATTAGACACAAAAATAATACATCAGAGGATTAAAGTAAAACCTGTGTCAAAATTAAAATTCTTAATATATTTCTGACATAGTTTCATATGGCAAACTACTCTTGATTTCATTAATCCATTGCCCAAGAACATGAGAGTAGAACCCAGTGCTGTTTTTTGTGATACCTTCATGTTTTATGCTTTTCGGCAAGTTCTCAGCATCTTCAGTGTTTACTGTCCTCGTAGCCGGAATGAGGATGTGGGTGCTTCACCGACGTGATTGTCTTGCGAATGCACTAGGGCTGTCAGTCTGCATGTGTGTGTTTGGGACAGCATCATGTGTCACCTTCAACCAGGTCGAGCATCGATCATCATGCGAAGAGAAAAGACAGCATCGGGGGAAGTTGGGGTCGCCCTGTCATCCAGGCATATCCTCATTGGGGAGCCCTTGGCCACCTACAATGGCACCGCTGTCATCAGGTATGGATTCCACACGGTCCTGACCTGGTAGGGGTTGTGTGTAATCAGCCTTAGTCCTGCATTCGCAGTGAATTAACAGTGTTGGTGCATAATTGTGGGGTGTGCTAGTGGCACCTGTGGAGAGTAAAGCTTGATGCAGAGACTGAAGATAAGTGTGTTGGATCACAAAGAGGTTTGGGGTGATTTGTCCAACCCATGCCCAGGCCAGTAGGTGGAGGTGGGGTCAGAAATCTCTGCTTTCAGCCTGGTTCTGTTCTGCGGAGCATGCCACCAGGGGTGGCTTCCTCTCCATGCTTGTGTCTCTTGGCTATGGAATCCTTCCTCAGCTGTTTGTCAAGATCAGTTTGATTCTGAAGGGATCCAAAATCAGACCCTTTCCAATAATTAAATTAGCACCACTGCAGGGAAGTTTTTTCTGCAAAATTCACTTGTGAAAAAGGGCAGGGGCAGCAGCCATCAGTGAAGGAGATCAATTTGCCTCTGCATTTCTTTTTTTCATTATTTGTCTAAAAGTAGAATGTTAAATTACACATATTTGTGTGGAGTATTTACTGCTCTCTGGTCAGTTTTGTTAATACACGCCAGCTGTGGTGGCTCATGCCTGTTATGCCAGCATTCTGGAATGCTGAGGCAGGAGGTCACAAATTTGAGCCCTGTCTGAGCAACTTAGCAACTTAAGAAAGTTCCTGTGCTCAAAGGAAGGAGGGAAGGAGAAATAAAGGAAAGAGACTGTAGCAGAGGTTCTGGGTTCAATCCTCAGTACAGCAGAAAAACAGAAACAAAAAGCAGTAACAACAAAAAAACTTAGTAAGCCACTCATATTTTGTTTCTTGTACACCAATAAAAATGTATAATTATTCCTACTTATTCCTTTAAACCGATTTATAGTGTTCAGCTTTTGCCAGTGTTCCTGGCAAGGAAGATTTACCAGCCCAGTACTTTGGGTGCTACTTTCTTGGAGTTCTAAGATTTTCTTTTCATTTATAGTTAATAGATGAGTCTGTTTAACAGCATAATGTTCTTGAAAGACGCAGCCAGTATCTAGGTGAAGTACCATCCATAAAGCTGTGTTCAACAGCCCCTTGCATATCTTTGCAGCCTCATCCGTGGCCCTGCGCTCTGGGGGGAGGTGACAGTGTGGTGGAGAATCTTCCCTCCTTCTGTGGGGGAGTTTGCCGAAACCTCAGGGAAGCTGACCATGCAGGAAGGACAGTCGACAGCCATCGTGGTCATACAGGTGTGGTGCTGATGGCTCTTGTGCATGCCTGTGTGGTAAGGGTGACATGTTGAGAGATTAATGTTGCAGAGTCTGTTGCTATCATTCATGTGACAGATACTTTCCTTTACATCGTCTGGATTCTACTGCTGATGGCTCTCCGTCCTTCCGTAGGCTCTGAATGATGACATCCCCGAGGAGAAGCGTGTCTATGAGTTCCAGCTCACAGACGTCAGCGAGGGTGCCGGGCTGAGCACCTCCAGTCACATGGCCAGTATCACCATGGTGGCCAGTGATGCCCCGTATGGCCACTTTGCCTTTTCCCAGGAACAGCTGTGGGTGTTGGAGGAAGTGCAGAAGGTATGTCGGAAGGGACTTAAAAATCTTAGGGTCATTTTTGCTTTTGATACTGTGAATGCTGCACTTAAAATTTCCCTGTTAGTATTCTCAACTGTTCTTATATGCAGGGTGTGGTGGTATACACCTGCATCCTTGCAGTCAGAAGGCTGAGGCAGGAGGATCACTGTGAGTTCAAGGCCAATTTGAGCCCTATCGTGAGACCAGGCCTCAAAACAAATTTTTTTAAATATAAAATAAACTTTTCATAAAGATTTATTTGCTCCTAACCTCTCTAGCTTAATGTAATTCATTGAATTTATAATTTGTTTCATTGGCACATAATCTTTTTAAATATAGTGTCTAACTGGGGACAGTGCTGTTTGCCTCTCACACAGATAAACGTCACAGTGGCCCGGGCAGGCGGTTGCCTCGGCCTGGTGAGGCTGTGGTTCCAGACGGCGGGCGGCACCGCAGATGCAGGTGTGGACTTCATCCCCGCAGCTGGGCAGCTCCTCTTCGGGGTGGGAGAGATGGCCAAAGAGCTGCAGGTCGAGATCCTTGACGATGACCACCCCGAAGGCCCTGAGGACTTTTCTCTAGCAATTGTAAAGGTGGAGCTACAAGGCAGGTAAAGAAGAAGTTAGGGAAGGAGGGGAGGAGAAAAGAAGGGGGGGAGGGATGCAGCAGAGGAGGGAGAGGCAGGGGCACAGGGGCTGAGTGAAAGCTGTAGACAGATTTTCCTCAGGTGTCAGGCCGCTCGCTCTTCCTCACTCTCCTTCGGTCTGCAGATGGACATTAGCAGGAAGCCTCACTGTCACTTTCTCCGGCTTCTGAGTTACCTTTTCCTCCTGAATGGAGAGTAGGCGCTTGTGCTCTGGCTCCAGGCAGGGTGCCAATGTCTGGTGAGGAAATCGCCTGCGGTTCTCCTCTCAGGTCAGCAGACAGCCGAGCCTGCTGCCCACTTCTGACCCATGCACGGTCCCAGCGCGCACTGCCTGCCCTGCTGTGTCATACAGCTCTGCTGTCCTCTGTGGATAAATGGGAGAGATGTTTGCCCAGCTGTGTTTTCAAGGTGGGCAAAATTTAACTCCAGGATAATTAGCCATTAACATGCACCAGGCTTTCAGTGAAGATCAAAAATAAGCATAGAGCCATTGGCCATGGTGGCACATCCAGCTACTTTCAAGGCTGAAGCAGAAAGATCTCAACTTTGAGCCCAACCTGCACAAGCCAGTGAGACCCTGCCTTTAAAGTGGTGGTGATAGAGTGTTTTCCCAGCTTGTGTGAGGACCTAGGTTCAGTGGTACCAGAAATTGAACTCAGGACCTTGCATTTGCCAGGCAGGCACTTATGCCACCTTGTTATTACAAATATCATGCTGTAAATTTTTTTTATAACTAAAATATTTCCCAGTGGCTAAGGTGTAGTGTGTAGCATCCCAGCTGAGAAGGAAAGGTTTTGGATTCACCTCTCAGATCTCTCAGATTCACTTCTGTGTCTGACAGTGGAATTGAATTTCTGCACATATGGAAGATTTAAAAATTCAAACTGGACACTAACACTTTTAATTAAATACATGTACTTTGCTACAAGTCGCGTACTAAGTGTGAGGCTGTATTTGTGTTATTAACTTGAAATTTTTAGCCTTCTTGCCTGTGCTTTTTAAAAAGCAATTTCTAGTGAAGTTTAATTTGGGAAACACATTTTTCCCTCAGGTAGTTATTGAGCTTTCTTTGCTCTAAAAAAAGAGAAAGAAGTACAATACAATGTGTTTGCTTGTTTTCCTACTTATGAGAAAACTGACTACATTTGTCTTCACTTCCAATAATCAGCTGCCCTACTCTGTACCCACCAGCCCTGGAGCAGGTGCCTGTAGCATTTGATATGTGAATTCTCACTGTTCTTATCTTGGCTTATCTGTAATCTTATTTTCCAGCTTTCAACCTGTCAGTACAAGCTGGGGTATAAATAGCAAGTGAAAAGAATTTGGAAGCTGAAAGACTAAAATGTCTTTGTATCATCTTTTAGTTTCAAGAATTAAAGTAATGTACAGCCCTTAGAAGTCAAAACTTGTCCAATGGGAATCTTAGCAATGTAAATTTTTATTTTGCTGAAATTTCATCACACAAACTATCCTCTACAGTAAAGAATAGACGTTGACTATAATTATATTAATATGTATTCTCGAATTTTGGTGATCTTGAAATCTGATTAGTGGCAGACACTTTTTATATCTTTAAAGTAAGCTGTCATCCTATCTCTGAAAAACTCCTATGTAGCTGATTTATTATCTTTAAGTATACTGGGCCCAGTATTTTCCAGTAACTGGAAGCAGCCAAAAATGTTTATCAAAACATCATTTCAGCAAGAAAAGGAAAAAGGATTACCTTAGTGTTAAGAGTCTTTAAAAACTTCACTGTATTTAACGGAACTAAAGGGATACGCCCTAAAAGGACCCTTCGGTTTGTGCTGATTGTGTTTTCATGTCGTTTCTCATGACTTTGCAAGAGGGTATGATTTTACCATCCAAGAAAATGGACTACAGATAGATCAACCTCCTGAAATCGGGAACATTTCCACGGTTCAAATCATAATAATGCAAAATGATAATGCAGAGGGCATCATTGAATTTGACCCGGCATACACGGCCTTTGAAGGTGGGTTGAGTCACGGTGTGGGCCTTCACTGTCCTGTTCTGAACCGCAGAGTAGCTGTGACATTCCGCTCCAGTTCCCATATGCATTCTCTCAGTTTGTCATGTGCACGTGTGTACTTTCATGTATTCTCTGAATGTTTTTCATTTAACCTTTAGGTGGTCTTGAATTTTTCTGTATATGGTTAAGGCCAAATAGGAATAGTTTTTTAGAAAGCCAATAGGAATGACTGAATCTAGAAACTTACGTTTTGCTTTAGGATTTTAAAAATACTTGTTTCAAACATTTTCCTGAAACCCTATGCAATATTTACTTGCCCGTACCACCATCAGTTGGAGAATATTTGCTTTTTGGTGATCGGTCACGACTTCACTGGCCTGCAGGTGCAGGTAGAGTGTGGCTGTGCGATCTTACTGTCTTGCAGCAGCTGTGGTGACAGCTAGCCTAACATCACCTAGTGAAAACACATGGCTCTAGGGGAAAAAAAAAAAAAAGAGCTCTAACGGATATAACAGCAAGTGTGTTTAGGGGTGTTAAATAGCTGACTATATTAATGTTTTTGGATCATTGAACACAGCTGTTTGCAGTCTCACTGTTTGAATGTCCACTTTGTATTCTTTGATACTGTGATTTGAGCAACTATCTAAGATGATAATATGTAATCTATTAACAGGTGATTTCTTACTGTTTTTTTTTTTTTTGTAGTTCTGTACTACGTGTACCCTTACACCACTTTGTTTTGTTTTGTGTGTTTCTCTTTTTCCTTTTAAATAAAATTTAAAAAAAAAAGAAAAGAAAACACATGGCTCACTTGAACCCTAGGTACAAATAGATTACTCCCTTTCTAGGAAATTATTTTATTCAGAGGCTCAATATAACTTTTAAGGTAAACATGTTGCCTTATTCATGCAATTAATTTATTGACTTCATTACCTCCATTAAAATTATTACCTAGCTCTTTTTAAAATTCATCAAAAACCACCTTAGAAGTAGATTCAAAAGGATTTTATGGCAGTCATGGAAGATACTATTTTGTGAATTTAATAATAGGAAAAGCCACAGTTCATTTCTGCACTAAGAAAAATACAGAAATTTGACTTGCTCCTCTGTTCCTTGATTTCAGGTAGATTCTCTGACATTGGGGGAACTTCAGGTAGTGCATGTGTAAGTTCACTTGTAGGGTCAGTTTTATTTATCAATGGATATGTAAGCACTGATAAACTATTTCAGTGTACAGAGTTTGCACGGTTCAATAAAAAAGACATTTTTGAAATAATTTTTAAACTGAAATCAAAGGTTAGGATACATTTTCATTTTCACGAGTGAATTTTATAGGACTTGAAAATACTATAATTGTTCTTATATGTAGACTTTTACAATATTCATGACGTAAATAACACAAAGTTCATTTTTTATATTTAAAGTAAATGTAGCCAGGGATGTACCTCAGTTAGCATAACTGCCTGCCTAGCAAATGCACGGGCCTGAGTCTGATTCCTGGTATTAAAAAAAAAAAAAAAAACTAAATGTGCAGAAAAATCCAGAATGGCTTCGTTTTCCACATTTTTAAATTTCTGTTCATCTAACATGTTCCTAGGAAATGTTACATATCTGTATATGGCACATAGAGAAAAAAATTCCTACAACAATTGGGTGTGTAAATTCTTTTATTAATCACTATATTTTACCACCTAACAAACTATATTCTTTCTTAAAAATTAAGAGCCATGAGGGGATTTAGTTCAGTGGCATAAGCGCCTGCCTTGTAAGCAGGCAGTCCTCAGTTCGATCCCTGGTACCAATAAAAAGGAAAAAGACAAAAAAAAAAAAAAAAAAAATTAAGAGCCATGAAGTTTACAATAGATTTTTTGTGTGATACTGGGGATTGAACACAGGGCCCTCGCACTGAGCTGCCTGCCCAGCCGCTCACCCCCACTCCAACATCCCCTTACCCCCACAATTTTGAGGCAAAGTCTTGCCAAATCTCAACTGGCTCCAACTTGGAATCTTCCTGCCTCGGCGTCCTGGAGTGCTGGGATTATAGGCGTGCACCCCCACATCAAGCTGCATTTTGGGGTCATTTTCAAAGTGAAGCATGTTGGAGAAACTTTTCTGTTTAATGCGGCTGACCGTCCTAACGCGACCTGTGCATTACCCATTCCCGCCGTAGTGGAGGAGGACGTGGGCACCTTCTCAATACCCGTGCGGAGGCTGCGTGGGACGCACGGCCGCGTGACAGCCGAGTTCGTCGCTCAGAGCCCCGCCTTGACCCCGGGAGGCGTGGACTTCACCCTGCACGGCGCCTCGGTCACCTTCCAGCACGGACAGAACCTGAGCTTCATCCACGTCTCGGTCACCGCCGGCGGGGAGAGGTGGGCACGGTGGGCGGACGGACGTGCGTCGTGGACGGGCTCGGAGGGGCGCGAGGCCCACGTGATAGCGCCTGCGTCCGGCACCAGCCCGGGTCTGCGCAGGCCCGCGTGGGCGGGGACTGACCACGCCCCTCCCCCCTCCTGCTCCCCCTCACAGCGAGCCCCCTGCGGAGCCCCTCCAGATCCTCCTCACCGCGGCCACGGGCGGCGCGCTCCTCGGGCGCCACCTAGTGAGCAGGGTCACCGTCGCCGCCCGGAGCCGCCCTCCCTCGGGCCTGGTGAGGTTCCTCAACGACAGCGCGATTTCCCTTCCCAACCCGGATTCCCCCGAGCCGGTGGCCTTGGTGCTCGAGCGGACTGGAGGATTCCTGGGAGAGATCCAGGTGGGGTTGCTTTCCTGTGACTTGGATAGTGGATTTCGGCAGCCCGCGGCGTGATGCCGGAGCCGCCTGTGCCCCAGATACCCTTAGCTAGCCAGCCGTTCTCCCTAAGTGGTGTCTGCGTGTTATCTTGGCAGTGCAGAGTAATGTGCGTGCCTGGTGAAGTGCGCGGGCGCGCAGCTGCCCCTGAAGGGCCTCTTGGGAGCAAGTGAAAAATGAAGTAAATGGTTTTTGTCATCAAGCAGGGATTGACGGTGTAATTTCTAGGGCACTGGCCCTGTTCTAGGGAGTGAGGACCTACCAGAATCTGTATGTCATCTCCGTGCTCAGACTGGCTTTATTATTATGATTATTATTATTTAATTTTATTTTTGATACAGGGTCTTGCTATGTAGTTCAGGGTGGCCTTGAACTCAGTGTGTAGTCCAGGCTGGCCTCAAATCCACAGCGATCCTCAGCCTCAGTCTCCCTAGTGCTGGGAATACAGGACTGGTCGTTGTAATAAACATTGTCAAACAGTAAACTAATGAGGAAACTGTCTGACAGTAATAAAGACCTGTTCATAAAATTGGGAGCCCGGATCACGAGTCTCCTCCTTTTCTTTTTCTTTTCTTTTTTTCCTCCGGTGGTTCTGGGGCTGGAAGCCAGGTGCGCCACAAGCACCCTGTCATTTAATCCTAGCCTCACACACCACTTTTTGGGGTGGTGAGGCTCATAGGCAAGCTGAGAGCAGGGCAGGCCTTGGGAGGAGCAAGGGGCGCCCATTGGGAGAGGACTCTGGGGTGAACTCACAGGTTGAGGGACAGCAGCAGGACCGATCCATCCGATCTGATCCGATCCAATCGGAGGGCCCGTGGGTGTTGCATCACCTGGAGTGGCCGAAGCAGGCCCAGGGTTACTGTCAACATGGACAGGCTGCCGGGGGAGGTGTTCGCTGCGTGCAAAACAGCTAGCTCAAACCGGGGGCAGATTCACTGGCTGCACGTGGAGGCTGAGCACAGGAGGCTGAGTTCTCGGTGCAGCAGCTGAACGCTGCCAGTGTGTTTTCTGAGTTTCAGAATCTTTGCCACGCCAACCCAACCCCGGCTGCATGTACTGCTCCAGGACCCAGCGGGCCAGGGACTTGTCAATGTGAAAATCTATTCCTTAGAACCATGTAGGAAGATTTTTCTTTGTTTTGAAGTAATGATTTCCATCTATTTGGAAAAGGGTGCATGCTTGGCTGAATGTACACAGTTTATCTTATGGCAGGCATTTTAATTGGCTATTGAGCTATATGCCCGGTCTGAGAAAAATATTTTTGTTAACGTGTGGTGATTATAAATTAGTATTTTTAATGTAGTGTTAGTTTAACCCATGAAAACTGATACCCTATGGGTACATAATTTATATTTGCAGATATGATTTTTTTCTAACAAAAACAAGTTAGTGTTACAAGGATTCGCTGCACATTCCTAGGGTAGTTTCTTCCACATGCACCTTTTTTCTAATCTATGTCTACTGCAATAATCCATTCCTCACTACTGAGCACCCGTATTGAGATGAAACTGAAAACCCCCGACAGGTGGACTGGGTCATCGTGGGCCCCAACTCCGAGGAAGCCTTGCCAGCCCAGAACCCGGACTTTGCGGAGCCTGTGGGCGGCTCCTTCTCCTTTGCTGACGGAGAGGGAGGCAGGAGGACCATCCTTCTGACCATCTACCCGCATGAGGACACGGAAGTGGAAGAGACATTCGAGGTTAAACTGCAGCTTGTGAGAGGAGAAGCCAGATTAGACTCCAGAGCTAGAGCGGTTACATTAACAGTAAGTTTGACTTGATTTTTCCTACAACACTTTGGGTGAATTACATTTGTGAGAAAATGCTTTATTCCATTATTTGAAACTCTGCATGCTTATGTTGAATTAAAATTATAAAATTACATAAAATCATCGGAATTCCCATGGGTTCAAACCTTCAGATTTTTTATGTTAGTTCATTACATTGCCTCATTATTGGTAATGTGTTTTTAAAAGTTTTAATACATTGACAAATATTTATCTTACAGTTGTTGAGAAAATTTGGTTTTTGGGGAATATTTGACATTTTAAGGATGAGGTATCTATTACGACACCTTAAATATTAGCTAGCCTTGTTATTGAAGCATATGAAAATTACTGCCTAGGTATAGTTACAGTTTGTTTGAATAATAAGTGGTGCTTATTTGTTTAGCTCCTCGGCGCGGTGTCGAAGCAGAGCCTGAATTCCATGTCTGTGATACGAATCACCCAATCTATGTGGGCGGAAAGTGCTGGAGATGAAGGTTGCTGGAAGCAACCTAAGAGCACCATCACCAGTTTGTTTTTTAAGTTTGAAACATAGACTTGTTTGGGTGTGTATCAGTGAGAGACTATCAGAGAAGGGGAAACAATAGGATGCACACACACACACTGATGCACCGACACATGTGTGTAGATACCTGTGCTGTGGTTGTGGCCCTAAGCCACCCTTTAAAGGCTGGGATTGCTAGACTGCAAACTCAGAGACAGTCCCTGCCTGAGTCTTGAGGCAGAATCCCTTTTGCAGGAAAGCTCAGTTTGCTCCTAAATCCCTCAGTTGGCCGAGGAGACCCATCTGTATTCCTAGAGAAAATCTCCTTTATTTAGAAACAGCTGATGGTAAATGTTCCTCATAGCTGCATCACTTCACAGCGGTGTCTGGACCAGGGCTTGACTAAACAAGCATTGTCTCCTCGCCTATTTGATGCAAAAATGGAACCATCACAGGACGTGTTTGCCTCTGTCTACTTTATGCCACAGCTAGTTAGCTATGAATTACTGGCTAGAGATAGAGAATATAAGTGATAAAGCAAAATTCAAGCAGCAAAGTACCATCTTTTTTGGGTTCTACAAATTGTGGTTTTCTGAATAGTTATTCCCATTGTTTTGGAGAATAAGATCTTCTAGACAACAGGATGGTAAAAAGCACTTAAAAATCAAGGAGCTAAGGAGATGGTATTCAGGGGTCACTTCCACAGCTTCTCTGTAGATTAGTATGTGAACGCTGTGATGGTTCTATGTAGCATTGCTCTGTTCTCTGTTCATTTCTTTAGATACAGAAGTTTGGTGATCCAAACGGTGTTGTGTCTTTGATCTCCGAGTCCACATCTGGGAAGACCTATTCAGAACCACTGGCTGGGGAAGGGCCTCTGGTCATAACTTTCTTTGTCAAAAGAGTCAAGGGCACTTTTGGAGAAATTACGGTATTATTTTTCTTTTTTCTGAGCACTAGTTTTTCTAACCAGTGTGATTGGGAGAGGAAAACTGCGTGTCACAACTTTATTTACTTACTTTCAGCATATGTTGTTGATGGAGCACTGAGGTTTTGGTAAATTCCTGTGAGCACTCAGCAGTTTATATATCTATGTTTGGTGCCCATTACCTCCTCTTTGTCTTCTCCTCTTCTGGTCCCCTGCCCCATCTCTAAAAGTGTGCCTCCTAGTTTCCTGTCATCTTCTCTGTAATGAACTAATTAGTGAATTAATTCAGTTTCTTACATGAAAGAAAACATATATTTCAGTCAACAAGGTGGTCTCTGGTTCCATTCATTTTCCTGAACTTGGCATGATTCTGTTTTTTGCAGTCGAATGATACATATGTAACTGTACATTACATATACTTTTTAATGAAAGGCTTTGGTGCACTAAGGTCACTTGAGTTTTCAGAGAAACCTAGATGCTTTTTGTAAAGACCTTTGCTCTCCACTCTTCATGGAACCCTAGTTAACCATATCGATAACTTAAATTTGGTAACGGTTATTTGAAAAGGCCGTCCTTATGCTGAGTTATGAAGTGATTTTATTGTCTGCTATAACATGAAACCCTTGTGATTTGAGTCTCTCAATGATTTTTTTTAATTGTTCATTCTTCATGGCTTTATTTCCCAGCAGAATTTTTCCTTTTAGGAACTGTTTTTAAGGGGTTGCATTTATGTGACTCTTGATATAGATGGGGAATGTTTATATGGATGGGGGAGTTCTCATGGTATTTGGTTAACAGACCAAGCCCATCTGTTCTGTAGAAACACATATTTGGTGAAACTCCTTTAGGTACTTGTTTTAGAGATTAACAGGTGGTTCTTCCATTGAAGCTGTATTGCTTGGAGGCCAACAATACTTGGAGAATAACGACTAATTCTTGATATTTAATAGACACTCCTCCTTAGGAGAGCAGTTCTGATGTCACTTGCCAAATTATCTGCTTACTTTTTAGCTGATAATATTGGTTATGGTCCACCAATGGGTGTGTTTTTGGACCTGGTGTCTTAAAATTAACCTGCTTGTATTTATCTCTTTAAATCATGTTACTGTTTTGGAATCAGATGAAATAATGAGCTTCTATAATCCTTTTGGGTACGTGGCGCTGAGGACTGAACCCAGGACCCCACATGCGCTGGGCAGGTGCTGTCCCAGGAAGCCACATCTCCACCGGGATGCTGCAGTCTTATCCTGAGCATTGCATACAGCACCCTGAATGGGTTACTAACTTAGTCTTCAAGGGCTTGGCTTTGAGTTTAATGATGAAGAATTAAAAACTCAGCACATTAGAGTAAAATATTTCAAGGTCTGTGTTCAGTGTGCCAAGTTGTGTCATTCTGCGGGATTTTCTTCCTTTGTAGGTTTACTGGGAATTGAGCAGTGAGTTCGATATCACTGGAGACTTCCTTTCCACAAATGGAGTCTTCACTATCGCCAATGGTGAGACCAGTGCCAGTTTTGATGTCCACCTGCTGCCTGACGACACACCCGAGCTGGAGGAAGCATACATGGTCCGGCTGGTTTCCGTGGAAGGAGGGGCAGAGCTGGATCTGGACAGCAGTGTGGCGTGGTTCTCGGTGTCTGCCAACGATGACCCTCATGGGGTATTTGCCCTCTATTCAGAGCGCCAGTCGATACTTATCGGGCAGAACCTCACACGATCCATCCAAATTAATATAACCCGGCTTGCAGGAACTTTTGGCAATGTGGCTGTTAAATTGCAAATATTGTCCAAGCATGAAGAACAGCCAGTGGCTGCTGAAAATGCAGAGCGGCAGCTGGTGTTCGAAGACGGTGCATGGCATAAAGTGGACACAGTGCCGATTGCAAGTCAGGTATGTGGGGTTACTGCAGGGTCCCAATCGCGTGGGCGGAACTCCTTCAGGGGAGCCTTTGCTTATCTTGTGATCAGTTCTTAGTCTGACTCAGGTATTTCAGTGAAACCTTAGGAGAGAAATAGCAGGCGTGGGATAGCACAGCTGCAGTTCTCAAGCCAGTCCGTGTAGTCCTAAGTGGATGATAGCACAGGTGTGTCCAGATTCCAGCAGGAACTTACTTAGTGTTACGAAGGGTTCATTGCCAGAGAGGACAGTCCCTGGGGTGAGAGGCCACACACACACACACACACACACACACACATACACAGGACAGTCCCTGGGGTGAGAGGCTACATAGAGACTCTCTTTGTCTCTCTCTGTCTCTCTCTCTCTCTCTCTCTTTCTTTCTCTTTCTTTGACGGCGGCTTTTCGCCTTGGTTGTTTGGATCCAGGAGGCCAGCTGCGGTTAATCAAGAGTGGTGAGAGTTTGTGGGTTCCCACGGGCCCACTGGATACACCAGCAGCCTTCCCTAGTTGGAACTCATAGCTGGATTGGAGGCTCCCTCTGAGTTCCCTAAGGGTGGTAGCTTTCACACACTCTGTACGATGGGAGAGAGGTTACTATATCACCCACAGTGGGTGCTTTATGGCATTGGGATGGATCCTCTCCTGGTTATGAAGGTGTCCCGGAAAGAGGCCAAATGGAATCACCTTGAGGAACATCTGCAGGGTTCTTGGGGATGGCAGAAGAATCAGGAAGTCCTGGGGAGAGTGGGAAGTCTCTGCTGCAGTGGTGAAGGTGGCAGTTTTGAGAACCCCAGGTCAGCTCCGTGGCAGTGCTCCCTAGGTGGGGTGAGGCAGTCAGTGGTGTCCACCATCGAGGAGCTGAGCAGAGGCAAGATTTAATCATTCTGCCTCCAAGAGTCTTCCCCTACCCCAGTCCTGGAAGTGCCAGAGATTCGTGGAAAGGGCTAAGTGGAATGAAAAGTCACAGTGTGACCTGTTTCCCACATGCGATCCTGAACCGTGGGTCAGGCAGGCACTGGCAGACAGGGCTGCTGTGACACAGGGTGAGGGTGAAGCTTTGATGCATGCAGGGCTTCGCCTCGCATTCCTGGGAATGACGGAAGCTTTGGAATCGGCCCACACTGCCGAAAGGCAGTGCAAAGAAGCCCCGGAAAACACTACCAGGAGAACCATAAAGGAGTTTCTTGGTGTTTTACACAAGCTTAAATATAAACTTACGATCAGCAGAAAACAAGCTGCTGTTCAGCATGAGCGACCGTCCTGTTCGCTGATTCTGACTGCGCAGGCTTTTCACCTTTGGGGCATCTAGGTCTTTCCTTGTGTTGGTGTTTAGTAAGAGGGGCTTCCTTGTAAGATGCAGGTTTCATTGTGAGTCCCATATTCCTGAAATTCTCTGCAAAACTGGCTCGAGGTCATGACCCTGATGTAACCCTGCCCTATATCTAACCATCATCAAGATTGGAATAAAGCACACACAACTGGAAAAGGAAAAGCATCGAATTAACCAGAGCATCACTGTATTGTTACATTTCCAAATCAGAAGAATCAAAATACACACACACACACACACACACACACACACACCTTGTGTTTAAATTATATAAACTAAAATATTTTCCCAAGCACTCACAGGTTGTAATCTCCTAGTGAACACAAGCAGATTGCTTAACTTTTCAAAGAGCAGATCTGTATCATTTTATACATGTTTCATTTACCAATAAAGCTTCCTACAGGGAAGATTGTATTTCACCAAGTGATATACATTATGCAAAATTACTCTCAGCCTGTCTGTAGGAAAATCTAAATATGTAATACATGTTACATGCCTGGCCCTCAGTTCATCTCAGTCCTAGAACATTTTGAAAAATAGTAGTCCTTTCATTTCACTTGGAAAGCTTAATAGGATAGCTCATAAAGATACTTAAGTGTTCCTAATGCTGTATTTAGATTATGTATGAATTGCTGAACTTTAAAGTCATTTTAGTTGTTTTTATGATTTCTGGCTTCAGTAGACAGTAACCGAAGTTGATGGGCTTATGCATGTATCAGAGTTTGCTCTTTCGCTTATTATGATGTCTGTCCTTCACCTGCTTCAGATCGCAGGGCTCCTGCCCTGTCACATTTCAGGATGTGCTGTATGAGACTGTGTGTAAATTACTAGGTGTGCTAAGTGTGATTTTCAAGATAACTGCTTGGGGCAAGGTGCGATGTGCTTGTAAACTGAGGACAGGAGTTTCTCTCTCTCTCTTTTTTTTTTTTTTTTTTTTTTGCCCCGGGGATTGAACTCATGACGTTGCACTTGCCAGGCAGGTGCTTATGCCACTGAGCTAAATCCTCAGCCTTTCTCAAAGGTCCCCTGCTCCACGCCCCCGGGTAAAAGTTAATATGGGGAGAAGTCAGCCACAGAGGTTACTGAAGGTTACACTGTCCCTAAGCACCTGTGCTGTGGCTTCTCACCTCCAAGTGGGTCTCTGTGCAGAGAGAAGTTCTGTTGGGCTCTGAGCTAAAAGGCCCCCTGTTGTGGGTTCCATACTAGAACCTTTGAGTGCACACGGTCACCACACCTGCTCACACCTGGAGTCCTGGAGAATCGATGGACTCTGCAGGGACACGTCCAGGTTTAAAGAGCTGTGGGTTAGAATGCAGAAGGGCTTCCACGTTTTGGTGGGGTCATTACTCAGCACTGGCTCCGTCCATCGCTGGAAGCTCTGAAGATACTAACAGGAGACCTAGCTCCTGTTGTGTGTGCTTTCTGCTAGTGCAGGAGAAGGGCCACAAGCAACCTATTTATAATAAAGTACATGGGTAAGCAAGGGCGGGAGGCTGCACAGGCTGTTGTGTGACAAAGGAGTCCTTCTGTGTACCCTAGTGTCTGCACGAATGATGGGAAGTACGTCGAATGGTGTGGGCCAGGCAGTCCTGGGTCAAGGGAACACGGGCTGCAGGAGAACAGGACCAGCCAGTTCCATGCAAACCTGTGTAACTGTACGCTCCTTTTGTGGTTAAATCAGCTTGTCCTTGAGTCTGCTGTGGCTCTCAGTCAGCTTTAATGTTGAGTTCCTGCACCCAGTGCGGGGATGGGCGGTGACCCAGGTGGGCCCACGGGCAGGGAGCTTTGTGGGTGGGAAGGCGTAGGTGACCAGTGCTGAAAGACAAGACCGGACCTTTGCTCTTTAAAGTAAAACCTCACTATCTGGGAAGCCAGCAACCTGCTCCCTGACAGCAGGAGGGGTGGCCTGCACACCATGGAAGTCATGCAGCCATGATGTTTATCTTTAGTGCTTGGACACAAACTCGTGTTCCGTGAGTGTCATTGTGAATGAATGAAGCATCACAGGACTTGGAGTCGTATAGTGTATGTTTTCTACATTAGAGCAGACGCTGTGTGTTTAAGTTTGTTATACTCAAATGAGTAGACTGAGGGCTGGGGACCCGCTTGCCTAGGGTGCATAGCTGAGGCCCTAGGTTTGGTCTCCAGCATCACCATACAAAGAGGGAAGAGGAAGAGGAGAAGAGGAAATAGCTTCAGAGAAATAGTTGCAGTCAACCAAGGTGTAGAAGTTTTAAGACTTTTCCCTGCAATGGGATAATCTGGGTGCTAGCTATTACCAAGAACAGCATTTCTATGGGAAAATTTGTTGGATTTTAAAAAAAAAAAACTTTAGTATAACACCAATCTGGAAGTTCAAAATTTTCCCTAGTCTGCTTCATTTGAAACTTTGGAGTAGTGGAAATTTAAGAGGTGGTGTTGGTATTTTTTTTTTTTTTTTTGTACTGGGGATCGAACTCATGACCTCGCACTTACCAGGTAAACACTTGAGCCACTGAGCTAAATCCCCAGCCCCAATATTTATTTAGATATCTGAAATACCCATGGGACCAAGACTCCTAAGTCATTTTCCATTGTCATGAGAGCTGTTGTCACTTAATGACGAGGACCTTGGGCTTTGCTGGCATTTAGGAGCTGACACTTCAGTGTGCACTCTCTGCCTCTGGCCCCTGACAGGGCTCTCGTGTGGATACCACCCAGTTCCTGTCGTCCTTGGGTCTGCTGAAGCATGTGTGCAAAATTTGCAGGGTTTGTTTCCATACCCTGCCCCAAGTGCTGCCCACCCCAGACTCTCATTTCCAGTGTCTTGCTTTAAGACAGAGGGGGTCCTCCAGATGAAACTACTCCCAAGGAGCAGAACTGACCTGCAGTGTACTAACAACTGGGGACAGATGTCACTATCTCAGCCTGATGATTTCTTACTCCAAAAAAAAAAAAAAAAAGAAAAAAAGGCAAAAAACCCTCTGGCTTTTGTTTATAGGTCTTTCTGTCCCTGGGCTCCAATTTCACTGTGCAGCTGGTGTCTGTGACACTTGTTAGTGGACAGTTCAACAGCAGGCCAAGGATTCTGCAGGAAGCCAAGTCGGCCGTCCTTCCTGTCCCTGAGATTGCTGCCAATTCTCAGGTAATGGACCCTGGGTGTGGTGCTCCCCATGCACCACTAGAGGGCAGCTTTCTCAGGAAGGAGCAGTGCTTAGAGGATTTCTGAAGATAACTGTTTCCTTAAAATGACCGAGTCTTAGAATATCAAAGTAGACAGAGTAGATGCGTGATACAAAAAATACGTTTTTCTTTTTAGAGTTATAGAGAGCTTTTTTTCCTTGTAGAATTTGAGCAGTTGATACAGAAAATTTTAAATTGTCATAGAAAATTAAACCTTCCAGGTTTTCTTTTGATACCAGATATTTAATATTGAGGCATTTATGCTCCGTAATTAAAATCAGAATAAAATCCTATGGAGCATCCTGGGCTTTCTCACTTACTGACAGTGTGCATGCTGGTCTTTAACTCTCGGGCTCTTGGTTACTGTGGCCAGTCTCCTGGCTTAGTCAAATGCCTGTGGCCACTCTGTGATGTGGGTGTATGTGAGTATCCAAGTCCCCTGAGCTCACTGCATGAAAGATTCACAGTCCCCTCATAAATTCATAGGAGGACAGAAAGCAACCTGAGGGCTGTTTCTGTTCAGATACAGAGACAGGCTGTGGACTGTGGTTATGGCAGTATGTGTATATTTTTGTAGCCATTACAAAAAATAACTCCATCCTGTTCCTTCTGAGGGGAGCTCAAGTGGCTGGGACAGGCCTGGCCTAAGACCCCTGGGCGACTGAGTGGGAGTACAGGCAGAGGTGGCTGTGGCTATTTGAGGATGCCCTACAGCTACTCCCTGAGCGTCTTCCCCACATGTAGAACAGCTGAGCAGAGCAGGCTTCTACATACAGCGCTAACATGTGTGACGAGTGTGGCCTTACCCATGGCTTTGGGCAGTTGCTAGCAGCAGCTGCGCCAGGGTGGAGACTCCAGTGTCAATTAAAGTTAAATTGTCATTGTTTTCCCCTCTGTGGCTCCCTGCTTATGTGAGAAAGAGTCTTAGGAGATAAGTGTTGATCAACTGCTGCCCCAAATGTATAACTGTTCAGGCCAAAAGAGGTAAATAGCTGTCCAAGCAAGTTCCACTATGAAGCCAGGATTGTGGTTTTATTTAACCCAATGACTAGAACTTACTTTACCTATAAACCATACATCCCTTCAAGATGGCCTTTAAAACAAGATCGCATTAGGTGTTGATGAAATACACATATTCTTAAAGTTTTTTTAAGCTCTTGATCCTCACACGCACACAAAAACTATCAAATTGAATCAAAGGGCTGAAAAATCTTAATAGAGGGTCTGGTTCTTGGTGCTTGTTTATAAATGAAGGAAAATGTTACCATATCTTAGAAACAAGCTAAATTTCAGTTCTGGAAAAATCAAGTTCTTAGAAAGACCTATGAACAATTTATATTAAAATGCAATTTTAAACCTTTTGCTTTCATTTGACTGTGACTGCATTTTCTTTTTTTGGATATTGTTCATTCAAAGAATTATTTTAATAAAGATAGAATAATCTATAGTGTGTAATCAGAATTATAAAATTGAGTAACTTTCCAAGTAGGAGATGTCATTTCTCTTTAATTGAAAGATCAGTTAAGAGTATATCATATAATCAAGGGAAAGTTGACATTAACCTACTTTTCAGAAACCAGGCAACATTAGAGAGGAGTAAAAATCCTCTAAGCATGTATTTTCTCAGGTTGGATTTGAATCCACGGCTGTCCGGCTCACGGACATCACTGGTGGCACGAGCCAGGTGACCATCTCCAGGAGCGGCACGTATGGTGCACTTGCGGTGACCTGGACCACTGGCTACGGTCCTGGGTGGGAAATCCCTGAGTCTGTGGTCATTGGCAACATGACCCCTGTGCTGGGTGAGTAGGGACTTCCTGAGCTGGCCTGCGGACATAGGGTGCCGCCATCTTGGTCTCCCTTCCCACATCACGATCTTGGTCTCTTTCCTGTGCCACCATCTTGGTCTTCCTTCCTGTGCTGCTGTCTTGGTCTTGCTCTGTCTTAGTTACTTTTACTTTTCTCTCACTGCTGGGATAAAATACCTGACACCCAAAATGAAGAAAGGCAAGGTTTATTTATCTTACAGTTTTTGGAGGTTTCAATTCATAATCAGTTGGTTCCAAGGCAGCGGGGCATGGCAGTGGGGCAACATATCAAGGTGTCAGACAGCAAAAAGGGCAGAAACATGCCTCTTTTCCTCCCTTAGGATGTTCACAATCCCTCCACTCTTCAGGGCCCCTTACAAAATCTCCTTGCCTCTTATTTGCACAGGATGAGGATATTTACAAAGTAAGAACCCTGGCTCCCTGCTGAGAGTATGAATTAAACTTCTAAATTTCTCAAGTTGACACAATGTATCAACCATAACCCCCTCCCTCTGGACACTGACCTGCTGATTTCCAATATGGCGCCTCCATGTGGAAGTGATCAGGGCCATGTGCTGCTTGACAAAGAGGGACAGGAGGCTTTCTTGCAGGCAAACACCCTCCCCACCCCCATTTTTACTTCAAATAAGTGATCTCTAAGCACTTGGTCAGTACCTAAGGAGCTTGTTAAAAAGCAGTTCTAAAAACCTGGGTTGGCCAATGTAATAGTAAAAAAGCCCTAGCTGAGGCCATTTCCCCGTCCAGCTGACTTCTTCTGGCAGCAGGGTACCTGTTTCTTCATGTGTTTTATTTGTCAGTGACACCACGAGTCTCCTGGGAGCTGGGGAGATGCCGAGATTTCTGGCTTGACCTCCCTGTATCATCCGAACTCGCAGCTCATCCCAGGGTGGCGGCTGTCGAGGACTCTTAGTGGCTAAGAGCCCCGTGCCCCTGGCCTTCACTTAGAGGGCACCTGTCCCAGCAGTCAGAAATCCTGTGAATACTTGGGGCTGGGAGCCCCTGGAAGTAATCTTTGGCCAAATGCTCTAAATTGAAGATGTCTTGTCATTTTTCTTACCTGTTTTCTGGCCCGTTTTTCTGCTGCAACACCTACTTGTCACACCCTGCCTTTTCTGTTGCTCTGGGTGAGTATGCTGCCTTGTATAACTTAGAGCTTCCAAAAAGCTCTCTTTGTGTTGGTAACCACTCCCGCTTTGTGTGTAGAAACATTGTCCTCTGTGTGTGTACAAGTGATACTGTGCTTACACATGAAATCAGTCTAGAGATGTTTAATGAATTTAAATAATTTGATTAACCTAAAATAGCAAGGGTTCTCAAACAGTAGATCTCTATCTCCACATAGGTTTGATTAGCTTTTAAGATTTTGAATAGATTTTAAACACAACAGGAAACATAAGAAATGCTGTAATCTCACGGACTAGATTTAATGGTCATGTTTGGTGATAACCAGTTACCTTCCACTGTGATTTGTGCCCTTTTTCCTGAAGTTAGCAAAAGTAAAATACATGGGTCCTGGTATTCCACACCAAACCACTTCAGTGCCTCTAGGGATACATCAGAAGCAGAGTTCAACCGAAGTCTCACGGCAGAAACAAACCCAGCAGGCCTGAATTGTTCTCTTACTACTGGATTTGGTAGCTGAGCCTGGAAAGGAATAGAAATGAGTGGGAAGAGTAGACAGGGAATAAGAGTAAGGCTTATGTGGGCTCGGGGATTTCTGGAGATGTTTTCTCTAATTTGTTGGGTGTGATCAAATTGTGAAGAAGCAAATTATCAAGACTCAGAGTCAGCTTTGTACTGAAGAACCAAGAGCTGACCTCCTCCTTTCTTCTCATGTTCCTCCCAGGGAGCCTGGCTTTTGCCCACGGTGAAGGGAGGAAGCAGGTGGTGCTGTGCGTGGTGCCCAGGCCGGGCCGGACCGAGGCCTTCGTCCTCCACCTGGCAGGGGTGCGGAGCAGCGCTGCGGGCGGTGCTCGGCTGCGGTAAGGCTGGGCTGGGTGCAGAGCTCCATGACTGCGTGCGGGGAGGCAGGCTGATTCCCTCTGCTGGCCCTGTGCAGAGCTCAGTGTGACCCCTGGGGTCACACGGTCCCACATGCACCTGCTGGTGAACCTACCTGTTCTGCAAAGAAGCTGAGCACACTTAATTCCCCTGAGCAGTGAGGAGTAAGACTAGTACATCACCAGCTTGTTTAAACTGGTGACTCTTTTGAATTTAATTTAGTTTAATTTAATTTAATTTTTGCTATTTATCCGTGAGAACCCAGCCTACTTGCAGGTCAGAGTGTCCCACCCAGAAGCTGTTGGTTTTCTTCCTACCTGAGATGAGCTTCACCTGAGCAGCAGAGAACAGACTGAGCCACATGGAAGGTTCAGCACTGTGTGTGCCTCTTGTCATGTGACCTTGGCAAAGTTCCTTGGTCTTCATTTTACTTATTTTTAAAAATGGGAAAATATGAGGGCAAAGCTACTGTGTTCAAGTACCTCTGTGTGCATATTTATGAGTGCAGGTTGTCCCCTGGTGGAATCAAACGTGGCTTTAGATGAGATGTTATGGGCTGGGGATTTAGCTCAGTGGCACAGAAGCCTGCCTGGCAAGTGTGAGGTCATGAGCTCAAGCCCTGGTACAAAAATAGGGGGGGGGGCGTGGATCAGTTCACTGGATTAGACATCATATATGTGCCATTTAAAAAAGAATTATCCAGATACCATATTCAAGGCCAAAACTTGAAATACCACTGATGACATTTTATAATGCTTATTGCAAAGAGGGCATTGTTTGAAGCTGTTTACGTATACTCACACAGACCCATACACACCCATACACTTCCCAACCGCAACTGTCTGAGGTAGATATTTACACACCCCCTTGCTTGCTGAGGAGGTGGTTTCTAGATCATGCAGTGGACCTCAAGTCACATATCTAAGTGTCAGGGCCCTAACTGGAAACCTGACTGCTTGGCCACTGTCTGAGCATTGAACCATCGCTTGCATGCCGAGGGACAGCCACTTGACAATAGTGATGGGACCTGCCATGTCCTCCTGCATTTGTACACGCCTTCTTTACGTATTAAAAAATAACTATTAACAAAGTCTCTGTGGTCAGAATTAGGCCCATGGGCCAACACCTGCAACTTCTGATGGCATTACTGATTCACAAGAAGAATCCGTAGGATCTATTGCTTCTTCTGGTTTATTCCTGAAGCTTCATGCCCCCATGTAACTTTGTGAGCACACGGCTCATTACTGACACTGGAAGAAGCAAAAGCTTTGCCCCTGGCACCAGTGGATATTTCTAGGTGTCGGATAAGAAAGCTGGAAGCACCTTCCTGCAGGAATCACTGACAGCCTGACATTCCCGATCCCTCAGCAGCTCCTAGGTCATAGGGGGAGAAGGGGGACCTCAGCCCTCCACTCAGCTGTCGTCACTGCAGCTTCTGCTCAGATTTTCCTTCCATCTTATCAATAAGTAGTTTGATGGAGTCTCAAGGGTTACATCCTGTCTAAGGAGCTTCCTTATGATCAACATCTTTTTTTCTTTATAATCAGTTCTCGTGGTTGAATGTTTTTCAGGTCAGGTTTCACCACTGCTGAGATCGAACCGACGGGCATCTTCCAGTTCTCCCCTAGTTCCAGAGCCATCAGGGTTTCAGAGGCCGCACAGCTGGTCCAGTTACAAGTGCAGAGGCTGTATGGGTTCCAGGGGGACCTCATCACCATCTCCTACCAGACAGCCACCGGCAGTGCAAAGCCTGGGGAAGACTTTGAGCTGATTCAGAGCGGGGAAATGTTTTTTTACAAGTTCCAAACAGAGACTGATTTTGAGATAACCATTATTAATGATCAGGTTCCTGAGACAGAAGAAACTTTTTATATTAATCTCACTTCCATTGCAACCAGAGGACTGGAAAAGCAGGATGCCAATTGGAGACCTCGCCTGAACCTAGATTTTAGTGTTGCAGTGGTCACAATATTGGATGATGACCACCCAGCAAGCACGTATGCTTCTGTCCCCACGACAGATGTGGCTGTGGCAGTGAACACCACGCTTATTCCCATAAACACCGACGCCACCACACATCCCGACACAGGCAGGACAGCTGCCACTCCACAGGCAACTGAGATGGTCGTCATTGTTACCGAGGCAACTGGTACGTCTGCCACCCCTGGGAAACCTGTCACCCTCTATGGGACATCCACCCTGCTGGACAAGCCTGACACAGCCAACGGGTCCATCCATGGGACCTTTAGTCTTGGGCCCGCCATCGTGTATGTGGAAGAGGAGACGAGGAATGGCACATTCAGCACTGCAGAAATTCTCGTCCGAAGGACAGGTGGATTTGCCGGCAATGTCAGTGTCAAGGTTAGAACCTTTGGAGAAAGATCTGCACAGAAGGAGCCGAGTGCATTTCCCTTTCAGGATGCTCATGGGCTGCTGGCCAACCGGAGCTGGGCAGCAGAGGAGGAGGACTTTGAGGAGCAGGTGCTGACCCTGACATTTCTAGAAGGAGAAAGAGAGCAGAGAGTGGCGATTCCGATTGTGGACGATGAGGAGCCTGAGGAGCAGGAGTTCTTCTACGTGTTTCTCACAGATGCTCGAGGAGGAGCACAGATTATAAAGGGAAAGGACGAAGCCGGGTTCGCAGCCTTTGCCGTGGTTATCATTGAAGGTAGCTTTGAATGAGGGAGGCAAAATATGTACTTTCACAGTGCAGAATTCACAGTAAGGTCAAGCTGCCTTCAGCGTGAAGGGGTGAATTACTGAAGCCACTCATAGTCTCATTAAAACACTTTTTCCCCAAAGAATGGAAAACACAGCCGTTTCCAGGTGCCAGGCTACAATTTCATGTCCACTAGATCAGAACCAGTTATGCAATCTCTAAATCTGTATTTTTCACAAAACAGGAAAGCTGTTTAAATCCATGTTTTCCACTAGAAAGTACTTAAACACTGAAACATGGTCACCTATTCTACTTTAAAAATCTCATGCTAAATTTTTCAGTTTCAATAATCCTTCCTGAGTCAAAGATCCCACTGAGAAATATTTTATATTTGTGAAGTTGTTGAAAACTGGTATTTATTTATTTTTGATCTACTTTTCACCCAGTGTGGAGACAGCCATTGCACTATTAGATATTAATAGCTTCAATTTTAATTATTTTCAATAGGTTTGTATGTATTCTGTGCAATCTTTTAGAGATTATTTTCTATCTACCTCTGAACTCATACTATATTTCTTGCAGTGTAATAGATCACTTTGTCAAATGTGTTACATTAATTAGGGTAGTGACAAGGCCATTTCATGATTTTTAAAATCCTTCATCATAAATTGACAATTTGTGTGTACTTATGAGATACAGAATAATGTTATAGTTTGTAAATATGATCTGAGATGTTCACTCTAGCTGGTTAATATATTCTCCATCTCAAACTCTTAATGCTGTTTCATGGTGAGAACATTTGAAACTTACCCTGGTCTCAGCAATCTGAAAATGCACAATACTTTGTAATTAACTACTCACCAGGCTGTGACATTGACCTCAAAACATACTTGTAGAATTTGATTCTTTCTAGATTTTATATTTTATCCATTTAGTTATACTTCTGTCATAATTTTATAATCATCCACTCTCTTTCATATCCAATATTTCCCATTCATGTTGCCTACAAATTTACACCAATGAGAATTAATATCATTTATTCCTATTCCTGCAATTTAGAGTGCTATAAATCTGAATTCAACTGTACAAGTTATTGATTTTGATTCATGTTGGCTTAATGTCATCTGCATATTATTAGTTTGGCAGTCTGCACCTCCTCCCTGTTCAGTCATGTAGATGACAGGCTCCTTACCGTGCCCTGCCGGGCATCACATGGACTGTCCCTGACGCCACCTGCAGGCCCTGGGATGATCTTACTAGAAATTTGACTCTCATTTAGCACTGTAGATGTGGCAAGGGAGGAATTCATGCCATTAGGCTGGGCCAGGTGCTATTGCTCTGGACAATCAAAAGAAAATTCGGCTTGTGAGAAGCACATAATCCACATGCAGAGAGCAAATCTCCACCCAGGATGACAAGGGAACGGTTGGTGCCAGGGTATTTGCCATCATAGTCTGGCACTAGGTAATGACAAGGACAGGCCCTCTGGCTTGGCCAAAATGCACATTGGCAGAGGCTTTAGGCAGAGGTGGCCCCTCAAGGACATATCCCTGACACAAGGCTCTGCGTTTGCTTACACTTCAGAACTGGCGAGCAGGCCGGGGGCTGCTGGGTGCTGGTTCTCCCTTACTGGGACCTTCTTGGCTTTCCTTAAATTAATTAAATCTCTACCTTCAGATATTCTCCCTCCTGGAAACCTCAGGCTTCTGGGCGATGGGCACCTGTGTTTTTAAAAAGCTATTTCCTTAGGATTTCACTTATAAGATTGTTTTGCAAACCCAAGCCACCGGGAGCTAGAACAGGGCTGGAGCTGCCTGTGGAAATGTCTGCAGGTTCTGGAAGCATGCAGGTGCTGGCCAGTCTCGCAGTGACTTTTCAGTGTGGTGGCGACCCCGGGCCTGTCGCAATCTAAACACTTTTCCTATGTGATGATTCCTGTAGCCACAGTGTTGCTCAGAGGAGTTTCTCACCCTAGAGGTGCTGGGGACTTTAATAGTTCTGCTTTGTTCTGGGGCAGAGAACTAATGTGCAACCTACATGGCCTTTTTGCTCAGTCCACTCACAGGAAAGGTAAATCAATTAAATCAAATTCACTTATTCATTAGATACTTCCCAAATGCTTACCATATGCCAGGTACTGTTCTTGGTGCCACCGACACAGCAGTCAGTAAAACAGCTGCTGAATGCTGGGACTCAGCTGGGGCGGGGTGGGTGTAGGGCAGGGCTGTCACCAGGTGAGCACAGGCCAGTTCGTGTGTGCTGTGTGGCACCACAAGCAGAGGACCGTGCATGTGTGCCAGGCAGGATTAGGTGTGATGCCTCCTTTCTCCCGGTCTGCTGCCTGCAGTGGTCTGCCTTGGTGTCACCTGCTTTAAATTTGTTCTGTGTAAAGCTGTTTATGGTTGTACTTCCCACCTGGTCCCTGGGAGTGTCTGGTTTAGTACTCTCTGGGATGGCAAGGTCGCAGGCCTTGCTGGGTCACAGCTGCTCACATGACAGCCTCCACTCTGCTTTTCAGGAAGCGACCTGCACAATGGCATCGTGGGGTTCAGTGAGCACTCCCAGGGTGAGATGGAGCTGGGGGCAGGATCTGAGGAGAGAAGACTGCGCCTGGTCGTCACAAGGCAGCCGAACAGGTGTGCACGCACGTGGAGTGTGTGTGCGTGCGTGTGTGTGCAGCGGGTACCCAGGCTCGCCCTGCAGTGTGGTATTCGGGTGTATGCAGCCGTGTGGCAGAGCAAGACACTGCTGGGAAGCAGGGTGGGAGCTGCTGTGCTGGGTCCCAGATGCTCTGATCCTTGGTCTGGGATTTAACACGTTGGCTCTGGATCATAACCAGCGCTGCCTGGAATGATTTCTGCTTCAGAAAGTGTGGTGCAGAGGTCAGATTGAGTTAAGTCCTCACATTATCAGATTTAGTATCCCTTATTTTAGCACATGTTTGCAGTACCTACTAATTACAGTTATGGGGAGCTGGTACATGGATATAATACATCTTGCTTTTTTTCTCTGTTTTTGGTTTTCAACCCTTAGCCCTTCCCCTCTCTCTTCCTTCTGGCTCTTGGTCTCTTTCCCATTTGTAGAAGTTCTAGTTTCATCCTTTTTTCCCTCCAGTTCCTTTTTAAAAATCTCCTTTCCATCACCCTCCCTTGTTCTCCCTTCCTGTTACCAGCCTTGCACTTTATCTAACGTTCAGTTCTTCTATAAGAGAAGAGAAGTGTGTGTCACTCACTACCGTGGTCTCCAGGTGCACCCTTTTACCTACGAATGCTTCAGGTCCGTCACTCTGTGGCAGGCAGTGCTCCATGGTGTATGAACACCTCATTTCCTGCATCCATTCATCTGTTGATGGATGTAGAAGCCATTTCCAAGGTTGAGCTGTCGAACATTTTGCTGCTATAAACATGGATATGCAAATATCACTGTGGGGGTTTATTGTCTTTAACATACTATTCTCTGATGACTCCAAATACATAACCATTATACTCCAAGGAAGAAAGACTTGCGTGTTGGCTTCTGTGAGGTGACAGGTCCTGAAAATAAGATTTGGCATATGAAGAGGAAAGCGAATGGGTCCGGGGACCACAGTCTCTAGGGCTAAAGCCTCGACCACAGTTTTCTGGCTACTTATTAGAGTCTTCTCTTTACAAAATGCAGAAGTGGGAGGGGTAGAGTAAAGATAAGTGGGAGCTTCAGTGTTTAATCATCCTAAGGGCCATCTCCGGCTGCACGTGGCCTTCATGTTTACGGCTCCTTCAGGCGCATCACGTGCTGTCCCAGCAGCCTTCCACTGGGACTAAGATCCTGCACTCACTTCCTTAAACACAGTGCATTTGTGTGGCTCTCTGCAGAGCCAAGAATTGTTTGGCCTAGTAAAGTAGTTTAAGTTAATCTATGGCCCACATTTGGGGTACCAGAACTACTTTCAGATGAACTATACGGGCACGTTGGCATGCTCACCCTGGACATACTCAGTGTGCACACTTGCATGTGCAGATTCATTACACTTTCTCTTTGGGGTGTAAATGTTCTTCGAAAATGTACCTCATCATTTGCACCTTATTTTTACAATGACAACCATGCTGTAGCCGTAATGTTCTTCCTTTAAAGAAAATCGTGTTAAAAGACAAGTGAGAAACATTTTCTTGAAGTCAGGGCTTCTCTCTCATTTTTGTTTCCACATTTCTGGTGTATCAAGGGTAGAGAAATATGATTTGCTTTCCCGTTCCTGACATAGTGTTTCTACACATGTGCATTTGTTACAGAGTAGAGTGTAGTCAGAGAGCGCTGTGTGGACCCAGAGCCTTGCTCCTCCTGGCCACAGGGACAGCTGGTCACTTGCAGCACTGTAGGTGGCAGAGCCGGAGCTGCCTGTGGACGAGGAGCCCAAGCTTGGCAGCTATGACCCATTCCATTTGACTTTCAGTGTCACACTCCCTCACTGCATTCACGTGGATTTGCTTTGTCTAGGGCCTTTGAGGACGTCCAGGTCCACTGGCGAGCCACACTGAACGAATCAGCCGTCATTCTCCAGAAGGAAGGGGTGAACCTGGAGGAAGAGATTCTGTCTGTCTCAGGAACCACGACGTGTGCAGCGGGCCAGACACAGTGCTTCATCAGCCTGGAGCTCAACCCCGAGAAGGTGAGCAGGTGCGGAGGGCCATGCGTGGCATCCTGAGGGTGCCTTTTAGAGCGAGTCACCTGGAAGCCGCTGTATGGAAAACCACCCGGTGGTCCTGTGGAGCTGCTGTGTGGTTAATCTCGGTGACGGCTAAGTCTATGCCCGCACCACAGCTTCTGACTTAGAACGCATTATCACCTTAGGAGTCTTTGTAAATGAGCCAGGCCCCTTTGTCTTATCTGATTCTTGCCATTTAACATAAAAACTAGCCATCTGATTGTGGAAGTTCAAGAGTTCTGATGATGTCTTGGATGTGCTGCATGCTCTGAACAGTGCAGAAGACCACTGCAAATATACTTACTTCAGATGTGACCGTACCTAAGCCTCCTTTACAGTAACAATCCCATAGGTTTGATTTTGTTTTTTCACATTTTTCTACTTGCTTTTTCACCTTTTGAGAATTTCTATAAGAGTTATATTCATCTTTTCTAGGATTTATTAATACATACTTTCATGCCTTCCTGGGATTTTAATAATTTTACTGTTTGCAAAGAGAAGAAATACTTGTCTGTGGTCACCCCAGGTTACATGCCCTTGGTTGTCGTGACTTTGATTTTTGTTGGAGTCTAATTCTCATCCCAAGCTGTTTCAAATGAGAAGTGCCTGTCACCGGACTAGGGTCCATTTTATGACTTCTCTCGTGGCACATATTCATTAGCTTCTTGGTCACTTGGACATAGCATCCAGTGTCCACCACTTAACAGAAGAGGGGTTCAAATTGACTCACAGCTGAGGTGGTTCAGTCTATGGCTGGCTGGCTGGCTCCAAACAGAAGCATCCTGGCACTGGGCCACTGCTGAGCACAGCTGCTCACCTCACAGCAGCAGGAAGCAGAGAAGAAAGGGCCCAGAGGGTGGTGCACCTCCAAATGCCCAGCGCCAGTGACCCCTTCTCATGAAGTTTTTTAGTCACCTATTGATCAGTTCCATAATATCATATTATAATACTGTATGTTCAAAAGCAAAGTTAGAGCTGGGTGCAGTGGTGCACACCTGTAATCCCAGCACTCTGAAGACCAAGGCAGGAGGATCACCAAGAATTCAGGATCAGCCTGAACTACATGGAGGCTCTAGGTTCCTCCCCAGCACCACAAAAACTAAAAGTAAGCTTGACATTCATGTGTTTTACACACTTTACAATGCTGTGCTTCAGTCTTAAAAGAATCAGGGCACAGGTTTTGACAAATAGGATCAGCAATAGGCCTGATACTTTCAATCAGGACAGCTGGGTGGGGGCATAGCCTGGTGGAGACCCCCACCTGGCACCCAAGTCAGGGTTTTTGGGATAATTATAAAAATGTAGCAGTGACCCTACAGAAAACATGCAGGGGCAGTGCATCCTCACATCATCAGGTCAGGTGTGCTAGTGCATGCCGGTAATCTCAGCACTGGAGGCTGAAGCAGGAAGATCCCAAGTTCAAGGCCATCCTAGACTACATAGTGAAGACAATCTCAAAATAAAAATAAACTTAAATGTTGCAAATTTAGCTTAACTGATAAAGAATGTGAAAAATCAAAGTCTGAGGGTTCTTCACTGCCCACTGAGGGGCAGTGGTTTGGATGGAGGAACAGGAAGAGCTCCCCAGGCCCTTTGGCTCCACTTGCAGACGCCCCAGCAGGACATCCAGGGGTGTGAGGTGGGGTGGGCGACCCATTCCCTGCAGCCCTCACACCAAGTACCCCGATACCGGCCCTCAAATGTAGCCCCAGGTAGGAACCCCTGGCACTCTTCATTTCACACCCGGTCCACTCCCAGAGATTCTGACCTCACTGCCATGAGTCTAGGTCTGGGCCCCCAAATGTGTGACAGCACCCAAAGTGGCTCTGATGTGCAGTACAAATTGAGAGCTGTGACCAGGGCCATCCTCTCCCCTCCTCCCACTCCGGGTGAGGGTGAGATTGCCCACCTTGGCTGCTACACCCCTGCCCTAGCCGGTCACTCTCACCGGTCTCCAGTGACCAGAGTGCTGAGAGTCCTGGCCTACAGTTAAGAACTTTTCTCCTTCGGCATCATTGCAAATCCCACTGAAGCAACTTTAATAACTTACTAAATGGTGCACAAGTAACCATCTCACAGTCCCCGGAAGTTCAGTAAGTGATTCTTTGTTTTTTCAGTGCTACTTCTCAGTTCTCTGGAGGTAGACTGGGTTTGCAGAGTCACCTGACATCTCCTAACTCAGCTATCTCCTAACTCATCGAGCTGCTGCCCAGTTGATTTCTTTGATCAAAAATTATTTTAAAGATTGAGATTTGTGCACTGAAGGTACATGACACTTGGGTGGATACCAGGCAAATATGCTGCTACTTGAACACTAGTAATGTTAGAGCTAGAAAATGTTTTTGAATGTCCACTGACTTTTTTCTAGGTTATCAAATGATAGTATTCTATCTTACTTTTCTTGAGTGAGGTTTTCATCAGCTAGCACTTTCAATCACTTTGCCAATGAGAAACTGAAGTTTCAGTATTCAAACCATCTAACCATATTATCCTACGTGAAAACACTTCAGTTTTACCCACTGCGATCCTTGCAAATATTTTCATGCCTTCCTCAACTGTCAACCGCTTATTTCCCAACTGTAGCTCTCCCTTAGTGATTAATTAAAATATCACTTGCTCCATAATGCCTCCCGCAAAACCACCAGTTAGAATTCTTCTCTAAATTTCAGAGGTATTAACTTTACTATGGAAGTTATCAGTGATATGCTATCACATCTCTTGATACATATTTAATCTTGACTCTTTACTCTGGTGTACCTGGAAATAAGAACGTGTCTTTATTCATTTTTGCATTCCTCCTGCCTTTCTCCATAAATAATACACTGCATACTTGAATTACTACAAAGTCATCATGTATTTTCCCTCAAGTGGGATTTTCAGTAAATCAGAATCCTAGAAAGCTTTATTGGGATGTAAAGCTTCTGTCCATATCACAGATGTGAGCCTTTTAATTTTAAGAAAAGGCTTTCGATATCAAAATCAGTTCACACCTGTGGGTTGGGACAAATGTCATTATCAGTCTTTTGCTGACTTGAGTCTTACAATATGTGAGGCATTTGTTTTAAAAGATGAAAACAACTTCCATGGGGTGGAACTGTTGGTGGTGACAGCAGCCAAAGTTAGAAGATTCTGGGGATAGAGATGTCATGCTGGAAGTAGTTTGAAGGGACGTTACCCCCAGTGGTAGGAGGACGGGGCGGGCAGTGGCCATCAAGCAGCCTGGTCTCAGACAAGCTGGAGGACTGCAGTGTGAGTGGGTTTGGGAGGAGCCGGCTCCCTGTGAGCTCACTGTCCCTGCACATCCCTAAAGGGAATCTGAGCATGATAGATACCGTAGCTCAGGGGGAGCACATTGCAGTAGGTGACGTGTGGGATGCTAGCTGTATAGATCCTTTTTCCTAACTAGAGAAATGCTACTCAGCTTGTGTCTGAGCTGCTTCAGGTAAGTAGGAGAGTTCTGTGTTGCTTCTTATTTTCCTTCCCAGTAAAATGCTCAGAATCATAAAGTTGAATTTTCTTCTGTATCCCAAGAAGCTCATGTTTGAGGTATTTTTGCCCTCATTGTCTTCCAGCTCTTAAAAGGCAACACATGGGCAAGGTTAACACACGTTCTTGTTTCAGGAAGAAGAAATTGTTAAAGAGGGAAGAAGCAGGCAGACTGTGTTCTTGTGGAAATAAAATTTTTAAAAACCCCATAAGTACTAAAAGTTCCTACTGTACATTGGAAATATCTTACACTTTATACTAAGTATTATTCATTCAGTTCACATTCTTGTGTCCTGTAGACAGACACCTAGGAGTATAAACACAGAGGTTCTCAGCCGTGGGCGTCGGTAGCAGACCTGGAGATTATGCGGCTCTCCTGCCACAGCAGCACAAGTATTCTAAGCTTTTTACTTAAGAGCCATCTTCATTTTTGGTCAAAGAAAGTTTCCAATTATACCAGGCTTATTCCAGGCATCTTTATGGTACTTAGGGATTTGGGCTTTGGTGCTAGAACCCTTCGGTTCAAATCTTAGCTCTTCCACTAACGAGCTGGGTGAGACTAGACCCGTTATTTAGTGAAACAGCCATCAGGAAGAGGAAACAAGATCAGGAAGAAGAGTTTATCAGTGCAGTTGTTGGCCAGGAATAGGTTCCCCAGGAGCCGAGGCTGTCCATGAACTTAGTCACCACTGTATCAGCACCAGTGCCAGGGGACCTTGGATACTGCAAACGACTCGGAATTATGCCACTGGTTAGCATGGTGTCTCCTGGCCCTCAGGCTTAAGTCACTCTTTGCTCTACTTATCCAGTTACCCTATCTCCAGGCAGTCAGTACTTACTTGCATTTTCTAGTTAAGAAGAATTTGAATTGCTTACCTAGTCAATTAGTGGGCATTATATTAGCAAAACTTACAAAGCAGTGATGGCCAACCTGTAAGAGCCTTCAGTGACCCAGACGTGTGCCGCGGATTCGCCACCCCTGGGATGACATAGTAATTAAGACACATGCTCTTCACTGACAAAATCTGTTTAAACGTAGTGGTGAAACATTTGTTGCAGAAAATTTTAGAAGCATTGAGGTAAGATATTGCTTTTGACTTTGGTTTTCTGTTTCTGAGCCCAGGAAATAGCATTTTCTACTAGTTGGGTCAAAAGATCGCTGTGGAGCACATCTGATCTTGGGGGAAAGGAACCAGCTGGGATGGGTCTTGTGGGGTCTCCAGGCACCTTTAGGAGTTGGGGCTCAGATATGATGCATGGCTGTGAGTTTCTCCTACACTTCAGGAATATGGTTTTTGTAAATGTCTTTGTTTGACTGGAAAGGACCTTTTGTCTGTAGCCTAATTATGTGTGGGCGCCCAGCTGTACGCTCCTAATTTTGGATGGTTCTTTACTTAGATTATAAAATATTCTTTTGAATGTAAGTCATTGTAATAGCACCCTAATCACCATCACAATGAAAAGGAATATTTTACTGGAAGATGAAGACAGAAGTCTCTATTGGAATATAATACACTGAACTCTTTAGTCAAAAGAAGGTATTGTGAACTCAAGCTCACTTGGCTATTAAGGAATAATAGCTCTTGAATATAGTTACTCACACTTTCTCAGGGCTTTAGTTTCTGTACGTGCCAAGTTTAGTGTTTCCAAAGTGGAGACGGAACAGTTACTCCGTATCTCCAAATTTACTGACAGCTGACCAGCAAAATGAAGACTGATCCATGCCGAAGAGAAGCTAAGCACAGTTCTAAAGACAGCAAATGAGAGTAAAGTGTTTATTTTGTAACTTAGATTTGACTTTTTCTTGGATAACACTGAAGGGTTTATTGTATTGTTTCATGACATAATAATTATCATTAAAAAGGTCGAAAGACAAATGATGGATAAGGCCTTTACAGACAGATTAAAAACGATGCCTTATCTTAGTGACAGATGCAACTGAACACACATCCACTCAGCTTCCCTGGGGTGAACTGGGGCGCAACACGGTAGGGACTTTTCAGATGGTTAAGAGTCCGACACTGCCGGAATCGGTGATTCGTGATGTGTTAGGAAACAGAGCTCTGGCTTTTGAAAATACAGTATTTCAGACTGCTGCAGAACATGGGGAAGCTACAACCAGAAGATAAATTTAAGTGTATTTGATACTGAGTTTTGTGAGAGTGCAAAATGTATTGGAGATTACAGAATGAACTGTTATCAATATTTGGTCATATTTTTTATTTAGACTTTTAAAAATGCATGTTATAAAAAGAAAATCTAAACAAACTTAAACATTTTTTTTGCTTGTCTTCAGTGCTGTTCAGCTACCTGTCCTGCCCTGCCTTTACCTGGGAAAGCAGCTGTCATTTGTGGTGTTTTGTTTTGTTTTTAATCTTCACATAAATGTCTACTGGCAATATGTAGAAAACTCTACGTAATGTTACCTTTATACTTCCACTATCGTGCTATGTATACCACTATGAAACTTGATATTTTCCCTCTTTCTTGTGTTTTAAGATCCCCCTATGTTGAAAACACTGAAACAGTCCATTTCTTTCATTCTTTTAAACTCCTTTATAGGCTTCTGTTGTATTTTATTTATTCTTTTGCTTAATATATGTATCAGTAGATATATCTCTGTCTGTCTATATATCTGTATATTTATATATTGGTGCCTCCCTCTCTGTTCTTTCTGCTTTTGCTCTCTTCTGCTGCCATGAACCATTGCCCTGTGCCACACCACCCTGCATAGGAGCCAGCTGATTACAGACAGAAACCTCAAAACACACACACACACACATGCATGTACATATGATACGTATGTTATTTCTGGACACTGATGTAGAGGCATCTAAAATAAGTGTACTTTTCAAGACCAAAAAATAAATCTCATAAGCGTTTAATTCTGTCATGAAGCAGAATCTGTATTACTATCATTATATATAGATATCTAAATTATATCATTTCTTAATTTTAGAACTACCTCATGCTAGAAGTGCAGTGCTAACAGCTGTGCGTGTCTCCTTTTCTCATTGTCAGATGCCCCCTGTTGAAACGCATTATTTCTTCGTGGAGCTCTATGGGGTCACTGCTGGAGCTGCGATCAACAGCAGTGCCAGATTTGCACGGATTAAAATCTTGCAGGGCCACGGAGCTCAGAGCCTCGTTTACTTTGCGGCGGGTTCCCGGCTGGCTGTGGCTCATAAGAAAGCCACACTGCTCAGCCTGCAGGTGGCCAGGGATGCTGGAACCAGACTGACAGTGTCTGTGAACTTCAGCACCCAGGTGAGTGGCTTTGGCTTTTTTCTGTATCTGTGACAAGTGCAGTGGAGCAGAGTAATTGGGGCATTGGTGTCCGGGAGTACCACAGTAATCCTCATCTCATTTCTTACATTAAACTCCATGCTCGCAGCAGGTCATTGTGTTCTTAAAACTTTTTGATTTTATTTTCCTCGGTAACAGGATTGATTGTACAGTGCAGACTATCTTACACAAATCCTTTAAATCTCCAGTGGGTTAAAATGTCTTCAGGACATAACTACATTAAGACCAGAAGCAAAATGCGAGGGTCTCCCCATGGCTTATGTTTGAGCTGTTTGGCAATGTAACCACCAACACTGGTTCATGTTTAGGGTTCTTCACGCCCATCTGCGCATGCAGCCCTATTTTCACGCACACCCCATGAGCAAGTGTCAGGTGAAGGACAGGAAGCCGGTGGGAGCCAGGCTGTTGCCTGCGGCAACAGCACCGCCCAGCACCAAAGTGACCGGAACTGTTGTCCCCAGCAGCGCCGTATGACTTTCTGGCACTAATTTTCACTTTGTTCCAGCAGCAAAAGTCTCAGATCACAAAACAAAAACGTGTATCTGCTGACCTTGAGACGTGGCTGTGGTGATGATAGGTTTCCTAACTTAGTCCCCTTTCCCCAACTTCTGCCGCGCCAGGAAACCCACAGTCTGAAAGCCGTTGCGAAGAGCGATGTCATCTACTCTATTTCAGGATTCTAAAACCAGATGATTTTAGATCTCAGGCTTACAAAATTCTGTTAAAATTACTGTATAGGGGTTTAGAGATACAGCTTGGTGGCTCTGTGGCAGAGTGCTTACTTAACATAAGGTCTGAGGTCCTGGGTTCAACTTTCAGTATCAAAAAGAAAAAAGTAATCAGTGTAGTATGTGTTTAGTTGTGTCCCTGAAATCTCCTTGTAGCATTGCTCAGCTGAGTCACTAAGAGGTGACTCGGATGAGCGGGCCATTCTGTGTACCAGCTGCCACATGGGTGCATGACCAGAGCATTGCAGTCAGGAGTGGGGGTGGGTCTGGAGTGCTCCTGGAGCCCTTGCAGGCAGACAGACTTTTTCTGTGACCATCTATAGCTCAGCTATCAAGAAGAAAAATTCTCAATTGTATGAGACCCTAAAATAAGCTCTGTTTTGCCAAGCCTGGAAGTGGTGTGAACACAGAGACATGTTTTGATGCCTGGTGCATGAGGTTTAGTGGTTTTTGTCAGGGGTGTTAAAGAAAGAAAAAGAAATGAGCAATGATGTATGTTTTATTCTTCCTCTCCTGTGAGGTGTGCATCACGGTGTGTTCATCACTGTTTAGAGTGGAGGGAGGGGGTACTAGAGATGAACAGGTGCAGATGTTGAGACATGTTTATAAACAGTTCACCCACTCAGATGAGATAATTGAAATTGGCCAATAAAAGACTGATTTCTAACACCTCTGTCACTTTCAAGATTCATCATGCTGTGCAAAACTCATGTTATCCCTACCATGTAACTCATAGAGGACTCTCATTTGTGGGATGATATATTTAATGAATTTCTAGATTTCTCTACCATGATCTTTAATTTTATGTATCAATTTGACTGGACCACAGGGTACTCGTGTATTTATATGCTAAACATTATTCATGTGTTTCTGTGAGGACATTTTAGGTAAGATTCATGTTTAAATTAGCAGTCTGAGTGATGGTCCAGTCCCACAGCACTTTTAATGTGTGTTAGTCTCATTGGTTGAAGACCTGAGTGCAGTTAAGAGGCTGACTGTCTCTCAAGAAAAGAGAGTTCTTCTGCCTGGTAGCTTTTGAACTAGAACACTGGCTTTTTCTTTTTTTTTTTTTTTTTTTTTTTTTTTGTCTTTTTCGTTTTTATCGGTACCAGGGATCGAACTCACGACTGCCTGCTTGCAAGGCAGGCGCTTATGCCGCTGAGCTAAATCCCCAGCCCCACTGGCTTTTTCTTCACACTCCATGCAAGGATGGATTTTCCTCAGTCTCAAGTCTGTCGGCCTTAGAGCTGTAACTACAACCACTGGCTTTCTTAGTTCTCAGATCTTCAGGCTTGAGCTGTAACTAAGCATCAACTTTCTTTTTGTCTTCAACTTACCAAGTTACCCTGAAGATTTTAGAACTCTTAGCCTCTTTAACTGCATGAACTTATTGCTCATAATCGCTCTCTCTCTCTCTTATACTCTATTAATTCTAGTACAACACTGATTATCAATTGCAGATTTAGTAGAGTTCTTTTGACAGTTCCATAATACTAATAACATGTTAACAAACACAGTAGACGTGTAAATATGGAATCTGAAAAGTTTACTTTAAATAGAAGACTCCTGTTTCTGGAAGAATGAAATAGATGTACTTTTCCCTACCAAGTACAAACTAAAGACCTTGAGCATTATATATACTGTTATGGTTTGTGTCTAGATGTCCCCTAAAGCCTCATGCAGTCATAGGGTTTGTTCGGAAGTAGCTGAATCTAGATATTGGGATTAATGGTGCTGGGATTAAAAGTGTGAGTGCTATACCCAACCTCTGGCAGATGGCTTGCATATAATAGAAGGGACAGAGAGAGGCTGGTCCTTTCTCCTTATTGTTGCTTTTGCTGTCTTCTACTGCCGTGAATGCCCCACTGCCATGTGCTACCCTGCCTGGGACCCAGCTGATCATGGAATGAAACCTCCACAAACTGGGAGCCTAACAAACCTTTCCTCCTTTAACTTTCAGTGTTGGGTATTTTGTCTCAGTGACAAAAAATGTAACTAGCACATAATGCATATGTCCCAAGGAATAATACAGTGGGACATAAATACGGTTTTCTTTCTGCCTCATATCCTAGATTTTAAAAGGAATCTGTATACAGAAGCACTACTAGGAAAGGATATTTTTAAAAGTCTCTCACAAAATTTACTCTCTCTAGTCAAAGAAACAGAACAGTGGAAGCCTACAAAGAAATAAAACCATTTAAAAGTTTTTTACACTCTGGCTAAATATTCCCAGAAGGTAACTGGCCCCAACTCTACCCATATCAGTGAAAAAGGACTAGAGCACCTAGATTTCTGCCTTTGCTGGAGCCCTCAACCTTTCTGCCAGCATTGTGTATGAGGGACCAAGCAGAGAGTTAGGGCTTTCTCTGTCACCTACTAGTAAAAAGACGAGCCTCAATGTGGCAGAGATCACTGGCGAGGCATCAGAAAGGTACTCACACCTTTCTAACCAGGTATATGACAGTGGGGGCCTAGCTTGGGAGTAGACTCCCACCCCACCTAGCACTAATGTGTTCTTCTCCTTCCCTAGAGGCCAAATAGGAAAACTAGACCACTACCTCCACCTGTCAGTAATAAGCTAATAACTTTCCTTTCCCTGCCAGAACAATGCTGAAAGAAACCAACTGAAGACTTGAAAAATATCCAGGGTCTCAGAAAATAATATACACAGCATCCAGGTTTCAGCTAATCATCCCACTAAGAGCAAAGAAGATCTGAAACAGTATAAAAAGTAAAAACCAATAGATGACAGGAATAAAAAGACAGAAATATTAGAAGTATCTGACACATTTTAATGCAGCCATTCTAAAATGCTTCATTGAGCAATTTCAGGCATTCTTGAAACAAATGAGAACAATACAAAGGCTCAGAAAGAAATCGAAAGCCCCTGCAAATAAATAAGACATAAGAAAGTACAAATGGCAATTTTAAAGCTGAAAAATACCATAACTGAAATAAACTGAGAAATAAGCTCAGCAGCAGAATGGAAAGGACAGAGGAATTAGTGATCTTACACAAAGAGTAATAGAATTGTCCAACCTAAATAGCCCAAAGAAAATTAATCAAAACATTGCACAAGTCATCAGCAACTATAACGAAAACCCTAATATTGTGTCTTGGTAACCTTGAAGGAAAGAAAAGTCATTGTAGTTCTGAAAGAAAGAAGTAGTCAAGGATAAAAATGTACACCATAAATGTACTTCTAAGTTTTTGCAGGGCCATGGTGACATTTCTTCTCTGGTTTTCTTCCTCCGTCCTCTCACTCTGAGGCATCTACTTTTCCTACCTCATTGCTGTGCATTGTGTGTTTAGCTCTCTAATTTATTAAAGAACATTAGGAACAATTTTCATGCTTTTTCTGTTTTGGTAGTACTGTTCCTGCCAACCTTCATTTCCTTAACAGAATAGAATTTGTTTAAGAAGTAAGAGTTGGTTTACAGCAAGATCAGAGATACTAGAGTTTCGCTTCCTTGTTACTGTTTGATTTCCAGGAGTTGGGGCGTGCTGAAATGATTGGCCGGACTCTCCTGTCTCCAGCTGTTTCTGGGAAGGATTTTGAGAGAACTGAAGGCATGTTGCTTTTTGAACCCGGCCAGAGAAACACTGTGCTGGACGTCAACCTGATGCCAGATACCAGACCTTCCAGTACCTTTCCGAAGCGCTTTCAGATTGTGCTTTTTAACGCTAAAGGTGGTGCCAGAATTGACGAAGCATATGGGACCGCCAATGTCACTCTTGTCTCTGACGCAACCTCACAGGCCCTTTGGGAGCTGGCGGAGGAGCTACAGCAGCCCCTGGAGGAGGACACCCTCAGGCGGGTGCTGCATGGCATCAGTGTTAAAGTGGCCACTGAGAGCACGGATGAGCAGCTCAGCGTGGCGATGCATTTGATTGAAAAGGTACAAAGTCCTTGTGCATGTCAGCTCTCAGTCCAGCAAAATTCAAATTCCAAGCCAAAGGCCCCACTCTGTTATAATGTCAGTTGCTGCAAAATGATAAGGTTACATTTCTGAACATGAACAGAACACACTATTCTAGTGCTGTACTTTAGTCGAAAGGTGATGGGTGCCTGGTTGACACTTGAGTCTAAAACCTTGGGATTCATGAGTTACACAGGTCAGCAGGGTAGACACCCCAAAGTCTGAAAAGAGCCACAAGAGGGTAGAAGCTACAGGTTCTTGCTAATTCTCCAGAAACTGGCTGATTATCATTGCCAGCTGATTCTGCTCCTCAAGTTCATGAAAAGAGGACTTGATGGAGCGTCTCATTAGCATAGCCCTTTCCTTTCCAATGCCACGATCCAGGAGCACTTGTCATCTTGTTGTCTCCTGCACATTGAAACTTTCATAGGCAAGATAAATTATGGAATGACTGGTAGTTTCAGATGTTTGGTTTGGCATGAACTTAAATTACCAAGTTTTATATTAAACCTATTTATGTACACTTCTGCAAATGATGGAGTTAACTAGAGATATAAGAATCTAAGGACGTACATAAAAAAGAAAATACTATTAGTAATTATAATGTTTTATTACTTAAGGAAAGGTGGTTATTTGGTAAATATTTGTAGGAATTTATTTTGGGTTTTTGTATCAAGACATTTCTTTCAGGGTCTGGTACTACACACCTACAACCCCAACATTTCACAGGCTGAGGCAGAAAGATTGCCATGAGCTTGGGGCTGGTCCAGGCTGCATAATGAGTTCAAGGACAGCCTGGACTATTTATAAAAAAAACTTTATTTCAGAGAGAGAGAGAGAGAGAGAGAGAGAGAGAGAGAGAGAGAGATTTCTTTTCAGTATATCTATATTCAAGTACAAAAAGGATTTGTTTGTGTACATATGAATTATACTTCAGTTCTTTCATTGTGACCTCTACATATTTAAAATATTTGCAGTGGGGTTTTAAATATTTTGACTATGTCATTTACTATATTTCTTCAATATGATGTTTGAAGGACCACAAAAAGAGACTTTGCAAGTAGAGAAGGCAAAGTCATACCAAGTGTGTGTGAAGCTAAGAGAAGTTCCTGCTAGTTCTTGCCGAGCATGTTTAGAGATAAGAACTTACTCCAGGAAATACTGCTACTTTAATTTCCTAATGAGAAAGTGCCAGGGACCCATACCAAGTTGCTTTTGGCCAACAAGACAGAACGTATACAGGGCAACCACATTTAGGTAAAACGGAGAATGTTATTTCAAATACCTAATTTGATTTTGTTTTCTTTGTAAGCTTTACAGAAAACTTTATTTCCTCTGAAGATGCATAAAAATTTGAATAACTGTTTAATCCCTGAGTCACAGCCTTTAATGCTTGCTCTTTGTCAGTACCTAATGTGTATTGTGTGTTCAAGCATGGCAAATGGGTCGGGGAGCATTTGTGCAAAGATGTGTGTAGTTGGAACATTATTTTGGCATTGCTGGCCATAATAACAGACGATGGGACAAGTACGGCCTGTAAGAGGCCCTGGGTAAATAGATCCTGGTGAATCCATGACATACGGTCATGTGCAGTGGTGGGCCTGTAAGATTACAGAGGAGCTGAAAGTTCACTGTCACCTGGTATTTTTACTGTGTGTTTTCTAGGTGTATATGTGTTTAGACACAGAAATGCCCACCGCTGTGTTACAGTAACTGCACCACGCGGTAGTGACACACTGTACGGGCTTCTGCCTAGAAACAGCAGGTTACACTATGAAGCCACGGTGTGTGGAACTCCCCCTTGTAGGTTTGTGTAAGTGCACTCTGTGATGTTCACACCAGGGTGAAGTGGCCTTGCATTTCTCAGAATGTGTCCCCATTGCTAAGTGATGTATGACTGTGGGTTATACATATACATTTTTGTCCACATTTTAGACTTCATTATATCAGACTAAGGAACAAACAACAGAAAACGTAATCACATGGAGGGAAGGTAGTGAAATTCAGCAATAAAGAGTGCTCAGTTGAATTTGAATTTCAGTAAACAACAAATAAGTTTTGAGCAAAAATAGATCACAATTAATTAGTTGGGACCTACAATGTATAGCAAAAAGTTATCGTTTGCATATCTGAAATTCAAATTGAGTTAGCTGTAGTTTACGCAGCCCTTGTTCGTATATACCATAGGAGATGCATATGCACGCTAACCTCAACCTCAGCAGTGGGTGACAGTGAACCTTGTAGAGACCAAGTGCCTGGATTGCTCATGACATCATTGTCTGTCAGTTCTGCTCCTTTCTGAGCATGTACAAGGCCACTGTATGCGCTGTTACCTGATGCTCAGCTGCTGGGGCGACTTGCTGTGTGCCCTGCTGGCTAGACTTACCCCATGCTGGTAAAATTTTGCTCTATGAGATACTATCTTTTTAGTAAAACTGCTTCATATTTATTTCATCTTCCCCCAGGTTCTAAATTCTTTGACAGAGAACTTTTTCTGTTCTTTTCACTAAGATCTCAAAAAAATCTTAGTATTCTACACACTAGACTAGAAGTAGCTGCTTATTTAGGTTGAAGTGGTAAAAATATTGTACTAAAGTCAACAGCTGTAAATGATTGCCTGTAGATATTTTCTAGATAAAATTAGTTGTGTCTTTAGACAAATCTTTGTATGACATCATATCCTGTCCTCTGATTTTCCCAGGTCTGATGCAATAAGAATTCTTTTTAAAGCTGTCATTTGCCCCAATAACAATATGAGTCTTTGAAAATCCTTATGGGTTTGCTATTCTAATTCTTAGTTTCATTGCATTCTGCCTCCTGGTTATTAAAGCTTGATAAAACATGAATCATAAGATCCAATTTTGTGCTCCAGAACAAAGAGCTGAGTTTCTCCATTTCTGTTCTCTGTTCTGGTAGCTTATAAAATCTTCCCCACAGTCAGTTCAGGTCTTCTGTTTGCCAATAACCGAATTTTGGTAATGATGTGTGTTCCTGTGTTGTTACTTATGTCAAGTGGCCTTTTTAGAATCAGGCTATTTGTTTTGATCACATACCTTTTAATATTATATGTATTTTGTATCAGAATTATTTTTGTGTGACACGTGTTATAATGATACTAGCAGCGATTTTGATTTCCCTCCAGGTTTTGCTGTCTGGGTTTGTATTTTGTTCTTACAGTGATTTTGCAGGACTTGTCTGCTCTGCATCAGCCCACACTGTGGCTTTTGGACTGCTAGGTGAGGAAGTTGTGGTCCGTGCAGGCGAGGTCAGGAGCAGCCTTGGGCCAGCTAGGTCACCACCTGTGTGCCCTGGGACAAGTTAATTATCCGCCTTCTGCTCCTGTTGCCTTTCCTGGAAATAACAAAAATAGCAGTAGGTCCTTCTTCCTGGGATTTGTGTGAGGATCAGCGAAGTTAGTATTAAGTCCTGGGGCCTACAAAGTGTCTGTACTAACCAAATCTTGGATAAATGGCATTTTTGCATTTGTGTATTTTAGTAAAAAACAAAACAAAAACCAAAAAACCTTTATATTTCCCTTGAACATGAATAAGTTTGGATAGCACTAGAATTCTTGAATTATAGCCTTTAATTCTTAAAATTCTATTCATGTTGTTCTGCAGGCTTCTGGCATTTTATTTTTAGAAATGTCCAATGTCAAACTGAACTTTTATTTCTCTGCTAGTAATTTTTTCCTATCTGATTTCTAAGTATGACTTTTTTAAACCGTAGAATAACATTTTAAAGATCACCCAAATATATCTGATGTTGTCTCATTTCCTGTTTTTCTCTGATGTAAAGCGGTCTGCATTTTTAGACAGATTTCTTTAGTTTATTAAGGAGCTTTGTTACTTCCCTTTTCTTCTACCTGCTCTATTATATTTCTTGGAGAGTTGCCCTGGGATTTTCCTGCTTGTCTGGTACAATTTCTGTAAGTTCTGGGAGATTTTTCTTGAGCTTATTTTCTATTTGTCATACTGTTTGTCTGTCTCAGTGTCTAATAGGCCGTTCTCAGGCTTTATTTGTAATTTTTGCATCATTAAATCTTTCTTCTGTCCCTTTTATCATATTTCCCCTATAGATTATTTGCCATTCTTCCTCCCTTTCTCTGAGGTGGCTATTCTTATAAATTCATATCTTGAATTCTGCTATCAATTTAGAACCATACTAGATAACAAAGTTATAAACAGTATGGGAAACACAGAACCATTTTCTCATGGAATTCCTGCAGTAGGACAAGCAGATAAGTCATTTCAGAGTTGTAAGTTTATTAGTAAAGGTACGTGTGAGCCAGAAAGAGTGACCGTATTTGTTGGTAAGTGAGGCGTAATGTAGGAATCCTAGAAAAAGTGATGACTTTGAAGTTTGAAGATTAACAGGACCCATCAGATCTGTGAGAATGCGGCGGGGTCACACCCACTGTAGTCCAGCAGCAGGGATGTGGTCCCATCATTCTGCCAACCAACACCACCAAGGCAGTTTTACCTCCTTACTATTCTCCTTGTTCCTCGAACAACAAATTCCCCAGCTCATTAAAGTAGGGGGGTCAGATGGACCTTAGAAGGCCATTGTGTCAAAGGTCTCCAGCACTCTTTGCTGAAAAGATTTTCTGATTCATTTCTTTATGCAAATTAAGTGATATGTGGAAGCTTGTGTCCATTGAAAAACAGATAATTAAGAATAATCTCTCTTCCATTATGAACAAATATTTTCGAGGTACTTATTCCCTTATCTTTTGGACAAAAGAAAAAGAATCTTTGGAGTAGGTGTAAAGTGGGATTAATTTTAATCATGATTTAACTGTTGTAATTGAAGTGATTCATGCATCCGTATTTGAAATGTAATTTCATACCAGCTTCTCTTAAATTCTCCCCAGAGTCATCTTTATTTTGCTACTATTAATAACTTAATAAAGAATAAGAATGTATACACTGCCTGTAATTTATGAAGCTTTGTTTCTCATACAGATTTCCATTGTTGACTTCTTTCCAGATAACTGTGGAAGGAAGAAATCAAGCTTTCAGTATTGAAAGCCGAACTCTTCTCTATGAGGTCCTTTGTGCTCTCGTTAACCCAAAGCGGAAGGACACCAGAGGGTTCAGCCACTTTGCGGACGTGACTGAGAATTTTGCCTTTTCTCTGCTGACGGATGTTCCCTGTGGCTCTGCTGCTGAAAAGTAAGTGGCTTCTCCTGCAAGAGCACAAGCGTGCAAATGCAGTTTGTTGCTTGAAGCAGACAGGGGCCCTATACCAGGAAGAAGAAGCGTGCACTGTCAAGAATGAGTTCCTCTCCTTTGTCTGAGAGTTCAAATGTCACGTTGCCTACTCTAATTGAATGGCTAAAGGATGGATTCTGAATGGAACAGTAGGAAACTGGTCCCACCCTTGGGAGAGGTTACTGTGCTTCTCCCAAGGGTGCTGGGCATCGAGTCCCCATGGAGGCGGCTCTCAGATGTGGGTGAAACTTGGGCTCTGTGTTTCCTGGTGGAGTCTCATGGCAGGTTTTTAATGCACAGTGGTTTATAGGTGACAGTCATTAGATAAATCAGAACATGGTAGCACAAAGCTAAAAATGGTGTGTTCCTATTTGCGAACACAGAAGTCATTGGTAAAAAAAGAACATGGCCCAAAAATGAAATTCCTCTCAATTTTTACAGAGTAAATATATGCCATCCCAAATTACAGACCATTATTTGACTTATTAAATGGGACACATCTGATTACAATGCTTACATAAAACTATAAATTTTATTATTCTGTATGAATGTTGTCAGTTTATTAAGTCACATTGAAAATTTAGAGAAATTTTGAAGAATACATTTGAAAACTCATAATTTAAGTCATCGCCTGTTTTACGGAGCCTTTTATGGAGTCTGACAGGGTAACAAAGTTGTTTGGATACGTAAAACTTCTAATGTTTTTTTTCTAATGTCTGTTCTTAAATCACAGAACACATGAAATTAAAAGAATGAATCCATGTATAAGAGGGAGAAAAGAAGAAGCAAAAGACAAAATAATAATGAGATCTACACTGTACATTTGCTATATATAGTCTGGACTCCGTATTCAGTTCAACAATATGATTAGATTCTTTTGCATGTTCAGATATTATGTTGAAAGTATGATGTTAACCATAAAAGACCTGAAAGCAGATTTTGTCTGGTGCCGCTGGGTTGGTAGTGTCATTGCTATTAAAGAACAGGACTGCATGTAATACACTTTAACCAGATAAGTGGATGTGGATGAAAGCACAGGCCATGTTAGCTGACCCTCTGCTTGTGTTTTACAGAAGCAAAACCATCCTTGACAGTTGCCCCTACTTGTCAATACTGGCTCTTCACTGGGATCCCCAGAAAATCAATGGGCACAAGTTTGAAGGAAAGGAAGGCGATTATATTCAGATTCCAGAAAGGTTGTTGGATGCTCCAGATGCAAAAACAGTGCCTGGAGAAAGTGCCTGTAAATTAGTCCAGTTTACAGAGTATAGCAGCCAGCAGTGGTTTGTAACTGCAAACAGCCTTCCTGCCCTGAAAAGTAAGGTAATCTATCATTGAGAATGTTATGTGGTTGGAGTTTTATTTTTTAGCAGATACACTCAGAATGCATTTGTTTGATCAGATTTTTGGCAAGTGCTATGTATTGTGAATATTAATTCATTGTGAAAAGAGATCCATCTATATGAATCATTTGAGAACGTTTCATTTGGAAATATTTTTCATATTTTATTAAGTAAGATATGTATGTGTATGTATATATGAGAAAAATGAAAAACACAACTGTCTCTGATATATCCTGTCATATACCTCATTCTTGAAGAAGTCAGCTACAGTTTAAAGTGAGAGAGAGTAACATGAGCCATAATTTATGGAGGGAAATATGTGAAGGACCTTAGAAAACATATGTGTAAGTGGCTCCAAAATATTTATTTAAAAATAAGTGAAGAAGAAGGAATCTTAAAATAAGTGCAGTGGGGTAAGAATGTGCACAATAGAAACCAGTCAGATGGCAGTGCATTCATAATGGAGCTAACTATTAATAGCAGAAGGGATCAAGTGCCTAGTTACTAGAAAAATGAAGTTCAGTTAGAGTAGGAGGGTGAGTGATGACACCATGTGAAAATTGGCGTCACATCTTCCACTCGTTTGGACATGACAGGTGCTGTCTCTGAGTGTGAAAGGCCAGCACTCACAAGTCCTGGCTAATAACAACGAAGTTCTCTACAGGATATACGCCGCTGAGCCCAGAATTGTTCCTCAGACGTCGCTCTGTCTCCTTTGGAACCAGGCCACTGAAAGGTGTGTGTTAGTAATTCCTTCGGATTAAAATTCGGTCTTCCTCGTCCTGCTTCCTCACTGTGGCAGCTTCTGGTGGGCCTGCAGGCTGGAGAATGAACTCCAGTAAGGAGACGGTGCTATCTGGCATGCTCTGGCCTCGCTCCCACCTAGTGACTACATACACGGGCAGCTCAGGGTTCTTTCATTGCTGTCTTTTCCCAGGTTGCTGCGTGAGTGCTGCTCAGTCTGGATCACTTTTTTAAAGTTCTCATTGACTTGTTGAGTAGGAAAGGAGTTTCCTTCCGTCTGGCTGGCCATTCAGGAAGTGATGCTCTGCATTTGAGGGTCAGAAGGATGGGGAATTCTAGTGCACCACGGGGTTAGAGCGCCCTTGGGGACTGGAGCCAGAATAGTAAGAGAGCAATTCTTTCTTTGAGTCTCCTTGGCCTCCGGACTCACATTTCTGAGCATCACTGTCACTCATCGAGAGGGACAAGAATCCATATGGTCACGAGATTCTGCTCTTCCTGAATTTCACCCACACAAACTGAACTCCCAGAGAGGCTTACTGGGCCAATCAGCTGTCCTTTATAGCATTGGGATTTTGGTTAGTCTTTCTTCATGAGAAAACATTTTGGATTTCAGTTCCTGGTGCTTGATAGCAGATCTTGAACTCTGAATTAGGATGGTTCAGCTCCTGGTTTTTTACCGTAGGATGGTGCAAAAGTAACCAAGTCCAGTAGAAACAATACTCAGAGTCTGAATTTTGATCTTTTATTAGCAGTACAGAAGGGGCGCTCCCATGTGAGGCTCTAGCCACACAGAGCCACAGTGGCTCATGAGCCACGCTGTCACAGAGTAAAGGACTGAGGTGACCATGGACCATTGGCTCAGCTACAGTGTTCAGTAGGATCTGTGTGCTCTGCATTTTTGAGTGACACTGTCTTCCATGCGCAATGGGTTTATCAGGATGTAACCCAGTACGAGTCATGGCTACTCTAATGCTCAATGTATGAGAGCAGAGAATGCTTCCGGCTTAAGTCTGTAGTTTGGATTAGGAAGTTTTATGTCCTTAGAAAATGTACAGTCGTGGGTGGAGATGCACTAAGGCCAGAGGGCTCAGGACTCAGCCCTGGGGGATTCAGAATAAGCCAGCTTGACAGACGGAAGCCTGGAAGTGCCTTGGAAAACATGGATGTAGGTAGCTCCAAAACACACAAAAGATGCGGGAAAAATCTCAGAGAAGCTCACAGGTCATTGCCACAGGCCATAGTGGAAGGATTTCTGGACACAGGAGGGAGGATGAGCGCTGCCCGTTCCGTGGCTAAGCTGGCCCTGGGGGACTTGGGAGTAAGAGGGGCGTGGGTTCGCTTCAGGGTAGGCCAGGGCTGCTGCTGCCCCGTGGAGAGGACTGTGGAGAAGCGTGGCTGGCGTGTAGGTGATGCAGGAACCGTGACTGCTGTGTGTCTCCCACAGCTGGTGGTCGGACAGCCCCTTGTGCCGCGTGGTGGGGGATGCTGAGGACTACGTGGACTGCGCCTGCGCACACTTGTCTACCTATGCAGCCTATGCACAGATGCACAACTCGTCTGCGTACAACGAAGCCTTCTTCTCCTCTGGATTTATCTGTATGTCAGGTCAGTGGCGGTATTTTCCCATGAATGATGTTAAGCATTGTGAAAATGAAAGTGTGTTCCCATAGAGCTTTCATGCATGCAAGATGCAGACCTCCTGTGATGCATCGCCCTCCTGTTGGCTCATTAATTCATACAGCACATGTTTAGGGGGGCCCGCTCCACACTGAGGATGCGGTGAAGAACAGGACCCAGCACCAGGTCACAGAGAATGCGTGGTGTCTTATGGGATAGAAGTTAGAGCACAAATAGGCGAGATAGTTTACGATATTGTGACTGAGAAGGAAGGTTCCACAGCTGGAATATCAGGACTGTTTGAAATAATGTATGTGTTCCTTTAAAAAATGCACTCCAGGAGTTGGTCAGCCTTCTATATCTCAGGAGCGCTGAATCAACCCAGCATCATGTTAAAGAATAAATCATCTTAGTTCTACATCTAGGCCTGGTTCTGGCAGTAATAGGAACTTGAATTGTATTAATGTATGACCTCTAGACCTACAACTAAATGATAAAATTATTCATTTTTGCTATATTAACTCTATTTAACTGGAAAGCCTACGAATTTCCCTCACTTATCTCCTGCCCATTCTGTGGCCCGATTCAGTTTTATAACCCCACAACTGCTTCTATGAATACTTTGCTGATTAGGTGGAGAGCTGGTTTGGGTAATGGTTAAAATCATAAACCCTGGAGCCAGACTTCATGAGTTCAGATCCTGATTCCACTATTAGCTGGTGTAGAACCTACAGAAAACTACTTAGTTTTCACACCCATAATGTAGTTACTTCCCAAAAACCCCACCTGTGAATTCATGAGGCTTTGGGGGTAGGGCTATCTAGATCTAAATCGTAACACTGCTTATACAGGTTATAAACCACATCTGTATATTAGGATACCAGATATATTCACTCAGACGTTACTGATAAATCTGGCTCAATGATGTTTTTTCTAAATATGATTTAGAGTCACTGAGTACATGACTTTCTTATTTGGTATGTAAATAACCCCTCGCATAGTCTTTACCTGTTAGGAAACTTTTTCTGCAGATAAAATTAAGTAATTATTTACTGTTCTTTGTTCTTTTTTTTTTTAACTCTTTCCAGCATAATTTCATTTTATCCAGTTTCTAAATTTCTGTAATATAACTTAATTGCAAAACTAACTTAGATTCAATGGCAAATGTTAGTGATTTCTTTTTTTTTTTTTTTTTTTTTTTGTACCAGGGATCAAACTCATGACCTTGAGCTTGCTAGGCAGGAGCTTATGCCACTGAGCTAAATCCCTGGCCCTGTTAATGATTTTTATTCTTAATACTATCTTTTATAAAGTATGACATTTCTTATTTAATAGATATGTCTTGGTAGTACCTGTAGCTCCAAAAACCAAGACACCATATTTTACTTTAGCTAATGAGTTTAAAGAGCAAATAAATTTCATAGAATGATGAAATAAAATCAAAAGTTGCAATGAAGCAAAATCAAAAGTCACAGTATTGAAATGAAAGTCTAGATGTGTTTTATGTGCTTCTATAGACATAAATTCAAGTGCTACTAAGATCCACAAAAATTCCTTGCTTATTCCAAACATGGAACCTGAAAGCAAACATTCCTCTCTCCCTCCCCGCCTTCTCCTCCCTCTCTCCTGCACTTTGCTCCTACTCCTTCTGTTCTTCCCCTTCCTTTTTTAGTTGTGGAACTAGGGGTTTTTAGTTGTGGTATCCAGGCCTACGCAGAACTATATCCCCAGCCATTTTTGTTTTCCTATTTTGAGACAAGCTCTCACTATATCTTGCCCAGGCTGGGTCTGACCTTGCCATCCCCCTACCTCAGCCTTCCAGAGTCCTGAGGTTACAGGAAGGTACCACTATACCTAGCTGAGAAATATCTTAACTGATAAACTTATTAAATCAGTCCCTTGATAAAATAGCTTCAGTAAGAAACTTGGAAGATCTTGGATTAAAATTTAAAAGTCTAAAAAGTTTTGAGATGCACCTCAGTTTAAAGGCCTTGGGTGCAACCCCCAGTACTGCAAATAAAACAAAATAAAATTTAAAAATTTAAAGAAAGAATGTTTTTCTGATTTTGTAATAAGCAAGCAAGACTATAAAGTACTTCCTGGGAGAATTGTTAACAAATATGTCTTTTCTATAACTTGCTTTAGAAAAGGCAACATTGATTTGCTCATGAATTTGAGAACCAATATCTAAATCTCAGATATGTGTTTACTGCCTTTGACTTGGAAGTGATTTCTGTGCTTCAAAATTATTGGTTTTGTCACCCTTGGTCCATAAGACGTTACTGTGAGACTTCCTGTTCCTGTCTTTGTGCCTCAGCTCAGCTTGGGGGAGGATGGATTTGCCTCTCTGCTGGGCCCCAGGGACCGGAACAGAGAAATTTTTGTGCCTTAGGGACAGGTGAGGCCACACCAACTGTCCCTCTGAATTTGATAGCAGGGAATTAGTTCTGCTGAAACACAGCAGCCTCCAGTTAGACTGGAGTTTGAGCTTTTGTGGTTTGAATCCAAGTAGATCACAGCGTATCTGTAACAGTCCTGGTTTTCAGTTCTGGATACTTCAGAAAGTGTACAAAGCGCGCACAGAGCCCAGAAAGCTTTGAATGATGAAAACAGGAGTGTACTACGGCTTAACCCGTTCACCACACACCAGAAAACTAAACTGAGGTCATTTGTTGAGGTGAGAAAGTCAAACAGTACTGCCTGTGCTGTAGAGTCCAGCAGTGTGGCCTGAGTCATCACGATGACTTGGGAGAGACAGACTTACAGGGCCTTCCTCAGGTGATGGTGCCACCGCCGTGTCATGTGATGACCCGGGCTGAGGGACACGGCACTGTCCTGTAGAAATGTCCGGGGGGCCTCCCCTGGTGCTCGGTACTGTTCCATTGGTCAACAGGCTGTTGGTTAGGTTTGTCCTGCAGTCTGCTGCTGACAGGAGTCCTCTCGTCTGTCATTTTGAAGGGGCCTATACCATGCCCTGACCCATTTCCAGTTTAGCATTAGAACATGGGCTCAGCATTTGACAGGCTCACCTGCCAGCCAGGCTTCTAGGTGTGGAGCGGTTTTAAGCTGACACTAGCAGGAGGCTGCACTGCAGCTGTTTTTCTTTTTCATTCTCCTAAGGTAGAGAAATCTTCTTAACACATTAGTCAGACTAAAACTTTCCCTTTTAATTGGGAATGGTTTTATTTACTTTTTGTAAATTACTGACACAATGTCAGCTCTGCAACAAATGATTGTTTATGAAGTACTGGAAGTTATAGGTTAAATAAATTAACACAGTTGGAAATCCTTTGAAGCATGATCGTTCCTTTGTTCACTGTTTATAAAAACACAAGTATATTTAGGTTGTGCTTTTTATGTTTGATAAGCTGATAGCCTTTCCAGAAGAAAGCCGTATCACCAAATGCATTGTATTTACTTCCAAATTACTTTTTAAAATAAGAGATAATTTCCAAAGCTTTCTATGAAGTTCTTCCAGAAATACTGAGTGTTCTCTGCAATTGTTGTCATAAGATATCTATGTCAATTGCGAGGGTTTCTGTGCCCATCCACACAGCTTAACTTCCACTGTCAGATGGAGAGTTAGTCTCTAGAAGAATGGGTGAAATCAGCTCCGACAGAGCAGTGGAGGGGCACAGCTGTGCACCTCTAGAAGTTCGAGAGCTCAGCACTGACTCCAACATGCTCACATCTTGGCTGTCTCCAGCTGAGTATGTAACTTAGGGCAAATCCAAATGCAAAGCGGAGAAGACAGCTCGCAGCGTCGTGGACAGATGTAGTGCCCAGGTTGATGGATTTTGTCAGGTCCTGGTGTCCTGACACCTCTCATCTTTCTGTTGTGCTTCCCCAAAGACAGTGTCCCCTCCTTCTTGTCCTTGCATGGGCTGAGGCCAGCTCTGGTGCCCGCAGCAGCCAGTAATGATGTTGCCACGTGCCAGGAAGGAAGCACTCTCTGGCCCTGTTTTATGAGCTGTGCAAGTATCCCGAATGCCACCCAGAATCTTTGCTCCCACATCTCTCCCACCTGAATTGTGTCTGTGCTCTGTCCTCAGTTAGCATCTTCCTGGAAGAAGGTACAGACAGATGCTTAAAGAAACGAATGCTAGCCGGAGTCCGAAGTGTCTGGCTGTTGAACCAGTATTGCCCACACAGCCCCTGGCTCACACAGTGGTTTTAATAACTATTTGCTATGTGAATAAATCGCATAACAGGCAGCGTTGATCAGTAGCTTTGGCTGTGTGACAGATTCACACTTTCACATCCTCAGCCATCTGATGATCACAGTCACTTGTAATGAGAACTTTTCAGGAACTCGGCCCCTTTTCCTCTTTCACTTAGAGCCATGTAACCCAGCACTCTAGCAGAGCTGGCCTTGATGACAGAAAGGCCACCAGCCACAGTGGTTCACAGCCCCTTGTAATACAATTAATCCAACTTAGAAGCAGAGATTTGAATTCCATTTCATTTTAGTTCAAAGACATTTGACCTTAGCCACGTGTGACAAGTGGCTATCACGTTCAGCAGCCAGGGTGTGACGGGGTTGATGGTCAGCCACTGATCTCCATGGCAGCCCCATCCCACGGGAGTGCATCCTCTCCCACACAGGCAGACTCCCGTGTGCCCCGAGCCTCTCTCACTTCTCCCACCTTCCATCTTCTCCGAGCACACGCTTTTCTCACCGTGCACTTCCCTGATGGGTGGCAGCAACCAACAGGTGCTGCACCGAGGGCAAAGCCGCAGATGCCTGGGCATCCATAGAGATGAAGGAGGGAGATGCAGGCAGGCACTGTTGGGGAACAGGAAATGGCAACCTGCAAATCCAGCAGCTGGTTTCTGAACACATGAGAATAGGGACTTGCTTGGGTTTCTCGTCCTGGGAACTCTGGAGTGTGGCTGAGTGCACTTGAGCATCAGCTCCAGGAGAGAGCAATTCCCAGGCCCCTGTACCCTGGTGTGGTGGGCTTTGGAACAGCCCCTGGCCTTTGCCACTGCCCAGGAACCTGCCCAACAGGCTTCCGAACAGCGCATCACTGTGGCTTCTTGGCCAGTGCACAGCCTCCCTTCCTGTGGGGAGCTTTGTTATGCCCTGTTAAAATATAAACACATAACCGAAGTGTTCCCCACACAGAGCTGCGAGAGGCATTTCTGAACAGAACGTGCTGCACAGGACCCCCACGTGGGTGCTGTGCCGGTGCCTCATCCCTCTGTGCTACAGACTCTTGCATCAGAGAAGAGGAAGTGAACAGGCAGAGGGCCGAATTATCACCCTGTTTCCTGTCTGTCCAGGGCAGTGGCGGTGAACCTGTCAGAGTGCTCATCGACAAAAACAGCCTGTGTGGCACTCGTGCTGTAGGGTCACCACCACCGGCCCAGGGCACTGATGGAATTAAACCAGGCGACACATGTGAAGTGCGTGCAGATGCTAAACACCTGCAAGCAGTCCCAGGGCTTCAGTCAGGCAAAGGAAAACCCCACTGAGGGCCAGGGTGGGGCCAAGGCTTACATAAAAAGCAGGGCTCCCATGTGCAGCATATTTAAATTTAAAAGGTGAAAAGTACTCTCATGCTATGTGTGTGTTCTGCCTTTAAAATCTAGCATCAGAAGAAACGTGTGGGAATCAAGACACAGACGGTGGCTTGGTGCTGAGGTTCTAACCATTCTGCACAGTAGAGTGAACAGATGAGTTCTCATAGACTGAGAGATCATAGGGAGAATTTTCCTCTCACCTCTTAGAAATTTACCTCCTTTGGTTTTTTTGCAGTACTGGTATTGAACCCAGGGCATTCATACTCAGCTGCATCCCTAGCCCTTTTTTATTTTTTATCTTTGAACCAGAGTTTCACTAAGGTGCCTCGGCTGGATTCAAACTTTGTTCCTCTTGTCTCAGCTTCCAGTGTACTGGAATGACAGGTTCATGCCATCACACCTGGCAGAAATTTAAGTCATGGTGGGGGAAGGAACGCATTTTGTTTCTGGTTCTGGTGTACAGTAGTGAAGACTGCCTTTTAAAGTTCATAATCACTTTGCTGTAATTACAGAACCATTCCAACGCAGATGATCATCTCGTTTCTGCAGTGCTGGTCACAGTTTGTGCCTTAGAAACTTGGTTATCTTTCCAGATATCTCTATTTTAGCCAGGCCAGCTATTTTTAAGAAGTCAGACTGGAATTTGATTTTTTTTCTTAAACAATCCAACTTGACTGAGATGAGAAGAAAGCCACATGCTTTTTTAAATTATTGACTTACTCATCTTCAGCTGGGAAGCAGGCACACAGGTTCAGTGTAGGAAAATTCAGGTTCTCCTTGGGGAATGTGAAGGTTACACCAGTTCTGCGGAGTCGGGTGGGTGCAGGGCTGCTCCCGCCAGGCCTCACACGCTGGGCTGTCTCCACATGCTCGCCCAGGTATGCTGATCTCTCCCCTGGCCTCCTGTCTCCACAGGGCTCGGCCTGGCCGTCGTGTCGCACGTCTTCTGCGCCAGGTGCTCCCTGTTGGCAGCAAAGCTCCTGACTCACATGATGACAGCCAGCCTGGGCACGCAGGTAGGAGAGCGCCTGGGTTCTGCTGGCTCAGGAGGTGCGTTCGATTCTGCCTCCTCCAGCCCTGCAGCCTCCTCCTACCCCCTCAGGCGAGCTCTGCTTAGTTGAAATAAGCTTATTTCCTTTGCCACAGAGGCTGGGCGAGGGGACACAGGACAGGAGCCTGAGAATATCAGGCCTCCAGTGTATGTTGTAACTTCTGGGAAGAAGTGCCTTAATGTCCATCAGATGCAAGAAAATAGCTTCTAGTCACAAAGCATCCTATTGTCAATTAATATCTGCTAAATATTTAACTAATGTGTGTGTTAATATGCATTAATATGTGCTGTTTTGTCTGTTTCAGTAAATATGCTGAGTGATAAATTCTTCCTAAGGGGGACACTAAGATGGTATATTCAGGTCTGGGAGGGGGCTAGCTCATCCGGATAGCATGTAATTCACATGTGCCAGGCGCTGAGTCAATGCCCAGTGCTAAGAAAATGAAAACAGACTAGGTGTGGTGGTGCACACCTGTAGGACCAGTACTCAGCAGGCTGAGGCAGGAGGATTGTAGTAAGTTCAAGGCCAGCCTGAACTACATAATAATAGCGTGTCTCAATAAAGGGGAAAAAAGAATGGCATATGCAATACTACATATGTACAACATGTATTGCTTCCTGCATATGGTATACTTTGGAAAACCATCCTCTTTTGAAATGTTGTTCAGTTTTCTGTCCTAGAAGAAATAATGTGAAAAATAAACCTTGAATTACAGATTAGCATGTGGCTTAAAGAATGTGGTTGAGAGCACTGCTGTAGGCACAGAGGTGCGTCTAAAGATAAAGGAAATTGCCTTTCCTGCCCGTGTGACACAAGCTGTCTGGAAGGGTGGGTGCACAGATGACCAGCTACAGCTATGATGGTTTCCAAAGCACCAGGAGTGAGTGAATGTGTGCAGGTTCACGCCTCTGGCTGTCAGGAAAGTCTTTCCAGAGGAGGGCGCCTGTGAGCTGCTACTCAGATGAGTAAACAAGGATGCATCTTTGAGGAGGACAAAGAGGAGTGTAGGTATTTATAGAGGCCAAAAAAAGAGTAAAGAACAACCACTTGGATAAGGCTGGAGTTACAGGTGCACACAGAAGTTGCTGTGTGATGTTTTCATTGGAAGACTTTCAGGATATCAGGTAAAATAAAAAGTGCCCTCCTGGGGCACCTCTGGGAGTGTGGACAGTGTTCTGTTTCTTATCCAGGTCTGGTAATAGGCATGCAGCCAGTGTCTGTACATTTGTTGTGCTGCACACGCACAATTTGCAGTTTTTCATAGTGCTAATGTGCACTTCATTGAACTCAGAACAGTATTTTTAAAGCATGACTTCAGTGGAGGAGGTGAAATACAAAACGGGAAATTATCCGGGAGATTGTCAGTCTGTGGTCTTTTTTGATCCCAGGAGTGAAAATTACCTGGGTTCTGGAGAACAGTCAGGCGCTGGCTTGCAGGAGAGGGTCCCGAATGGTTCTCCAACCACCTGTGACATGCGGAAGGCATGGCCTTTGGACCTGAAGAGGCCATTTCTCTTCCCTCCGCGTCCTGCCTCAGCTGTCTGATCTTGCCTTCCCTTGTCCTGTGTAAGATCTTCACCTCCTGTAATTACAGTCCACTTGGCCGTACTGACCACCGATTTTGGTGATTTTTTTTGCATCAGGATTTGCTGCAGAACTTAATTATAGTGCTGAGAATTACAGGTGGCTCTGCAGCATCCTGGCAGACAAATTCGCTCATGTCTAGGGATGTGGGAGAAAGAGCCAAAATTTGTATTTTAGGACATTGCTTTTCTGAATCATATTGTACTTCACACTGATTTTGGAGAAAATCATCAGTCAAATGCATACTTTTAGAATAGATAGAAGAGTTTGGTATGAAAAATCAGATGGTATGACACTGGACATGAAGTCAGCAAGAAAAGAAATCCTGAGGCGCTCCACACAGAGATGGAGCTGACTGCACCAACCTGGCTCTTGCCTTTCTAAAAGTTCAAGCTGTGTTTCTAGCCCCATTCCAGCACCTTACAGTGACAGTCACTGCTGTTCTGGCTGAGGGTGTGTCTCACTTGGGGGACTCCCCATCAGCATTACAGTGCCATCCCGGGGGTCTTCTCTAGAGAAGGCGAGGGAACACAGGATTGGTCTGTGCTTCTGGTTACCTCAAGCATAGGAGTTTCGAGTGCTCTACAGACAGACCCACCAAGAGCTTGTGGACAAAGGAACAAACAGAAGTGCGGGAATCCTTGACTTCCTGTCGGAACAGTGTAGAATAATATGTCAGGGGATCAGGTAGTCAGACAAATACGCTGCAGCCTGGCACAGCTTCTCCACCTTAGAAATATGTAAAATATTATCCCCATACTTAGTTACATATAATTTACTGTACTTGTATCAATAGCTAGAACAAGGTAGACAAGAATCCAAAAAATTATTGCTTTGAAAGTCAGGGGGGTGTGGAAGAAAAGGGAGAAAGAAGGTGGAAAAAGGAATTCAGACGTATTATGTACCTGTTCTAGCTCCACAAAGAATATCAACGTTATGTGCTACAAACTTGTACTATTAAAAAAATGTTAACATAAAAATTCAACAATATAATATTTTAATCTGGAATTTGTCTGATAGCGCCTTTTAGTCACATTGAATGTAAAATACCAGCAGGTGGCAGTAAAAGGTTTTTACAAAACTGATCAGTGTAGCAGAGATGGAGTTTAGTGAAAACACAAAAACTGGTAGTGTACTTTCCTGGCACTTCTTTGGGCTGGAAAGTGTCTACAGCACATCAAATACGTTTGTGATTTCCTACCTTGTTCTTTTATGATCGTTATTCAAAGCTGAGCTAAGCACATTAGTAAGGTAACAGGAGAAAGCTAGGACCATAAGACCTGGCTTTAGAAATGTCTGCTACCACTTACCGTTCATAGTTGAGTTCATGAAATTACTTTCATCGTATTTATACTGTGATAAGCTTTAAGAATTATGTTGCTGATAAAGATAAATGTGTTTATGGGAACCTCAGGGCTAGGAATTTTGAGATAAGATCTGTATTTTCAGTAGTTTATCAAAAAGCATGCATTTTTCTTCAGGGCCATGCCAAGTCATGTTTTTCTTATTTACTTGAAACAAACTGATTAAAGAGCTAGAAGTTGTGGGGCCACTTATTTCAGGGATGATGTGGAAAACAGCAAATTTTAATGGCATCGGGTGACATTTCTGGGGAAAAACATCTAATTATATCTTTGGGATTTGTCTCTGAATCCCACTGCCAAGCCATGTGGTCCCAGATAAGGCTGGTAAACAGCTCGGACAAAGGACAAGTTTGCAGTTCAGGACTCGCAGCACAGCGGGGCTCTGTTAGGAAAAGCAGTTCTCCACTCTAAAAAAAGAACAGAGGTTTCCTCACAGAAAGCATGATGATAAGATAGAGCTCTATTTACTCTGATTAATAATACTTAACAAGGTGGGAAATACTTGTTTTTGTCTGTCTGTTGGTGTGGCTTATTTTCTGAAATTGAGTAACAAATTTGTCTAGGAAAATGATTACGCTGGGTCATGCATAGGGCTCCACTTGCCCGCCAGCCTGTACATTATCTGAACCACCATGTCGGTGTGAAACACTTAAGAATTTGGAATTCTTGCATTTCTGGCAGCCACTAGTTGTCAGGAGTTTCAGCAACATAACCCTCCCCCGAGAAGGGAAAAGAGAATTGTTGAAGATTTGGAAGACTGCTCTCTGGAAGTTAGCAGAACTTGGGCTGGTAGAATCTTTTGTCTTTTGTTTCTGTTCTACAGAGTTTTCAGGGTGTCATTTTGCGACTTCCCAGGGAGGATCCTACTCAGACTCTCTTGCTAAGAGATTGTCCTTTCGTCTGGGGTCTGTATCACCCTGGTGCAGCATATCTAATGTCTGTGAGAGCCTCCAAGAGTCCTGTCTGTGCGTGACAGAGGCCACAAGCCCCTTGTGACGTCCCAGATGCCAGCTCTTTCCCAGCATGGAAGGGCCAGCCTCTGTGCCAAGCAGCTTGCCTTCTTCCAGCAAGGCCGTTAGCTCAAGAAAGTCATCGTGTGATTAGGGCCTGAAAATGCACGTCTGACTAGCTTATTTTTGCCAATGGAAGCAGAGTGAGATGAGAGATGGTGAAATACTCATTAGTCAGAAGGGATTTGTTTTTCTTAGATGTTTTGGTTGCTCACTCATTAACAGATGATGCTCTGTTGTTTCCGCTTTTGCTACTGAAAAACTATTTACTAGGTCAAAATGGATTTGCCTTGAAGAGTGGGACCTTGAGACGCATAAAGGGTATTATTTAGTAGTACATTTATGATCCATGTGTTGGTGCAGATGTAAACAGAGCAAGAATATGCTTCCTAATTCAGTGTAGGAGCTTATCAAAATGCAGCCATGGAGTTAGTCCATCTGAAGGAGTTTCTAGATCACGCCTGTGCAAATGTTAGATGAACTGTGTTATAATCTGAGTAGGCCTTTTGGTGTTATTGACACTGCTGTTGTAATTACTATTATTAAACTCAAGCTATCAACTTACTTTCCTTACTGTAAAACTTTTATTTTTTTTAAAAAAAAGCACATTAATTAAATTTTTATTTTCACTTAAAATGTCAGAAAAACAAAACGCATTATCGTTGAGACTACTTATATTTACTTCTCTGTTCTCTCTTTCATTATCTTTTTTCTTTTTAAAGTTTTTTATTGGTGCAGACTTGATAATTCAGTACATGTGTTCAGTGTGTAATGATCAGGCTAACTGGCATTTCTGTCTCCTCAAAAACATGTCGAGAGCCTCTGGAGCACTCTTTGAGTTATTTGGAAGTGTACACTAACATGCTGTATGGACTGTGGTTACCTATGGCTGTGCCACATGGAGCTAATCTTTCCCATTGAACTGCATTTCAGCACCCGTTTTCAACCTGTCTTTAATCCCTTTTCCCTCTTATGCTTCTCAGGCTTTTGTAACCACTCTTTAGCT